ACGAAATATCTGATATTTGTGTAGACCGATATGTAATAGTGTGAATTATACGGAACAAAATGATATTCCTGATTACTTCCTCTGATGAGTTTCGATTCGATATCTTGGGATTTTGAAAAGAATACTTTTTTTTTCAATTTTTGTGCATCAATTAAAATGGTTTAATTCCTTTTACGAAGATGCAACATCAGCATCAATGATTGACTTGTCATTGTATTTTTCTTATTTCCTAAACCCAAATTTTCAACAGAACGTGCTACATTAACCAAATCCAATGTTTTAAGGATCTCGACAATAACCAATGTGAAAGTGGGCAACACTCTGCAATACCAAACAATTCAAAGCCAACAAGGGACATTTCATATATAGATATTGAATTGGAACAAGATATGGGCAGCATGACTAGAAAAAATGAATTAATTTACTTACTTTCAAAGAAGTGTTTTAGCTCATATTTACATGTTTGCCCTAACCTATTTTTTCTTGATAACATCTCGTAACGATTGCAATATTATGCATAAATCATGTTAGTTTGTAAACTGTTTGGTTTTATTTTTTATAAATCTACTCATTCATTTATTGCCAAATTAATCGTAATAACATGGTTACTTCATTATGGAAAATCTACTTCAATTTTGTCCTTCAGTAGTAAATAACGTAAAATGGTTTGACCACTGACCTGTGATTTGTAAAGATTTGACAGTAGTTGCATAAAGCAAGATAGAATATTTTTGTATTTGTAACTTCTTATGTTTACTTCCTTATCATCAGTCAACGAGAGGAGCAACTGTGGTGTCTTTATTGTTAGAAGGAAGATAATAATTACTAAAATGTTATTTTCATATCAGTATGTTAAGTGTTACCTTTGTTCAACTGAAAAGAAAAAGGAAAGAATCTAATGTCGCATAAATAATTAACTAAAAGCGGTTTGAGGCTTTTTGCTCTTGAATATTTATATGATGTCTGTTAGTATTAATACTTTTGTATCGTGTTATAATAACTGTTACATGTTTTATCCATTATCATGTTTCTTTCTTACTTCATACGGTATTTTACTAAAAATATTTGGAAAAAGTGATCCATCGAAAGCATTATAAAAACAGCGAACTTAACGAAAATTGCAAATTCTGTTTGATTGAGTCTGTAAATGAGAGGTAGAAAGGTAGCGTTCGTATGTAGGACTAAAGCGTATTAGCAGTTTTGCATTAACGGATGAATAATTAAAAATTGTTGATACATAAGTCGGCCGATAACTGTTAAGTGTGCCACTATTGATCGAATGAACAAAATTGGCCGTGACTTTGACAAGGATTATAATAAGTTTTTATCTGTAATTTACTGTATAACAGTATTTGTATAGCTAGTTTGACGTGTCTATGTAATTGACACTTCAGTCCTGACCCTTTAAAAACCAATAAAATTCCTTAGACTCTAACAAAAAATGATAACAATAAGAAGGAATGAGAATATCAAACTTCAAAAGAACAAGTTTTGTACCCTTTACCAACTGTTCGTATAAGAGATGATATTTCAAAATACGATATCTTCTTGTTAAAAGGGTATAATTATCAAATTACCAACTGTTTTTATAATAGACGCGACGATATTTCGAACGATCGTTATTGTGAAATAGGTATTATAAGGTTTATCAAAGGAAGATAATGTTGATAGAAAAACAGTAAGATATCTTTAAATCTATCAAAAAATGTAAAATTATTCAAAATATCTTTGTATGCCTCTGGATAAAATTGTGCAGGTGTGCTGTCAATCTAACGACAGAGAGTCACAGTTTTCAGTATCTTTAATTTGTAAATTACTAGTAAGAAGAAATGCAGTTATGCTACCCCCCATTTTTGTATTCCCGCAACCTGTATTCGCAATAAAATTTAAAAATGTAGTGTTATTTTTCAGACTATAGTTCTTACATTTCTTTGTGTTTGAGTGCGAGGCTTTGATTTTCTAAATCTATTTTTTTTTTCAAAACTCATTACAATCGAAAATTATTTTTTTCCTTTTGAAGTGACATAAAGCGCATCCAATCGTAAATGGTCAGTGTCTTAAATAAAAGTCATAAAAAGAAACATTGATCTCAATTCTCGAAATTGCCTTTGGTTGTGAGAACAAATAATAATTAGTTAGTTGGTATATGGATCATTTTAAAGTTTCAACTTTCTGCTAAATTCATCATTTAAAATTGCAAGATTTTTATTAAAAATTTAATTCTATATAATTAAAAATCTTTTTTGACAACTTGTCTCATTCGTATAGAGAGCCGAAATAATTAATTTATTTTTGTTTTGTTCAATATATTAAACGGTGTTTCAAAGGCAAATATAAAACTTATTTCAGGCTTATACACGTTGAAAATGGTACAAACCATACTGGTACTCTGAACCGACTTCTCGTCTTTTCATAGATATTTACAAACTCTTCAAAACACTTGTATAACTTGTATGGTTATTGTATTGCAGATGCACTATTTAGTGTTGAGAATTGAGTACGGTGCTAGGGGGCGTGAGGGATGTTGGACGTATTTATTATCCCTCATGTACAGACTCAATCAAACCGAGTCTGTAATTCTCTTGTAATTTTGTTGTGACTAATGCTTACAAGGGATCACTTTGTTTCCAGATTTTTTTTTACTGAAATTAAAAATTCTCTCGACTCATTATTGCTGCTGTTATAGATTGAACATATTTTATATTTACTAAATAAATACTGTTATAATAAGAACATTCTTGGTTTCCTGGATTGCACTAATTTTAGTTTCATGGATATTTGAACTGAATAAGTGGCCTGCAACACAGATAACGTTATTGTTTTTGAATGTAGTTTTAAGGAATAGGAAAATGCATTTAATTTATAAATGACTTTAAAAAGTCAATCAATGCCTCGGATAAGTTAAAAATTATTAACAATTAACCTACTACATTAATGACACTTTAATGATAATCAAAGAATGTATTAGTTGCCGAAAAAATCCTTAACTGTATTTGTACGTAGATTTAATTTGAAACTTTAAATACTTTTTATAAAATTAGCCTTTTTATCTCACTTTTGTAATCTGGCCCGCTGTGTTCTAATGTACCAATTCAATTATTTTTAAATCTTTTGTTTTCAAGTATGTGTCAAGTGCTGATACATAACGATTTAACATTTCTATTTAATTACAATGAATTAAATAAAACCAAGGGGACGACCTATAAGTTACAAAACTTAAATTAACTCTTCATTACAAATATGTAGCATTTCAATGTCAGAATTATAACACTTCTCAAACATCTGACACTATTTTGAGTTACATTGGATTTAGATCGGATTATTTTGGTCGATTTTTTTTGTAAAAAGACAAATATTATAATTTCAAGTCCCTATTGAAAACAGAAATATGATACATTGTATTTAAGTGCTTTTTTCTTAAAGGGATCACTTTAAAAGACATTTCATATATTTCAAATGATAGAATAAAAAAGTGCAGGTGTACTAACATTTTCAAATTTGAGAATATTTCAGTTTACTTGAAAATTTAGAAACGACTAATTAAAATGACTTGCATTGTCTCAGTCGCAAATATTTCATATAAATGATGACATTATAATTTTTTGGTTTCCTTCGTATCTAAAATGTTTCAAATTCGCATGAGAAAGATGAAAATGATGTAGAACTTGTAACCACATGCTATCTTCTTTTGGTTATCCTTATTTCTTACCTGCCTTCGAGTTTTCGTCAAACCAACACTGTTAATGTTATATTCCACCTTCTCTGGAGTAGGAAACACCCTAGGCGCCCTATGTGCTGACTTTCAGGCACAGACAGGCTCCGGAGTAGGAACACTGATGTTCCGTAAGCAAGAAACCTACTTAGAGACCAATAGGTTTAGCGCTCCACGCCATAAAAATTCGCCCGGTGCGATTGCGGATGGTAATGTTGATTATAACAGGTTTAAATTTATGAAAATGTGATAACTTTCAGTAAAAAATTTCAAGTATGTATTGCTTATATAAAGTACTTTATGTGCCATTTCGAGAAGCTATTACTTAAGTTAGTACTTAATGCATACATGATGCTTGCATAAATAATGAACTAAGCTCAAAATAACAGTAGTAATGCAATTTTCAGTTACTTCATTTTGTTTGTGATGGCTTATTAAGACATGTGTTACTTTCTTACAAGTCATTGTTACGGTTACATTAATAATATTGTTATGACCTATGTGACCAAATAAATATTATTTTAAACTGTGTTTGTTTCTAAAACTACTCATAATTTTATATTTCTTGCAACATAGTTTTATAAATTTGTAAAATGTCTGTTTTCGGGAAATCAAATTCTTAATGAATGTATAGAACTAAAATAATAATGTTGAAATATGTTGAACTATATTTTACAGCTTGAACACCGGATGTAATATTTTGATGAATGGGGTTTTTTTCATTAAAATTTAATTTGGCAGTGTACTGTTATGCTATCTCCCTATAATTACATCAGTATGCCAAATGATATGGTTTCATAATTCAAACATGATGTTATATTATGTGCTGCATCCAGTATAAAGTTGCACATTTTTCTGTCATTCGGGTTTATTTCTGAAGGTTTCATTCAAAATGGTTTGGCTCATATGCAATTATTTTTAATAATTCCACTCTTAAACTATCAAAAAAAATTACGATTGAAATTGTCACAACGGGATGAATATATCTTTCAGTTAAAAGCATAAAGTAATTTAAATACGTTTTCAAGAATTATTTGCAACTAAACAATGTTAAACATATTTAAAATGAATTTCAACATAATTATCAAATTACCAAGTGTGTGTATAATAGACGCGACGATATCATCAATCTGGTACAAAGAAGTAAAATCATGAAGAAATGTACAAATTGTTTAATTGTTCGCGGTTAACAACCAATTTTAAAATAGCAACTACCTTACGGTAAACCGTCTCATATTTCGGTAATTATCATTCATTTTTTACATACTTGACAACCTGCTTAAAGTTTATTTCTTTACACAAGTTTTCAACATTTGGGTGAGAGTGGACGTAGGCATGGATAAAGGAAGTTTTAGATATTTTATTTATTCTTTATTGATTACTTTATCAACTATATCACTACGTGTTACAACAGCCGAAGGTACGGTTTATTTGTTTTCCTAAGCTCATTTTATTTTATTAAATTTAGATATTAACAAAATAAATAGTAATAATGTTTTCGAAAAACGGGTCAGTATGGACAACTTCTTATACATTTATAATAAAGAAAGTACCAGACATATTTCGTACTGACATCGATAAAGATCATTAACTTGCAATTTTATATGAATCGGTATTGAAAAATGAAAGTTACTTCACAGATGGCCTTATATCATTTATGACATGATAAAACGTGACTAGGACAATGTTTTAAGTAACATTTTGCCCACTTCATCGCTGTCAGGAAGAGCTGAATTATTTATTTCTAAGATTGACAATTATTATGGTCATGCAATAACAATTGACAAGTACAATGCAGCAATTGAGAAGCTCCGCGCAAAAATGCGCTTATTACAGAGACCTTACCAAATCATTCCTACACACAGGTCATTTTCTATTTAGATTAAGTACTATTGTTCATTATTCATCATTTAAATTTGCATAATTATACTCATCGTATGCACTGTCCATGAGAGAGTGGCAAGATATTAAATTTAAAAAATAGACTTTCACTGATACCTACCTGGTAAGGAACGTTATTCCAATACAAACAAGACTTACATGACTTGTAATGTGACATGACAGTAGTGAAACATTTTTCTGTTTGTGTCACTACTGTGGTCTGTAATATTAGATGATAAAAGATATCAAACCATGATCATTTTCTTTTTTCACCTATAATGCTACTAATTTTCTACAAATACCAACACCTAATCGTGGTAAAAAATACAAAAATCCGTATATACGAGTACATAAGCCAAAATAAAACGTTATTTTTCAAAATGTCCGTTAGAGTCTTCATGTTTCGCGGTAAATAGTATATAATGTTTATCAAGAAAAGCATTAATGCAAAGCATCAAAGAAATGCAGCAAGTGACGATGAACTAGTAGCCATCTAATGACCATATTTCTTTTTAATCGTTAAATAGATTTTACCAGAATTGTATAGCATAGACGACATTAGTCTACATAGTCTGTTATATTATGATTGTAACAAATGTACAAACAGTATATAAAAAAGTGGACTAATAAAGTAATATTGCATGCATTTCGTTTAATGTAAAATTAAAAAAAAGGGTCTCTATTAATATCTGGCACTTAACATACAGTAGGTTTATTTCAAGTAAAAAATAAATACTGAAAGTAGAACACACACTGGAATGAAAACATTTCAATTTGATGAATTTCAAAAAGACCATTTTCAGAAAGTTTCTTTGTTAAATGCGTTAACAGAAATAATGGTACATTAAAAATCATGAATAAATGTGCATGGCATGTTGATATTGTAAAACATTTTTTTATCAATATAATAAAAGACTGTTAACCTGAACTTAAACAGATATGAGGGAATTCAATACGAGTCAAAGATATAAAAGCTTCTTGACATTGGCGAGAAATACAGACCTCGGTTAATTGATTTATAGGGAGACCAATCTACTATTGTGTTGAATTGCTTCAAAGTCCTCGTCTGATCAACCAGTGTGTTTATATTCCTATCAATAAACCAATCACACCTCATGTTAAAACTGCAGAAGAAAGTTGTTGTTAAAATGTCACAGTATTTGGCAAATCAACATTCCATTCAAACCGCCATAAAACCTTCTCAACTTCCTACAGCAAAAATTCGGGAAATCAGGGTCGATTGAAATATTCACGGTAAGAACATCTCAGAAGTACAGTCAGTGTCGTAAAAAATGGCCTGCTTGATTTTTCCGGAAATCACCTACATAAAAGACAATTTCAAAATGATAATTTTGTGATATGTCAATAGTTTACAATTCGTAAAAATAGCATACAAATTGTTTCGATAAATTTACAAAGAGTGCAATTTATTGTTGAATAGGTTTGCATTTCATTTCCTGCAAAATTATCCAGTTCGTTCTTTATAAACATAGCGCGACACGAATGGTCGTTTCGTTTAGTTTCTGACTTGCTAAACTAAAACTGCTTCTATAAATAGATTTTTGGACTTACACAATGTTAAGGTCATCCATCTATTTATAGCTTTCAAATTCATGTACTGCAATAAAATACATACTAAACCCACTGTGTCCCTTAAAATAATAAGTAATTTCAATAATTTACCGCATTTAAGATTATTTTTTGTTTTGTTTTTTACACTGCCTTCGAAGCGGCTGAGATGTGATTTTTTCCCGTTCTCATTCATTAAAATAATAAATGCTGCAAATCACCGAGGGGGAAACCAATATATGACTTTACCTGATAGAAATCGGAAGGATGTTTTCGTTCCGAATTTATTGTAGCTGTAAATCTAAGGGATTAATTGATACAAATAGGGTTCCCGGACCAAAAAAAAAAGTAAACACATAAACTATATAAAAAAAACTACGACTTAAAGCAACTGTTCCACCTAACAACTGAGCATTTCCGATATATTCCGAAGGATATTTATAAAGAATTTCTGTAACATAAGTTTATTGCTTATACATATGAAGTAGAAATTAACATTGAAATCAGTAATTATAGCAGAATGTTGTTTTGCTTTTAACTAGTGCACTAACCTTTTATCCTCGGTTGGGCATAGTGCCACTTTAATTATTACAATATTACTCATTTGGCATTTATTTTTCAGAATTGAAAACTCCTTAGTAAAAATACTAATGATTATAAAGACAGATTTGCAATTAAATACAGATTGAACAGTCTCGACTAATACCTGAGACATGTTAAATGTACTAAAAGTCAATTGCAATAAAATTAATTATATATTGAGAGTTATAGTTTTGTGACTTTCTTATTAACAGGATTTGATTTTATTTTCTGTTTTTCGTCTCCTTCAGAGTCTTGCGAAGAGTCTTTGAACCATACACAGCAAAATAACTATCTCTACGTAAATTTGTGGAGTGGTTGGCGTTTTTCGGACTTGACATGGCACAACATGACTTTATGGGATGGACATATGCAGATACCAGAGAAAGACCATGTAGCTTTGGAATGTTTTACTACTTTGGGAAATCTATTAGTGATAGCAGGTTTATTTGATCTTTAACATCACAATAGATTAAAAGATGTTTTAAGATATTATCTTTAACCTCGTCAATATTGCTTACTCAGTTCTATGTCAATGATGTTTTTATTCAAAGATGGATTTTCTAATGTGTCACGTTCTCAACATTTTGCTAGATATTCGAATTTTCAAACGGCTCTGTGTAAATAATTGGTCGAACGTTCCTATTAAATAATCTGTAACTCAAATGCTTGTATGGTTTATATCATAAATATGATGCTCAAATAAAGAGTTGATCAATATTGTAAGTTCCAAAAACATTATTTGTAAAGATATTTCCGAATTTTCATTTCATGTAAAAAAGGGAGGTAATTAGAAATGAATGGTTGATAAAGTCTAAGCCAAATCTTTCAATAAGAAATAAATGTATACATTTTAATGATTACATATAATGCGCTTAAACATTTGCAGTACATATTTAACATGTTCTTGGATGTTTGGAAATTGTTTTAGAAGAGTAATTATATACATATACATGTATAAAATTTCACTTAAGTGTTGTTACATCCTTAATTACAACATATAGGATCTTAGAACTGGGATTTCTTTTGGCAAAATACTTAAAAACATAATTGTGTTATCTTTTTTTCATTAACAATTTTTATATTTTCTTTTGTTTAGACAAGCATCCTAACATCGAGGATTTAACTGAAAACATAACTGATGTAAAGGCGTGTATCATAGATGAAAATCAAAAGTGTATAAATCACATGAATGTCCTTATCAGAAAATGCAATGGGAATTTATTGTACAAATTTGTGCTGTCCAACATTAGCAGTGGACATGCTTATATTTGCTTTGGTAAGTGTAAAATGTTTTGTTTAAAGATATATACTGCATGATATATTTAGTTTGTCTGACTGTATGTTGAAAATGTGCATCTCATTTTCAAAAGTAATTAGAGGCATACATAAGACAAAAATAAAAAATCCTAAAAGATAATTGATATTATTTACTTAATGTAAGTGCTGTTATTTCTTAAAAAGCAATGCGTTATTCGAAGTTTGATTATTTCTTAAAAAGCAATGCGTTATTCGAAGTTTGATTATTTAATATACGTTTAATAGCCATTAAATATATCAAAAATGTTGTAAGACATACGAGGTTTACAAATACGTTTCTTTTGTCTTACTTTATGACTTTGTGTAATTCAGAGTATTAATCTGTAATGTAATAAGGTTTTATCACTTTGATTTTTATTTAATTTTTTTTTTTTCATTTTAGATAGAATATATTCAGGAAGTAAGTAACATCTTTAATTTAATATTCTTTATTTCAAATCGTATCAATGAATATTTCAAAGATCTATTGTCTTGTTTCTATAGTGGCGGCTGATTTGTGCCATTTGTGTTTTCGTCCCGCGACCCTGCCAAGTCGAGAATTAATAAATTTAAATGGCGGAGGCGCGGAGCGAAAACACGCTAGTTAGCGGGGGTTGCGGAGTGAGATTTAAGAAATAAAACAGCAGGGTCGCGGAGCGAAAACACACTTATTAGCGAGGACGCGGGGCGAAGTTTAATTAATAAAACTTATTTACACGAAAACACGAATGACACAAATCAACCACAATGTGTTTCTTATCGACCACAAATAATGAGATAAAACGATGCACTCTTATCATTGTGGTATTGGAAATTGTTACCGATTTATTTCGGATTTGTTTAACAGTAACAATTTGATTATTCTAAAAGACGAAAGCTGTAATTGGCTTTTGATTATCATTAACCCAGATTTATGGAAGCTGATTCTGTTCATAAAATATTTCACATATTTAATGTTGTTTTGTTTGTTTTGTTTTTTTTGTATTTTTCGTTTTTTTGTTGTTTTTTTTTTTTTGTTTTTTGGGAGGGGGGGAGTCGTATGTGTCACTCAAACATCTTGACTAACGATTCGTATTTATTGTGAATGGAATTCGTTGTAGTTTTTTTAATATTTATTGAGATGTTCTGTTTCATATAACATCAATGCAAAGTTAACAACAGCTAATTATTGTTACAGTCCCTTGCAAAGACGCCATATCAATAGAGCAGAATGGAAATCCGAGTAAATATGGCAATATCTTGAAATTCACTCCTAGTGTGGTTGGACTGATACATCCGTCGAAGGGATACAGTATGTTTGGCCTTCTCTTGCGGACAAAGACATTATATTCGATGAATGTTCAGTGGCAAGAGAAAGTTATTGGTACATATTTTCACAAGGTATAAAGCTATATTATTAAATGCAGAACAACCGTTCTTCCTTTGTATCAAAAACTAAAGTAAATTAAAATAATTATAATACAAAATAGAAGTAAAACTTAAAGCTCATTCTCCATCTGCATCTTATCCTGTATCCTGGTAAAAAAGAAAAACACGTGACAGCTATTGTGTATTTTTCTGTATAAAATTTATTAATCAATGACAGCCAAAATTTTCTGAAAGAGTTAATTTAAATGTATCTCCAAAACAGTTTAAACTGGTCAACGTAAAGTAGTAAATGCGTATTGTTACCTGTCTTTAATTTAATCATTAATATAATACCTTGCATTGACCATGCATACCCTTGTTACATTTAGAACTTTACATAATTAAAAATGTGAAGAAAAGGGTGATCGTGGCTATACAGAAAATTGTCTTTGTTTATCAAAAAAACATCATATTGTTTTCTAAGCATGCTTTTCATCCATGCGAATTTGTGTACAATTTAAATGCGCTTTATTGTACAGAACTTTTCATATCGGTTTCTATATCAAATGATAAAAACTTGAAGCAGATATAAATCTCTATGACTTTGTATACATATTATAACAAGTAGTCACTTAACATCAAGAACACTTCATTTAGCACTAATTGTTTGTGATTTTGTTCAGTTAGACACATGTCCTTTTGACATTTATAATGCTTAAGTGAATATGTCCATAAAAGTTGTTCACAATAGAAGATTGGTGATACCATAAATAATAAGTAAGTATTATATAAATTTTATTCTTAATTACTAAAAAGTCTTTAAACCTTGAATTTTCAATAAGTACTATTTTAAGATTTTTATCAATATTTGAGTTTTTTAACTTTATCCATTGTTCATCAATGCTCTTTAAAACATAATATTTTTTTCAAAGTTAATAATGATATCTGATATGCTTTTCAGAACCTTTACCAAGTGATATAGGTGAAGAGGCAAAACGGATAGTTGTGTGCTATGTATCCAAATCGTTTGGCTATAACCATGTCAATTATGATGGGAAAGGAAATTGTCATTATTATGTTTATGTCAGATCATGCAATGGAAATCTCCAATACGATTTAAGTGCAGCTACCTATTACTGGCGTGAAATCTGTTTAAGTAAGAAAAAATAATTCTATGAAGCTTTATATATCAAGATGCTATTTGGCGCATTGTTAATACTTCATGTTTGATATCAAAAACATGTAGGATATCATAGCTTAATGATTATAACTATGTGATAATTATTGGTCGGAAATAATGCTTGGAAAGGATACAATATTAATGAATTTATGCTCTTAATTTCCTTTTTTTCTGTAATTTAAAAGTTGTCGGTCTTTCATTGTAAACGCTACGGTATATTCTTATAACTTTGTCTACCGACTTTACGAAGAAAAAAGGGGGAATGTAGAAGTATGTCCGTTCGGGCAAACATCCAATGGTCTTTTAGCTTCATTCCGTCTATAATACTATTACAAAAGAAGGAAACTCTATAAACCGAATGGTCTATGTGGTAATTTTAATGGTTTATGTGGAAAACTGCCAAAAAAGATCAAAGAAAAGGACATAAACCCCAAATGTTGGCATGTCCGTGCCTCAATGCGTACGTTGTCTGCCTTTTCAAAGGAATCAAGTGAATTTAAAATAACTTTACACAAATGTTTGTTATGATAGGACAAATTGTCATGCACAAAACCCTAACCCATATCTCCAGTCTCCTATCTATAACAATACAATGAATCGTGCGCAACGCCAACCCCCTACCTTTAAGGTCAAAGCTTAACACGGTCTTTTAAAGGGTATATTTCGTGTCCATTCAATGATTTTTTTGTCGTTCAAATGATTTCAAAATTACTTGACACAAATTAATGTCGAGAATAATATGACGACGTGTCATGGGAAACATCCAGACTCCTTTATCAAAGGTCAAAATCTGAAATGGTCTGTACTGGGCATGCAAATAAAATGTCATTGGTGAATCGAAGTTCGATGAAAAGTTGACGGACTGCACACGAGATGTACCATGTAACAGACGGTACCTTGTATTAAGTTTGTATTTGTCAATTATAAAATTGTATTTTTCTTGATTTCATTTTATTTCATTAATGAAGTTTTTGCTGCTTGCATGTGCAAATCTAGCATTGGTCAATATTTTGCACAGGAAGTTCAGATCCATACCTCAATCGTTGGTAACTCTGTTAAAATTCTTGTTGATATGTGTAAATGACAACAACCATATTGCCTACTACCCTAAAAGCCTTTATTAAATAATGTTACATTTTGTCAAATATTTTATGTACTGACTTTATTTTTGTCTTTTCAAACAATAGATATACAGAATTTGTGTTTGGCCTCTTTTCTTCAATTAATTTTAGTTCACTACAACAATGTTAAAGTACATCCGAGGATCGTTCATGAAGAAAATATAATTATAGAAGAAGGGAAAGAAATAGCCATGTACACTAGTAGTCTGCAATATAGATGTTCCTTTGATGTCATGGAAAACACACAGTATAAAGCAAACTGGTATCCATGTGATAATTTCTGTTTGATAAATGTTGTAACTTTAATCATCAAAATTGAAATAAACAATATATGATACCATTTTTAATTAAACAATGATCGACATGTTTAAGTAATATGTGTGTAACGTCTAAACTGTAACAGTGTTTAGCGCAATAACATACGACAGATATTAGTAAACACGACGTCAGGGTAAAGAAATAAAAGAAGAAGAAAAAAACAGAAATGTAGTTAGAAAATTTTTTCATAATTAAAACATTGAAATTTCTGGCCGGACGGGTCCCATTGCTGTACACATGTATCCCAAGGTTTGCTTTTAAATCAATTTACTCGTCTATCACAGTTTCTGTGAGTTTGTTTATTGAATTGATTTTTGAATGGCATCCCGTCAGTGCGCCACCCCTGTGTATTCCTCTGTTTATGTTTGCAGCACTGCTATCTTCGAATTCAGTGTTTTTTTTAACAAACAACCATATATACATTCCGATAAGTCTGAAAAAGAGGCATAATACGAGATTTTAAAAAAAGTGCACATGATCGTTATTTCTTTATCATGCATAATAGGTATATAAACGGAACCTTTCAAGTACAAATGGGGCCATCGTCTGATCTTGATGATTTGGTGTTTAAAGAAAATTATCTGACCACTTTGAAACATGGATACGAGGTATTTTTTTTAAATACAGGAATGGAGACTAGTTTAAATTATTACGAAAAATTATAAAAAAAAAAAATTCTACAGAAATTTTCATTTTCTATACGAATTGACTTACCCGGTGCATTATATTTTTTTATTATTTCAGATTCGATTCTAGTGTTATTCCACATATTAAGGAATATTTTTAAAATGTTTGAATGACTGATAAATATTATATAAGTACCTTTAGTATGATAACGAAATTGTTTTTTTCACCTTTTGGGTGTTTGTGGTATATTTTAGGTTACTTGTGGAATATTCCCAGCGGCTGAAAATGATTCCACGGAAGCTGTGAGTGATGCTTACTACGCCGGATGGAAAGTAAATAGAGAATTTATGTGATATTTTGTTTTACACCGTTTATTGTTACATTGTATAAGATAACAAAAATGTTTTTGTAATGTAACATCTAACCTCAAAAGGGCATTAAGAGGCAATTTCAAGTGCATAAACATTAACTTTCTTTGAATTGCAACATTTTATATTTCTTTTGCAAATCTTCCAAAATGATGTTATTAATATATCATTCATGTGCCTATAAATGAGTTCAGATTCAAAATGAAAACATCATACTAAGTAAAAGTGGAGTTGCTACTGTCACAATTGAGCAAACTATTCCGTTAGGATGTTCTTACAGGGAAGACGATGCAGGAAACTGTCTGGAAACGTTATCGTTTGAGGACGTTGTAAATAAGGCTGATGACTGTAGCGGCCGAATAGAAGTAAAAAGTTATGATGATCCAAGCAAACCGTTGATAGAAATTAAGGTACAGAGTATAGTTCAATTCATATATCGCTTGTCCACACTCTTCTTACTCTTATGTACATTTAAAGGGTATAAATCTTTATCTTAAGAAATATCTTTATAAAATTTATCAACAGTAGAATTATATTGGTTCCATTATTATACGACTGATTCCCAAAAAAGTTGCAACATGGAATGTCTCTGTTAATTAATACACATCAACAATGTACGTAAATAGAATAAAATGTTCCGGAACAAAATATTATTTTGCTATTTTAAGTAGAGTTTTATCCGTTTAGCAATGATTCTATACATGCGCCACTCGTTTAAAGGCAATTTAGTGCCATTTTAATTTCATACAAACACTTTGAAAGTATTCTTACAATAATTTTGCATTAGATATATAGCATTATACACTTTAACAAGCGTCCATTCTCCGTATTTTAAACCTGCAAATATATTATTAATATAAAAAACATCCGTATGAAAATGTTTTATATATATTTTCTTATCAATACTGATGTATATTGCATTCTCTTCTAACTTAAGGAAGTTCTTGTTAAGAATTATGGCCCTTACATTATATGTTCAAAATTTAGCAAAGGTTGGGAATTCTAAAATTGTTTTTGTTTTTCATAAAGAATTTCATTTTGTTTCGAATTTAAGATCAAACGTATCGGTCAATTAATCAAACCAAAACGCTGTTGATTTTTATGATAAAACATGAACCAATTATTTTTTATATATATACTACTAGTTAATAGCACATCATTACTAACATAACAATCATCTTATGGACATGCTTTATTATTGTTATACCATTTTTCTTTTAGAAATTGAGAAAAGGTGAGGTGTGGGCAAAAAAAGAATATAGAGCATTATTTTCAACTTTAGACAATAACTATGACGATAGGACGGATTTTGACCTTTTATTGCTATTGACAAATAATAGCATTGGTTACATCGGGGAGATACATATAGTTGGCGCAGTTCATGTAAGTGCAAACATTCATGGTATTTAGTTTATATATATATATATATATATATATATATATATATATATATATATATTATATATATATATATTACTTTTAAATTATTTTTTTAATTTAGAATATTCAAAATATCTTGAATGCGAATGACGACATTTTGTTGATTCAATTTTATTTTTATCGGTTTACGAATAATAGATAAATATTGAAATTGTATTAAACTGCATAATTGACTAAACTTTTGAAATTGTTCGTGATTTATAAAGGTGGTTATAGTAGACATAAAAAGACACTGGAATAAAAGATGTTATTCGCATGTCGACCCGCATATGAAAACTGTAGACGGCATGTAAGTTACTATATCGATACTTATGTAGTACATGTATTATTACTCCATTTCGTTATGATCTTTTCTGGGAATTTCTGTACATCAGTATTCATTGATTAATTATTAAACAAACTAGCTGGTGTTGAGTGGATGCTTTTATAACTTTCGTTCCTATCATCTAGTCAATAAAAATTCAAAATATTGTGTATGAAATACTTTGTATGATATTGCGTTACATTGTTATTGTTTTTTTGATTATTTATTTTGTTTGTGTTTTTATTAATTTTTATTTTCAAAAATATAATTTGTAACAGTCAGTCACTGCAAGCAGTCGTATTTGAAAAGAGCGCATGATATTAACATAACCTATATACCTATTGATTGAAATTTATAAACTTAGTTAACTTATTTTTCTTAAACCTAAAGTAATTATTATTTTGATAAATGTAACATTTTGTCGTATATTGATTATCAAACTTATTTCATTAAAGACATTACGAAGCACAAAAAGAGGGAGACTACATGTTGTTCTTGAATGAAAAATATCAAACTGAGGTAATTGAAAATTGTCTTACTTATGAATGAATTAAATGATGTTGCAATTGATATTCTTTTATAAAAGCTGCGCATATAGATATATCTGATTGAGAAGTATACTTTTAATTAAATAAAGTACTTATGTACCATTTTTAAAATTAATAACATTAACAGCTGCAGAAACCCGTGAACTTATCAAATATCACACCCTGCTAGCGTGGACTATAGATGCGCCCACATGCTTGTGCATATGTCAATGCACGAACAAAGTCAAACTGTTGAAATTCCGTAATGTAGAGGGTGAAAGTTTTTGACAAGTTTTGCGACGCCTGGCATTTTTACTGAATGTAGGTGTCTTCATTGCAACCAAAGGATATGGGTTTGAACTATTTCCTCATATGACCACAGTGCAGTGTAACGAAATACAAAATGTTTATATTATTATGTAGAGAGGAGCTACAAGAATCTCAGACTTAAGTACCGATCAGATCCTGTGGCATTTTACATTAGATCATTGGGCTACTGGTAAAATTGAATTGAAAACACTTTTAATCGTTTAAGATAACCTTTTCTACTCATGTTAGATACAGACATCGGCAAGGTATTGTAGCCCTGGTAACACACGTGCTGTTTGTGCTTGTGGAATAGCAATCGCTGTCGGCGCGGATGTTTTGATAATTAACATATGCCATGACAGGCCTTTCAAGTTCGATCTTTCATGTGTTGATGGTGGCAATATTGACATTATATTTATTCACGATTACAGATATTTGGTATGTACATGTATCCGTATTTTTTTTTTTTACAAATGACAGAGACTCATTGAAAACGATATAATACGTTTTTTCTTTATTTCATTACAAGTGAATATGATAGTTTTTCATTGTCTTGCACTTGCTTGTGTAAGGAAAAGAAAGTGGTAAACATTCTTTAATATTGAGATGATCTTTGTTTAAACAAACTTTTACAAATATCCAATTCCCTTACAGTTCTTTCTCGGCATCATGATCATATTGCAAATTCGGTACAATATATATGATTTTAGGTAAAAACTCCAATGAATACAATAATTGAAATATTCGTAGGCCTATTTGGAATGATTCTATAAACTGTCATGGTTAAAAGAGCATGATATTTTCAGACCTTTATTTTTAACTAATTTCCTTTGTACAAACATACCGCACAAAATTAAAAATGCATATATATGCGTATGCAATAACAATACGATATGATCAAGATCTATTTGTTTGTTTTAGGTTCGAACACCAATTGGTACAATGATTGAAATACTATTATGGGGTCACGTTATGAACATTGACGTGTACATGTCCCCCAAAGATTTTGGAAATGTGGCCGGACTTTGTGGAAACTTTGACGGGGACAGATCTAATGATCTTGAACATAGGGATGGAACTATTTCTTATGATAACAACAGAAGTTACAGATTTGCTGATAGTTGGAGGTATGTTATGTTTAGATAGGTTAATTAAAATTTAATATGTAACACCAAATGAAAAGGCGTTTAAATTGACATCTCGTTTTTATGTATATCCGAATTTATGTTTAATTAGTTTGCTTTTAATAGTTAGATACAAGTGTTGTTAAGATTTATTGTATATCAAATTAACTATTACATCTAGTATAGAAAAGCTAAAGTATTGATATCTTATAAAGTTTAATTCAATAGTGCAATATTATCTGTATTCTTGTGTGGCCTGCTACAGAGTAGCGGCGACATACCGGGACACATTTCCGTCGTCTGTCTGTTCGTTCGTCCGTCACAATACTTGTCTGGTATACTTTTCAAACACCTCTGGTGAAATGCTAAGAACCAAGTTTTTTATGCATATTTTATATGCATTGACGGTTTTTTCCGGTTCAATGACACTTTGCCAGAGTTATGACTCTTTGATGATTGGATTTTTTAACTTCTCATAATATACTAAAAATTGCAGTTGAAATGAATGTTTACAGAATTAGTCAGTACTTCAAGTATTAAACGGGTTTTTTCGGTTGAATTTTTTTGGCTGAGTTATGGCCCTTAAATAAAAAGCGTGTATACCTGTGAATAAGTTTGTGTCTCCTGCTACACAGTAGCTGCAACATAAAATTGACTATCACCAGGCGACACTGGTCGCTTTTGCTATAATCATTCTTTTATTGTTTCTCAAGTGTTATACCAATGCAAAATGTATAATGTTTTTATGAGAAACCACGAAATCATGTAAACAATCTCGATATAAAATACAGCCTTTTATTCCGACATTCTTCCTACATAATTATTAATTACATATAGTTTCATTGTTAAGAATATCAAGGTTATCACGTTAGTGGTATATAGAAGCTTCCTTCTGTAAACCTGCGTCTACTAGTGACTTGTGCCCTCTTATTATTATCTGCAGCTCTGTGCTACATTTTTCTACTATATTTTTTTTAGATTTTCCTGAAAAATGAATAAATGTTTGTTGTTGTTTTTTTTGTTGTTTTGTTTTTTATTTTGTCCAGATTTCGCATATTTGTCATGGTGGAGTAAATTTTTTAAGCAGAGTTAAATGGTTTTGCTAAAGTGTTACAACAAATGTGCAAGTATTCTAACCGGACGATCATCATGTTCATGTTTATATATTGAGTTCAGCACGTGTCAGTGCTAGGTATTGTTACGAAAGAAAGCTATGTCAAGTTTTTTTCCATTAACTTACCACATTCTACAATTTGGCGTTTATTTCCTTTTCTTTCTTTTATTGACGGGGGCGTTCTCCTATTGTTTTTTTTCAATGCTATGTAATTTAGCTAAGAAAATTTAATATCATATTTTATTACAGATTAACGGACGAAGAAAATCTGTTTAAGAACCCAAACCGTAAACTTGATCATTGGAATAGGAATAATTTTGGCAAAACATGTACAAGCCCAAATTCAATAACAACAAAAAAATGCAAGCTTAGGAATAGGCAAAGGCAAATACGTTCCATTTCTGAACCCTCTGAGACGAAGATGAATAAACAATATCGTATTTTATCGTCGCGAAAAAAGGTATTGTTAGTCTTTTTGACTAGTGAAACAAAATCTGTTGCAGTTAATCTTTATTTATGTTCTTCTTAATTTAATGTTTGTCTTTTTATTTAAATTAATCATTATTTTCTAACTTTCTATGTTCTATTTAACCTCATATTAATTAAAATATTTGATGTGATTGTAGAGAAACACAATCATTTTAACAGAGGACGAGGCATTCCAATTATGTAATCATTCAATCTATACAACACCAGCAGTCCAAGAATTTCCGGATCATCTCGCCGAGGAAGATCCAGATATTGTCGTAGAACAATGTGTTTATGACTTAACGGTACGCGATATCTTGCTTATAATATTGATATGCCTTTTTTGTACCGATGTTAAAGTAAACATTTATTTAAAACTTGTCACTGATAAATCTGGGACCTATTATTATGTTATCGTTACATCCTGTTTTGTTGTTATTGTTGTTGTCAGTATATTATCAATGAGGGAATATGTATACACTCAAAATTGGTTTTGCGTTTGGTATAAAATGTCATAAAACATAGAAAACAGTTTCAGTGCACGAAGTACATCTATGTGTTCCGAATTATTTTTTCTTATTGAAGCAAGGAAATGACACAGCTTGGATTGATGCTCACGTGTCTGTTTTGAACAATGCTGTAGATACAATTCTAAGAATGAGTCCAGGTTTTGTTGCAAACAACACAGAAAAAGTAAACTCGTTTCGCATTGAAACTTGTCTAAATAACTGTAGTGGAAATGGATTCTGCGCCATCACTGGTAAGTACTTACATATTCCTCTCTTGCTTTAGAAAACCTTGCATTTAAATTAAACGAACATTCCTGTCAAGAACAAAAAGGTGATGCAGCTTTTTAAAATACTGTCTATTCATTGTAATGATTAAAATGATAGCAGCTTTGATATTTATAAAATTATTATCAGTGTCCTCTCAAATTTAGGACTTTGTGAATGCAGTGGAACTTTCAAAGGGCCTGCCTGCAGTATTGATATAAGAATTCCACCGGTTGTATTTGAAATAGAAGGAGACGGAGTTTGTACCGTGACGGATGAGGACGATTGCACATGTTTCCAAATACGGACAGACAACATATTTGATGGTTTTATGTGCAATATCACCCAGTTCAAGGTCTTATCGTATTTCATAATTTTCTTGATATCAGGACAGAGTAATAAAAATTTCTTGATGATAATACAGATAATAAATCGATTGAGTTTAATCGATCGTTTAGCGGCACAATAAGCTCTTACTCAAATATCCTTCCTCACTTGTGAAAGAAAAGATATATTAACATTAAAATACAATTATTGGAATACCCTTTTTGAATTGTTTATTTGTCTAACTTCATGCTTTACAAAGAAATATTTCAAAGGCTCACGTAAACATAAAATGTGTAGCGGGTATACTTGTGTGTTGAAGTGTCATTATCTTTATACCTTACTTAGGTGTACTCCAATGGTTCACGTGTGGAAGGAAGTGTATCAACAGATCTTGGTTATTACGAGGATATCTTTACTGGCGAATGCTGTGTCCCTGTGATGATAAAAAACAGCTCCTCTGTTTTAAACGACAAAACTGACAAACTGTTTGTCATCATGTACGAAATTTCTATTAGCAATGATGGTGCAAATTACGGGGATGTTAACCCCGTCTATATCTATGATACTAAATGTATTGAACGGGTTGAGATCAATGATGCAGTTACCTTCAAACTAAAGGTATTTTAAACATGATTTTGTTATAGCGGGAAGCAAAATTTTAAGGCTTGAACGATCATGTCGAATAGATAAATGTCTCTGTAAAATGACTAATCTTGATAACCATACAACATTTTATTTATACTTTATAAACATCACAACGGTGAAAATTCTTCGATTATATAAAAGGGCTGTCTGTGTTATTAAAGTTTTATACTGGATTTTTTGTTGACGTGAGATAAAATGTGTAGATGTTTGTAAATACTGGTAGCTCTATTTCGATAAATTCAAGATATGATATGAAATATGTACTGACATTATAGGATAGTTTTTGCTTCATTGATGCTGTGTGCATTGCTCAGAACCTCGACAATGGTACATGCTTTATATGTAATCCTGCAAACGATCCGTACGGTTGGACAAAGGGTAAGCACAATAATATTTTAATGAGTGTTTTGGTTGGACATTAAAGCTGCATTTTAAAAAGATATATATTAACTGTTTACTTCAGGGCCTAAAAAACAAGCATTCTTTTAATTTATTTAGCCTTTTCAAAACAACATTTTTGTAAATCTTATCAATAATGGTTCAGAAAATATGATTTCAAAGGAAAAAAACCACAAGGTATTGTTTAATTTTTTAACCTGTCAATAGTATACTGATTATACGGTCAGAGCTCACGATATATCAATTTCCAATAAATTTTCGGACGGATCGTGTCATGTAGCAAGTAAGATGCGTTAAATGTAATCTGTGTCTATGAAATAACTGTACTGAACGTCATAGCGCAATAGAATAAACTATTTAAGAAATAATATATCCCAAAAAGTGATCGCTCAATAAAATCACTGTTTGGAATACATATGCGCGGAATTATATCACGAGGACATAGCCCGAGTGATATAATGATGCGCATTCGAACGATTAAATCACCGATTTGGATATATTTTTTTCGATTCTAACACGACATCAACAAATAAATGCTTCTGTACCAGATGTAAATCTAAATTGCGCCCGATTTGTTTCTGTACTTTTTTTACAGCGCGTTACATTTTTGGTGGTTATGTCACATGTCTAAATATAGAACATCAGCAGTGATTTTATTGGATAATAACATACACTTTCGGTTCTTTTGTGTTCAATCGGGAAAAATGCGGGTCGTGTGAGAATTGTTTGCAATTACTACATTTAATACCAGGCCGCGTAGGTTCTTATTTTTCTTACTTGTATCAACAATGGAACCTATGTTTGTTTTTACATTTTGATCTTTTTTTTGTAATTACTACATTGCCAACCAGGTCGCGTTTACCATTTTAGTTTTGCGATAGATAAGGCCTTTTGTTCACATACGAGTGATCATCAAATAAAAGGACATACAATTTGTATGATAACATCCGTTATATAAGGCGGAAATATACCACCATAAAACAACGGATTTCAACTTAGCGCCTTGTTTGTTGATTTTTAGCTGAGTTTTTTATGTAAACAGAAATTGCCACAAATAGTTTGCAGACGTTTACACGTATAAAGATTATTTTGGTCGTCTGGGCACCAAAATTAGAACAGGAGTCGATATGAAACCCACTTTATTTACGACATATAGCTATTTCTGTTTATCTTAAGTTAATAAAATGCAGCTTTATGCTTGACAATTTATTAAAGCTGGTAATTCTATGAATTTTGTATAATTATGTTCTTTCATTTTATTTGTAAAAGACTACTTTTTGTACGTACTTGTGTGTCAAAATTAGTTTTTGTGCAACATATATAAACAAACATTCATTTGCATAATTTTACAGCAGATATTTCCATATCAAAACATGCATCTTCACCCAAAACTTAATAAAACCAATGTACCAACCATAAACAGTTGGTGTTAAAACTGTAGACTAAGTCAAGGATGTGGATATAATGAAGCATATCACGTGTCTTTTTTCTGAAATTCATTTTGTAGATGATTGTAAAGACTCTGGTACTGAAATAGGAACAGGGATTATTGTAGGAATCGTTATTGGATCGACATTGTTTGTCGTACTCATATCAGTATTGATATACATTTTTGCATGCAAAGTTTTAAAGAAACACAGGTAAAAGTTTGTTTAAGTGACTCTATTGAGATTTTTTTACATGATGTGTATGGAAATATTTTTTTTTAAGATTATTTTCCATTTTATGTAAGTCTAGACCAATACCTTTCGTCCAAAGTTTCTGATCATTCGCTCTATCCAATTTTGTAGAATAATTGTTCCAAATGTGAAAATTTACCCAAAATTGAAAAGCTTTTCAACTCTTAACCGGCCAAGAATAGCTATAAAATACAATATTTAGTTTGTTTCTGAGTAAATTTCTTATTTTGCCTAAGATCTCTGTAAGAAATACAAATTTTATGTTTAAGGCACTGGGACCTCAGTAAAGTTCCTTTGATATATTTGATTTCGAAACTATTTTGAAAATTGTTATACTATATTGTACCGTTATGTACTTGTACATTAAGGCATTATTATTTTTCATTTATTTTGATTTTTGATTTTTTTTTAATTCAATGTCTTTATTCCAATAAATTAAATCTCATGACAACAATCAGTGATCAATCACTATAATAGAATTGCCGGGAAATTATGACTTTCACTGCCAGGTATTCGTCAAGATAAAGATTTAATATTGATTATTCAGTTCATCTATTGGCGTTCAACAGAAGGCAATGGTTCCAACGCATAACTTGCAATCAAAGATGCCGCACCAGAAGCAAAGTGCGAAAATTCAGATCTCTGCTAGACCAAATATTGAACAGAATATAATGATTGGTACAGCACATCACATGAACCAAATCACTGAAATGTTACATGTAGAGAAAGGTGCCTCGGCTCAGGAAACCGATGTATTTTACACACCGATCGACAAGTATGAAACCGACGACTTAGAACGTAAAGTTGCAACACCAAGCGAAAGTAAACTAAAGAGAGACATTTCATTTATCAACATTGAACTTGAGTGAAAGTCCGCGTATCATTTCCAACATGAATCAAGACAAATGCATTTTGAAGCATATATAATCTCATGTTGACTTTTTGTACATATTAATTTACGCTGATAACGTTTTGATTGTCAACATTACGATTGCAAGTTTATGCATAAATTGATTGTTTTATTCACTAAATTCCTAATGGACTATTTCACTACAAATCTATTTTATCGGATGAGAGATGTCGTTTGTTTTTAATGCAATAAAATCAGTATATTCCCTAATTGTATATTGTATGCTTTGTACATGATGTTGGTCTGTCAGACAGTGAGTTTGCTGTTTCAGTTATTTTCTGATTCCTTATCGTTTTATACGAACTACAATAATACGACAAGAAGACATTCAGGACTTGTTATATAACGCTATAAGACTCACTCAATAACTATCATCTATACACTTGTTACCGTAAAACGTTACACATTTGGCATTTTTTCAACTGGTTATGAGTGTCACATGATTGATTTTAAGTTTACGGTCTGACGTCGAAAAGTCATAATCATATAAAACCACCTGAAAATAAGAGCGTGTAAAAAAATGTAACATCACAAATGACATTATCAAAACAAGATAGCTGAATGACTGAATGAATTACGGGGTAGGGATGGTTGATTCAGGATTTTAAATTTTAAGTTTATGCGTTACTGGTATAGACACAGATTTTAGACAAAAGTAGCCACTTTCCTACCACACTGAACGGGCGTAAAACATATCTATTTGCAGTTATTAAATACGCATAGAAGTAACATTTGCAGTTTGCAAGTGACAAATGTGACGTTATAGTTGTATTTACTTCAGAAAAAATATAAACAGCCCTGTTAACCATACCGTTTAACCGGTAGCAAGTATAACACCTGGTGCGGGTAAATCCTTATTAAGTTGATGTCAGTTTTTATTCAGATCTACAAAATAATTATGATCTTCTTTCATATCACTTTGTACATGTATATACTTTTTATGATGAATATACTTACAACTGTTCTACCAGCAAGCAACTTTTGTACTTGCAACTTGTACACATAAGATTCTAATTTAAGTAATTATAAAAAAAATCGTTGCAACTGCTAAAAATTGCAGCACAATAAAGTGCAATTACAATGTACTTTACTTAGACAGCATTTGGACGAGCATGACTTGTAAAACTAATTTAATGTATGAGCATGTGGTAAAATTTGATCTTTTGATGACACACTCAAACTGCCATGTGTGGGTTATATGCTTCAATACGTTTATTGATCAAGTCAAGTCAAATATTTTATTGGCAAAAACAAATACATGTTCATCGCCAAGTTATAGTTATCAATATAGAACTGTCGCGATTGATTATAAAGGGATTGACAATACAAACAATATAAAAGATGGCGGTTATAACATATTTACATAACATAAGAAAAGTATGGTAAACAGTTAACATAACTACCACAAAATATCAAAATGTCAATTTGAGTCACATAACGAAATAAAGAATATATTAATGTAGAAACAAATACCTACATACTTAAAATCAATTGTTTGAGCTTTCTTATACATAACACAATAGATAAACTTTGCTAAATTAACAATTATTTTCTTTTGCGAAGATTGCATAATTTATATAAATTTATTAAAGTCTGGCCAGTGACGAGGAAAACATTGACCTCACAATTCACTTTAGAATGGACAAACTCGTAAGAAATGATATTCGTTTTTTATTTGATTCATATTGCATTGAGTGCATATACGTAAATTCCTATCCATATTTTATATCTTTCTTCTTCTATTAACAATTTTTAGGATGAACATCTAAACCTTGATAACGCTTTACGATATTAAATATTATTTACAAGATCTAAGTACTTTTCTTGAATAAAGTTAAATTTAAATAAATTGTAACTACATAATTTAGAAAAACTACTAAGCTCAGAACACCATTGTTGTAATTGTTGATAATAAATTCTTTGTATAATATTATTTAATTGGATGCTTGTAACATTAACATTGTTCCATAAATTTCCAAACCCTAAATCATACAACATTTTCATAACGTTTTTTTGTCAATGAATTAATCAACAGGTATATTGAAACCATAAAAACATTTCACAAGATGCGACTAGAAAGTGATAATTGGCCCTCGGTGAACAATGACTATCCGGTTGATGCCCTTTGGGTTTTCATAAAGCGGGGCGATTAACACCGTCCGGTCTTATGATGTTGTGTATCAACCTGTATATATAACTTGATTGCTAAAATAAAAAATATGATAAATGATATGAAATAATAACTCAATCAAGATCCTTGAACAAAAAAATTGCTTTTTGAAATGTTGTTAATTCACCTGTAGTTATACCGAATGCGCTTTATTATTACATTCTATTTTATTGAGTGAGGCTAAATAAATGTGGGAGCGCCATACTAAATACCGTATTCCGGACACCCGCCACTCTAAGACGTCTTATTCATCTGCTTAAACCGATTTATATTATGAATAACAAAATTTGATAATCGGCGAAAAAGATATGTACTGCTCCAACACTGTAGCGAGTTAATTGCTTTGGGATTTCGCTTTGAATGGTTTGTGATAGCAAGCAACTATCTAGAACAAGAAATCATCTAAAAACCGATAATTTGTTCCTAGCCACCTTCTATAAGCATGTTTTGAATCAGTCATACAAGTTAAACGAAACTGACACAAAAATGGGGTTTTGACATTTTTTAAGTTCTTATGAAGGTTACAGTACTGGTCCTGCCTTCGCAATATTTGCCATATTTCTTCCGTTTGGCACTGATAGCCCTGCGATAAAATTTATTATATAACAGCCAATATTGCATAGATAATTAATATTACTACAGAAACGTATTAGTTTGGAAACTGTCCGTTATTAGACATAAAATATGAGTTATGAAAATTTAAATTTCCTATTACAATTGTGTTTTCAACAACAGAAGTCAAGTAGTCTCAAAAGGCAATGCGTCCTGATTAGGGCATAGGCGAGTAATAAATTGAGACCAAGGAAAGAAAACGATTTGTAACTCATATTTTTCAAATGCGAAAGATATATACATACGTAATACGCCTTCAAATATCCAAGAAAAGTTACATGCAGGCCAGTTTTACTTAAAAGTTTGTTTAAGAGGGATCGTTTCAGAAAAGTCCTTATCAAAACATATTATTATACTAATTTTAGAATGGCCAATTGGATTTGCAGTTTTCAGTTTGACTTCAGTGTAAACAATAATTTTATTAAGTTTTACTGTGAATTCACAAGAAGTCAAATTGAAACAGCTGATTAAGGAGAATATTGTGTTCGTTGAAACACACTAAAGATACGTGAAACATCTAGTCATAATTGGTACCATGGATAAATAATAGCAGAAGTTTGTCCTGGGCTTTTTGATAGAATGTACTTACAAAAGATAGCAATTCTATATTAATGTTTGTGAAAAATTATACTGAGTAAAATAATTGGAAAGAACGTCATATTTTTATAAAAAAATTATATTAAAAAATTCGAATTAGGGGCCTTAAAGAATATGTCTAATTTAAATTAGAAAATGCACAAACCGTGATTGGGAAAATGAATTCCATATTACAGATAAAGTTAATTTGCCCATTTCATCATCAACATTTAGTATTTGCCGTAATATTTTAGCAATCATTACAATTATATTGTATGACTGATTCAAAACATGCTTATAGAAGGTGGCTAGGAACAAATTATCGGTTTTGTATTCTAGATAGTTGCTTGCAACTCATAAGCCGTATACACTGAAGCCTCTGGACTTGATATATTTTTAATATTATCGTAAAAATTAGATTTATCTCAAAAGTGTGAGTTTGTTGATAATTGATGTCATAAAATGTTAAATACCGGGTGTTTTCATATTTCTCCTGTGAAATGACCTCAGCCTACGGGTGCGGACCAATACAAGAAGGTACATGATTATTTACATTAGTACATTATATTACATTTTTTTTTCCTTTTAATTAAAGGGCTTTATTATATTAAATTAATTGATAAGGGACTTGTATTTGGAGAGACGAAAATTGAAGTGGTGATCCCGATCTTGATTAAGATTATGCAGCTTTAAAAATATAAATAACAAATGTACAGGAAAACAGATTAATTAAAGACAAATTAATAAAGATTTACCAATTGAGCAGGGATTCCATAATGTAGATGGACTTTTAAGATGTCGTATTTAAATGGTTATGTCCTTCTTTTCTTACTGATCTTACTGAATCTGTATTAAGATAACAACATGACGATCTTAGCAATACTTATTAAATAAACAATAACACTAGGTTTGTTACGGACAAGATTTTCTTTACATTTGTACTCGTACTACTATTATAAAAAAACAAACACGTAAAAAGCTTTAAAATCTCTTAATGCAAAGAAAATATCAAGAATGTAGGTAAGACAACGATGAAAAAAGGCAGAGAGTAAAATAAAAATATGAATAGAAAAGAAGAAGAAAAAACATTTACACAAGATATATAAGCAATATTTGGGGTATGTAACCCTTTTAAGATGCAAATACTTAAACGTCAAATTATTTTCATACGTAAATATGTTAACAAAATTTACAAAGGGAACTTTTCACAAGTTTAAGCAAAGTTGAAGAAAAAGTGTACATGTTTTTAAAAGAAGCGTGCACGCCCTTATGCTTGAAATATATTATTGAACGGAATTGTTCATGGCTGTTGGGTGGTTGTTTGGTCATTGATATTCTTTCGATTACTTTTAACACGTTCAACAAACTGCTTGAGTCGTTTAACTTGTTCAGTGAGCCGTTCAATTTTCTTCTTCCTTTTCTTATTCCTCACGGAAAGCTTCTTCTTCCGCTCTTTTAAGCGTATGAAATGTTTTCCTTTACATCTCTTCTTTGATGTCGTCATGACAGCTGTTGTTTGCTTCGTCTCTGTTGTAGGGATAGCCTCAGTGAAAGTTGTATTTACAACATCATCCATGCTTGTCGAGGTTATTACAGGGAGGGTTTGATTTTCAAAATCCTCTGTGCTTGTAGAGGTTGATTCTGAGATAGTTTGATTTTCAACACCCTCTGTGCTTGGAATATCAACGTGCATCGTTGTCATTTCTGTAGCATGGGTGCTGGTACATGATTTTGTTGTCTTTGTTGATGTGGTTGTAGTAGTTGGAATGCATATTTCCACTAAAAACATACAACATTAGAGTAAGTAAGAATGATATAAAATTGCGGTTACATGTCAAGCGTGTTTATATAAATTTGGAATAAACCTACCTTTTTGATATCGCTCGTTAAAACCGGAGAAAAAATAAGTTAGTAAATATCATTCAAAAATAATACACTGGCAACATCTAGAGTCTATATTACAAAACACAAAACGAAAACCAGAAAACGAAAAAGGAAAACATATCTGAAGATTTGATTGAATAGTTTCATCATCATTTCTATTATGATCTTCATCATTACCATCAGCTACTAATAATACCAAAATAACAAAAATGACAATAAAGAAAATTTGTAGAATTTATTAATTCTTAAGAAAAAAGAAAACTTACAGTTTGTTTCTGTCCAATCTGTCACTGACACAGTAGTGTTGCACGATAAACAAGTATCATTTTCAGAAAGGAACGCGTAGGTGTTCTTGATACAGGCATGTTCGATGAAACAAAATCCATTCTAAAAAGAAAAGACATATTTTTGCGAAAAGACATCCAATACAATTTATATTTGGGCTTATTCTTTAAAAATTGAATTAACTTTATTGATTCGAACATTATTTTTTAATAATATCAATGATATACAGTCAAACTTGTTTTAAGTGATCGCGCAAGGGAAACACCCTAAACGGTCGCTTAATGAAACGGTCTCTTAAGACAAAGCATGATAAAAAGAAAACAAAATAATTCATGACATCTTTCTTTTGCTGTGGGAATGTTTTTCAACTTCATTTATATAAATGTTTAATCATTAGAACACTCCGATATTCTAAATTGATGCTAGTGTAAAAGAATAACTTTCTTAATATTTATTGACAAAACAGTTTCGATCCAATCCATACATGTTTGACATTTTTAAACATCTCCGTTGAATTTTTTTGTCTCCAACACAAAACCCTTATAAGTGAATTTTTTTTCTGTTGTGCATTTTTCATTTGAAATATACAAACTACATCTGATTGTAACGATTAATTGAATTGCTGATCAAGTTCAAGATCAATACAATGCATTCTAAATATCAACAGCGAAGCGTATACACCATCTCAGCAGGGGCGGAGCGTTGCATTGTTTTATTGATAATACACGTCATAAAACGGTTTGGCAAATAGTTTTTCACACATTTATATCTTGTGTTTTGATTGTTGACACGTGTGACATTACGAGGCGGCGTTATCTAAAAACACAATTACTTGACAGGTAAAAGTGGTCGTTTAATGAAAAGATTTATATCAATTGGCTAACTAATTAGCGGTCGTTGGTCGCGTTGAGCAAAAGTCGCTAAATACATTAAAGATATATAGAGAAAATGATAGGGGGGAATTGAAAGTGGCTGCATAAGACAAAAGTCGCTTTATACACGTGGTCGCATGGGCAAATTAGAAATCATAAGCAAATCTCTCGCAAATTTACCTTTAATTTGAACGACGGTCTTCCTGTTGCCAATGATTCAAGTTTCTGACAAGTTGAATCAAAGATGTACATGGTGTTGTTTTCACCATAGTGTACTCCATCGCTACTGACTGATACATCGTGTTCCCTAACAAACATATCTCTAGAGAAAACGTTTTCTTCCGGGATACAACAAACACCCGTGAAGACATCTTCAAAGTCACCAGCAAATGTTTCTATGGTAACGTTTATTTCATCGCCCAAAATCGAGATCTTGAAATAAATAGTTTTCAAGAATCAAAAATGATGTTATGTATTTATATATATTTTGCTTTTGTGTAATAATTAACGTGCCAGAATACTTAACAGAAATAAACAAAGATTATTTTGTAAAACGGCATTCTTTACATTTCAGAGAGATAAGTTCGTTCATCGAGTCTTTACACATATTGATGATATTTAAAAAAGTGAAGGTTTGATACTAAATAATCGAATGAGTTGGATATAATCATATAATGCAGGCCTCTTGCTAGCATAATATTGTTTATTTATCTCGATCAATAAATCACGTATTGAACCAGCACGAATATAATATTTTATTTATCACAATTATAAACGGTCAATGATAAAAAGGTCATTAACGGACTGGACAATTTCACAAATGACCATGGAAAGGGTTGCAACACGTTTCATTCATACCAGGCAAAAAACAGCACAAAAATAAGCTTTACAATTTTTCTGCATATATTTCTTAATTATCTTTTGCATGTAGTTCTGTTTTAAGTGTCCCAGCTGATCTATGTAAACAAATTGGTTTAAGGTTTTAGAACCTCTGTGGAGTTCCTTTAAGTAGGTATAATAGCATTAATGCTTTTGACGATTTGTGTTACGCAAATGACGTCACTTTGCAGTGTTAAAACATCAGTGTAAATCTTACATTATTACACTGCTGAAAATTAGTTATTTTATATGAGCTGAATCTTTATGCCATAGTGTTATTTCATGTTGAAACAAAATAATTTTGTAGAAGATTGATTTTTTCCGATTTTTTTTCCGAAATACTGTCATGCAATATCTCTTTAATATGTAAAGTTTTCATTTGAAACGTTACCTCTGAAGTAACAATCTTGCACTTCAAACTTTCTAGAAAATTGTCACCGCGCACATAAAAACATCTGCAATCTCCACCATCACTGGTGTCACATACTCCTCCTCCTTCTATGTCAGTAACGATGGGTGGAATTCTTTCGTCAATATCACAGATGGCACCATGATAAAATTGGTGACAAATGCATTCGCCTATTCAGGAAAAGAAATTGAACATGAGTTTTTATTTATTACAGGGTTCTATTTTTTCCTTGGCTTTCTATTTTCTTCAATGCCTTAATAAAACAACTACACCACCCGAGATAAATCAGGGTAGTTATAAAATACAGTGAATGCTAAACTGCAAAAATGTATAAGAAATGAGTAACATATTTTTAACCGAAACGTAAAAAGCGCAAACCTGATAGCGCTGCAATCATCCTTTGTGTAAAAGAACTAATCAATATTTAAGTTGTAAAAAAAAGCTACATCGGGTTTGAAATTCTTTTTTTTTTTTTTTCTTGGTATTGTTCAAAGATTAAGTCTTAACCAAGGGCCATGTAAGTCCCCTCGCCGAGGAAATGTTACCTAAAGATTATTCATTAGTACAGTTTACTTGGGTGAGATAAAATTCTTAAAAATCACTATCATGCTATGTTTAGTTTTCAAGTAAATGGGAAAAGAATGAAGCAGTGAAGAGAATGTTAGCCTAACTGGTATCTTGTATGTGATTTATTTATTTGATTTGATTAACGTCAGTGTATTAAAGCTGCATGCCACCGGGCCAGAATATATTTTTTTCTAAGCAACCAAATTTGAGATTTTAGGAAAAGTGAAACAGATTCAAGTAATAATAAACATTTTATGCGCTATTACAGACTGATTGTACACTCTCCAAGAGATATGTTTTTTTTTAAAATGAGAAAAAAATCAGTTAGGAAGAAGTGTCAAAACCAAGAACCGTAACTGGAAAGCAATTATTTAGTTACAAGGTATCTCCAATGGCTTGCTTTTTTGTGCGTATGTCTATATTCCATTTCAAAAAGCATTCTCAATAACCAAAACAAAAATTTATTAAAAATGAATATTCTGTTCTCAATCTATTTTTGTTCCAGCAAACACATTGGCGAGAATGGCCACGTCAACATAATTATTGTTCTGTTGGATACATTACTCGTAAAAAAAAAGTTTGAAAGAAATTTCGGCCGAACATTGGATCAAACAAATATTAGCAGAGATAACCATTTACTGTAATAATTCACCTTACCGTCATCGGAGCAGTTTCCCCTGTCACTGCAGTTACTGGAGCAAGAGTTTTTAAGGAACACCTGTACCTCTTTCTTGTTGGTTTCAACATACGTAGGAACTTCATTCATCATGCCTTTAACGATAGTGTTAACCGAATCCGCGTGGGCATCTGCAAATGACTGGTCGTTCGTGGCCTTAAATTATTGCATAATGCATAAATTTTGAGTGTTTAGTGTCTTTGATAATAGAGAAACTAAAACTGTGCAACCATAGTCTCCTTTTAGTCGCATTTTTCTGATACTGACTGATTTGAATGCAATCTCCTAAGATAATTTATACTACGTGGTGACATCAAAATTAATCGTCAATACATCTAATGCTTGTTTTACTTTTTATTAGGTGGTAGGTATATATACATTCAAAGATTAATTTAAGCACAAAAAAATGGCAAACTCTTTTGAAGCTGTCAACGTTTCCTGAATATATTGAGTATCTAGACGATTATACCGTTGTATAAAAACATAAATTTTTAAGTATTCATTTTCAGTTATATGAAAGGTGTTACAAAATCACACCATTACTAAAGAACAATAAATAGTTAGTCATTAGAATGATATACATGTATAATGAATACTTATGATATGAAATGCATGAATAAACCATTTAAAACTCTACAATGATTTTGAGGTATTAAGATGACATTTTTGCTTCATGCTTTAAACAAATCAATTTCTTGTTTCTGCTTGCATCCTTTTACGTACCATAATATCAAAGATACATTGGCTAATCACGGCATTTGGATCTTCTGAAGCTGTCATATCCCTATATGATGTAAACGCAAGTGATCCTTTGATCTTCTTTGAACATTTTTCCTTTGCCTGATCCTCAGATATCACAGTTGCATTTGTGTTGCGCTGATTATATAGAATTTTGATATCAATAAAATCATTTAAGGATTTTTGGAAATTTTTTGCAATTATAGAATATTTTGTTCTTTTGTCGAGACACGGCTACATGACAATCATATCAGATCACACTATATCGGTTCTAGACGATATTCAACCGCTAAATTTAATCTAGCATTAGACCAATTGAAAAACTTTTAGAAATATATGGTTTTAGCCGACCAAACAGAAAACATTATATGTAACGGCGTTCTTAAACATTATATGCAACGGCGTTCTTTACAACACAACGATTAAATAAAGAGACAATTTGCTTAGCATAAAATTGCATATACAGGTTAAAATAAGAAACACCCGCCAACGACTGGAGGAAAACACTTGTGTGCGTTTTGGCAACTTATTTGCATAGAAAAGTAAATCTAGGACAACTTTTAAAATTCACAAAAAGAAGTGTTTTATTTAAGGTACAAAGATTTTAGTTAATATCAAAGTCTATAGAACGAATTTCGGGCTCAGTTAATGTCACATTAGCCATGTCCATAAACCTAAATATTTACCTTATCATCATACAATTACTTTAAAAGAATAAAAATCTACCGCATATCTAATTTGCAGATAAAAGGAATTTGGCAATTATTTGTCAATTAAAAAAAAACGCTTAACTATCTCTTAAACTAATAGACTAATAATCAGCGATATTCCAAGGAAAGTAATAAGCTACAGTGTTTATAAAAGTAGACAATCATCGTAATAATTGAATGTGAATTGTTGAAGATTACATTGTGGTGACTTTCTATTAATAGAAAGCTAAATTCATATTTGATAATGTTAACATTAACCAAACAAAATATTAAAGAAACAAGAGATAAATAATTACAATTATATAGCTCAACTGATTATAAAGACTCTTAATGACCAGGAAAAGTTAATATTGTTAACTATTATTGAAAAGCAGATGAAAAGTCTCAATCTCAAAGTAATATCAAAAGGTTCAAAAAGATCAATAGTTACTATAGAAGTAACTCGTTACTTAACAAAACCAATGGTTGCTATGTATGTCAGTGCTACCTATGAAAGTCAATGGTAGATTCATTTGTAGTAATGAAAAGTCAAAAGTTCATTTGAAGCACATTGGTTGTTATGTTAGAAGTCAGTACTTGCTGGCAATTGAATTCACTTTTGGCCAGGGAAAGTCAATTTGATTTGGACAGTCAAAAGTTGCTTCAAAATTCAATTGTTGCTTTGAAAAGTAAATGGTTGCTAAGTGAAGTAAGTGGTAGTTTATGAACGTCAAAATTTGCTAAGGAAGTCACTGATTACAATGAAAGGACACTTAATGCATCGGTTTCGTAAGGTAGACAATGCTTTTAGAAATCACAGGTTGCTAGGTTGAGTCAATTGTTAAGGTTTGCGCAACTTCACTGTACTGAGTTACTCAAATATCTGTCTTTCACTTTAGGTACTCTATTTCATGATAAAAAAATTAATTATTAGCAACTCTAAACTACCGACCTTTGCTCTATTCACTCTTAAATAAGATATGATGACATACTTTTCTGATGTTGTGATTTTCTACTGGTTGCATTAATGCAAACAGTCGATCCATTTCTTTTTCATGAGAGGCTGGAGACCTCCTTTTACGATGACTGTGTATGTAGCATTTAGTTTGTGTTATGGAATCTTGCATTGGGCATTCTAGATACTGCATACTTGAACACAATGCCTCTGCTGATCTCTCTGCCTTTTCTTCTTCACAAACACAGAAAATTCCATTTTGGCTGGCCCAACTTTTTAAATCACGTTTCTTACGTGAATATACTTCTTCCTTTTGAACTCTGAATACAAAACGTTTTTTTTTTTCTTTTTTATTTTTGAATGTACAAATGTAATATATAATATTACTTTGAAAAATTAAATATAGGCATATTACTTATATTTGACAAGAAAATGTACAAACAAACTATAAAACTTACACGACCTTATTTAAATGAAATTTATTCAATGACATACTTCGTCCGTACAATTTCAATCCGATCTATGCGTGACCGTAATAGCTACAGAGCAATATCAATTACAAACTATCTTAGTAGAATAGTCATGAAAATACTAAGCAAACCATTTGAAAACATTGACAGAAGAGAAGAGTGTCACTGACGAATCACAAGCAGAATTTAGACGTGGGTATTAAATTACTGATAACGCATTTAACCTACAAGCGATAGTGCTTAAAAGGAGGGTCATGTATATGTAATTGTTATCGACTTCATGAAAGTCTTCGATAGCTGCATTCATGGTCAGCTATGGAACAGCTTGAGACGTAAGGGTATCAAAAACACAGCAAGCTATTAAAGATATTCAAATCCAAGCTATAACCGTGTATTTAAGTTAATGGTGGTATAACGGATTTCTTCCAATGTGACATTGGTACAAAGCAGGGTTCTGTCAGTTCTACAATTCTATTCTCAGTTTTTTTTTTATAAACGATATGGTAACTTATCTTCAACAGAAATGTATTTCTTGTATTTTTATTACAAACGACATTCTGGCATGATTGCTTGATGTTTGCAGACGATTGTTGAAACTGTAGCTTAACTACAAATCCAGATAAACAGCTGATATTTGTGGAAAAAACAGGGATGCAACTCAACTTGGACAACTCTAAGATCATGGTGTTAAGGAAAGGTTGTCACTTAAGACAAAATGAAAAATGGACATACCAGGGGAGAGAAATTGAGGTTGTTTCGTGGTAAGAGTATTTAAGTATATTCTTTACTCCGAAGTAATGTTGGACTTAAACCAAAGAAATGAAATTTTGGCTTTTCAATGTTTCGTTGTCAAAAGTATTTCGGTCACTTTTATCACAAAGAGCTATTGAAGCTATTTGACTCAACAGTAACCCCAATATTGACTTACTCAGCAGAAATATGGGGATACAAACCATGCCCAATTATCAAACAGATTGTAAACGTGTAGCATGCATAAATCAAAATGCCGCAATTTCACACTTAGTGAATGTGGTAGATACCCACTGTATGTAACGTAATAAACTGTCGGACCAAATTAACAAGTATGCCCACAGGAAGATGAAAAATGTTTACATTTGTTTGTAATTGTCTTCAATATTTGGTCAATGAAAAAAAAAATAAGTATTTAAATGCAATATATAAAATCAAATATTCAAACCTCCAGCTGTTAACAAAATCTGTATATGGATAATCTACGTTTATTGTAGATGTCGTTCGGTCTCTATGAACCATGTCGTTTGATTTCTTATTATCAAAATATCCACATAGTCCACGTAAATTGTATTTGTCCTTAGGGGCCATCAAAATGTCGATATTAATAAACCTTGTCATAAGACTTAGAGTAATTTTTGTTCCAATGGGTGTGAAAACCTAATAAATAGAAAAAAATTATATTTATTAACCATATTCAGTCATAATCTATCTTAATGCAATGCAATAAGTACTGATGGGTATCAAACATCTTAAACATACACATATGACTCACATTTCATCACAAAATATATTTTATTCAAAATTATATAAGGCTTTGTAACAGGGTCTTTTTAAGATCAGGTCTGAGGGACGAAACTCTTGCTTTACTACTGGATTTTAAAATTTTGCAAAGGGAGACACATCCACCGGTCTTGTCTGTTACTTTTCAAAAGAGATTACTCTATTTTGATTTTAACAGATTTTATCTTATGTTTATATTGATTGGATCTGTGAGTTCAAATGATTGGTTCACGGATCCTTGGTTTTAAGCTAGTTTTGTGTCATGTGTTTTCTTGGTTGGAAAAGTCATTGTGTCTTTGTTGTTGTAAAGGAGAGTTGGTAGAAAATTAGTGCTTTGTGGTCAAGTTATTTATTTCTTAAATTGGTATGTATTTATCCTGACTGCTGATAAATGCTTTATTGTAAATATGGAAAATTGCGTTATTGTGATTTTGTTCTGTTTTGGTTCAGTCCATTGATTGTGAAATTTGTAAATAAGTATGTGTTTCAGAATGACATGTATCTATCAAGTCACCTTTCATCTTGTATTCACTATTAATATTTAACCTTGCAGTCAACAGTTACTGGTGTGATAGTAAGAGAAGATATTAGGCATTAGATTGATGTACTGCACTCATCTCATCCCTCAGATGGTAAGTTACATGTGATGTATTTTGTATTGTTTAAAGTATAATATATGTTAAATGTGTATAATTCCATATGCTATGAATATAATATTTAAGGACTGTTGCTGAGTTTAAAGAAATGAATTGGCCACTAGACATGTAATTGATTATGTTCTAGATTAGAACATAAGATGTGATAGTAATTAATGTAATGCATTGTTTCTACTTTATTTTACTTTATATATATACATATGTCAGAGTTTGTTTGTACCATCGTGTATCAACCTGATGAATATATAGATTTGACCATGATAGCTGTTGTTGAAATGATTTAATAATCCCGAACTTACTTGACCCTCAGGGGCCCGGATAGTTATATTTAAATTACGCCGAACCACCCCTATTACACTTTTTTCCTATGGTATGTCACATTCCGATTCAATACTAATGAATGAAGCCTTTCTCAAGTGTAGGCGTCCCTGGAAAAAGGCAAAACACCGCATATCTAAGAGTTCATTAAAGGTTTAGATGACACGACCGAGGAGCACTAAACAGTTAAGCGCTGACATGTCTGATTAACCTCTATCAAGCTACATATCCATACCTTATATTTCAGTTTGGACGATACCATCATTATTGTTCTGGAAAAATCGTGATCAGTACGAATTAAATAGCAAACAGACCATAATCAGACAACACGGATGTGCTGCCTGATTCTTGGTTCAATTGATGACATAGGTAGATTAAATATCCGGCCACAGTAAAACCCAATTGCAAAGTTACCTCCTACTCCGCTTGACAACGAACAGACCTAAATCATGCAGAATGAAATTTGGTCGGAAGGTCAACATCTCTGGTTGACAGTTGAAAAGACATAAGCTACTTAGAGGTTTCAAAACTCTGAATGATCATGTATTCATTAACATGTTATGATATAAAAATAGATGAAAAATACTTCGTATTTTGATATGATATTAAAATAAACAAGAGGACCATGATGACCCTTATATCGCTCACCTGACTATGAAGGCTCAATCCTATTTTATTTAGGGTCTGTGACCTAGTTTTTGACCACAGATGACCATTTTTAAACAGACCTAGAAATCACAAAGCAACCTATCTGACCAATTTTCAGGTTATTTGGATCACAACAGTAGCCTGTAAGGTGTATTCAAGGTTTCACATATCAGGGCTGTGTGACCTAGTTTTTTACCCCAGGTGACCTATAGTCCAGCTGGACCTAGAAATCGTCAAAGCAATCTTTCTGGCCACATCACAGGATATTGGGAACAAAACAATAGCCTCTAGAGTAATAACAAGATTTTCTATTTTTAGCTCCTGTAATCTAGTTTTTCATCCGAGATAACCAATGTTTGAGCTCATCCAAGCAATTATATAGACAAACATCCTGACCAATCTACATTTCAAGGCTGTATGTCAAAAAAACAAGAAGGACAGCAACGTTCGACTATTCTTAGTGCTTGGTAGTAAAAGAGCCTTGATAATGTAAAATTTTCTGAGTTAACAAAAGGGCAAACAATGTCTTTAAATCCATGTTACAGTTATAGGCCTTGGAGAGAGTCCTATTATGATCTCAAAGGAGAGTATAAAATTTCAACTTGTTTCAAATCCAGATGTCAATAGAATATGAAAATATCTGAGGTGGTATGCAAACCGAAATGTAAAAGTCGAAAAATGGGCATTGTATTGTCAAAATGCTTGGTACAGTTACCCCCTCCTGTTTACAGGTTGGAGTCATGATGGTAAAGAATTGTGCAAAGATTCAAAGCCATATGTCAATGGACTTTGAAAATATTTGAGGTATAACAAAAACTTTAACGTAAATTCCAAGTACACCATGAAGTAAAAAAGGAGCATAATTCTGTCAAAATGCTTGATACAGTTACCTTCTTCTGTTTACAGGTTGGGGTTATGATGGTTAACAAGTGTGCAAAGTTTAAAAATCATATATCATTGGACTTCGATAATATTTGAGGTCTTACAAAAACTTTAACGTAAATTCCAAGTCGAAAAAGGAGCATAATTCTGTCAAAATGCTTGATACAGTTACCTCCTCTTGTCTACAGGTTGGGGTCATGATAATGAACAAGTGTGCAAAGTTTCAAAGCCATATGTCCATTGACTTTGAAAATATTTGAGGTATTACAAAAACTTTAACATTAGAGGTTACACCGACGCCGAAACCGACGCCGACGCTCGGGTGAGTACAACAACTTAATTTGCATTTACAGATATAACACAACTTACGGATAGCTTGAGCTATCCAGCAATTAATGTAGTAAAGATGTGCATTTACAACTACAGCCATGTTAATATACAAATAATAATCAATGCGGTGTGGTGGTGTTGGTAGTTTGACACAAATTTGGTAGACATTCACTGGAAGATGTTTCATGCCAAATGTCTTAGCTCTAGCTCTTTCGGTCTTATACAAGAATTTGTTTAAGTTTTCACTTTATACATTTAAGGAAAATCAATGACCCCCGAGACATGGCCATTTTTTACCCTAGGGCTTTTATATGAACAAACTTGGTAAACACTTAATACAAGATGTTATATGCCAACTATCTAAGCTCTAGCTCTTTTGTTTTTTTTACAATATTTTTCTTTTTTAGTTTTCGCTATATACATAAAAGGAAAATCAATTACCCCCCAATTTTGACCGTAGTCTTTTATTCAAACATTTGTCGAGTTTCAGTAGATGGTGTTACATACAAAATATCTAAGCTCTAGGCCTTGCACTTTCAGAAGAGAACATTTTTTTTTTAAATCATTTCAGAAATCAATTTTTCGCCCTCCTGACCCAGATGATCAATTGAGTAGAACCATTTGAGCAATTTTAGTAGAGCTTCATGCTAGGAACATCACAGGAAAATTTCATAACATTTGGCCCGGTGGTTTCTGGGAAGAAGTTGTTTTTATAAAAGTTGACGACGGACACACTGACGGACGATGGACGCCGGACAGATTGTGATCACAAAAGCTCACCTTGAGCACTTTGTGCTCAGGTGAGCTAAAAAAATCACATATGACATTTTAACGTATTATATATTAAACGTGCCAAAGAAATAATTGATTCAAACCTTGTATGTTCGTTCATTTATTCTCACTACTTGAAGAATTCCACCATCATCACATTGTGGAAATCCTAGAAAATTTATTTTCCCACATCTGTTAATCATAAAAATGTCCCTGCCAGCACGTATAGAAACCCCACACGTACATGCAGCGCTTCCACACCTTTGTGTTGTTTCTTGAATCTTGATTAATTGAATACATCATTAACATTAACAGCACACAAAAAAAATAATATAATTAATGGAACTTTCATTATTGGAAATTATGATTGTTAAGATATCGGTTAGTGTTTTAAATATTAAAGGTCTACGTGCTCTTTACATTTTTCTTAACAAATACAAACAAATATAGAGAAAACAGATAATAGTTGCAATTGATATCATAACAGCATAAACAAAATATTCTGAACTTAAATCGATAAATATAACAATGTAAGACAAAGAAATAATTACTACGGTGAAATTAAATGCACGACAATTTCGCCGTTTCCTAAGTATTAAACTGGTTTTTGTTATGCCTTTTTCCCAACATCACATTATATTTTACACGAAATCGAGTCAATAGACACGGCAGTTTCCAATATTTTGCGTCATTAAATAATGTGGCTGCTTTTGATCATTTTTTTAAACTTTATAACATCATGTAATAAAATATAAACCTAATACGATGTTTGTTAAAAAAGTAATAGGACTGAAGGTCTTGCGTATTCGTATTCAATTTTGTTTAATAAAAAATTATTAATATGGTTTCAATTAATTGTTTTTTTTAATTCAAGCATAAGTTTATTGAAGTCTTGTGCTAAACGCATGTTACCTGTAAAATTGAATGACCATAATAGTACGCACCCGGCGCAGCACATCAATTTAGATCCAATTTGAATTTAAAGTTTGTTTATAATTTGTTGTCTGTTGTTTTTTTTTTGTTGTTTTTTTTAGTTTTTTTATGCCACCGCATCGCAGATATATAGCGATGTGTGTGTGTGTGTGTGTGTGTGTGTGCGTGTGTGCGTGTGTGTGTGTGTTGTACAGATTTTATAGTGAACTTCAAAAATCTTCTTGGGAAAAACCACTTGTCCATTTTCAACTAAACTTGGCAGGATTGATCCTTGGGTGATGGGCTTTCAAAGTTGTTCAAAAAATTTTATTCCATGCAGAAATCTGGTTGCCATGGCAACCAATAGGAATTATAAGAATAAATTTTTAAAAAATCTTCTTGTAAAGACCAAAAAGGCCTAGAGCTTAGATATTTTGCATGAGGCATTTTCTGGTAGACCTCTACCAAGATTGTTCAAATTATAGCCCTGGGGTCAAAATCGGTCCCGCCCCGGGGGTCATTGATTTTCACTATATGTACATATATATATATAAAGTAAAAACTTGAAAATCTTCTTGTCTGAATTGACAAAGGCTAGAGGGTAAATATATGGCATGAGACTTTGCGAAGTGAACCTCTACCAAGATTATTCAAATTATAGCCCTGGGGTCAAAATTGGTTCCGCCCCTAGATTTTGATCATGTGACCTACTTTCTTGTCCTTTGATGTAAAGATATGAAATTTGGGCCATGTGCACAGATTAAGATGTAAAGTGAACTTTGATATCAGCTGACATAGATTTTGAGTGTCTTACTGTGTTGTCCTTTGATGTATTCATGAAATTAAGACTGTGTGAAATATTACCTTCACCACCAAATTCACTAGACTCAAGTGCATTGATATATTCCAACTCTGATCTTTTATTGGATTAACAAAAGATTTAACAACTAATCTGATAATAAGAATTAGATAAGCCGGGATCTATGCATTATAACAATAACAATGTATAGTAACAACAAAAATCTGTTCCTAACTACTATTTAGTGTTGTATTAATGCGATGGCATAGCATTTTTCTCAAATGCAATCTTGTTTTTCAATTATTTCACCAACAAGACTTAGTTAACATGAACTAAAGTGACGTTATGTCCCATTTTGAGGTCATTCAGACAGGAAATTGCTAAGTACAACATTGGTCATAACGTTAAATGTAGAAATATGACGGTTGTTGAAAAGCGATTGTTAAATTTTGTCAGCAGATAGGCCATACTCCTTCACGGTTGAGGATGAAAGCACGAAACGAACTAGGGATCGACGGTTTACAAACCGCGAACTGTCCTGCATGATTGATTTCTGCATCCTGTAAACTTATTCAGGTCTAGCCAAATAATTAAATATGAGAAATTTGTTAAAAACACTATTTTATTTTTAACTAGATACACGTGTTAATCAATTAATACATTTTATAATGATTAACGGTAATTATAAGTATTATTTTACCCTATTTTAAAGTATGAAAGCCTGTGCTCAGAACTTAATTAATGAATATTTTAAATTAAATTTACATAATAATGATAATGAATTAAGAATAAAAGATAGCATGTACAATGTGAAGAATATATATCACCTTTTCATGTCTGTTAAGCTCCCAGATCGAGAAAAAGCGGAGAGCGGCCGGCTACCGGACTATTATTTCGTAGAGCGGAACGATGATTGCTTATGATTGCTTCTTGTTCGCTTTATCTCCAAAATGAGGCCTAGTTTCAGTTACATAATTCAGGCACCTATGACAATGGGGTATCAAAGCACGGAAGGCGCTGAATTTGTTTGGGCCTCAGAATGTCAGAAAGGTGAAGGTTTTGAGATTATAAACCAGTTTGTTTGTAAAGTGTCATCAAATTCTGTTTCCAGTGTAATAACTATAGCAAATTGGCTATAAGAATAATTGCAAGACTGATATTCAATTCAATGTTGATTTGACTTAATCAATTGGAAAAAAAAAACATAAGTTGCCTGAACTGGGATTTGAACTCCGGACCTCTCGCTTCTAAAGCGAGCGTGTAAACCCTGCGACCACAGGTAGTTATAAGATAACAGCCTAAAAACATATTATTCCTATTTAGAGTTTGTAACCCTTATTAATTTCGATATATTTTGTTCACGGTAAACCTGTTGTTTAACACTGAAGTAAATAATCTTGGAGCTGTATATAAGCATGTATATCTATAAGAATAACACAATATTAAAGATCTTCGACCAATCGGGAACTATTTTTTCATTAAGAAAATTAATGCGCCCGTCATTTGGCAATCTTTATGCAGTGATATTCCCTTAATTTTTAGGCGTTAATGTACATATGAAATGAAGTAACCGCTTCGAGGAGTTTGAACTACTTTCGGATTTTGCAGATAAGAACACCAGGGTCTAAAATTTCGCTACCATTATTTGTTTGGTCTGACGACGCAAACAAATAAAATGATTTATTTTGCGATGTCATGAACATCATTTAAATTTAATTGTTAGCGTGCACCGGGTCTCGTACCTCTTGTCATTCGTAAATTTTACAGAACTGATTTTTGTAAACATATCGTATTGATTTAACTGTGTGTAGAAGACTAAAAAAATGTGTAGATAAATTCAAAGATGTGAACAGTAGAGTTGCAGTCCTATTACTTTTTAACAACCCTCGTAGTTACCTCAATGTTATATTTTTCGTTGTGGTATAGAATGAAACTTCCTACTTGTTGTTGTGAATAATAACTGCAAGAAAGACATGATATTAGATAGCAGGATTTAGATACATAAACGATACATAATTATAATTTGTATAGAAAAACGGAATAAAGAGGGAGGGAATACCGTTTGTCTTTGTCGATTATGCAACGAATACAGAAAAACAGATCACACAAAATAATAAGCTGTAATAATTACCTAGAATAGTATTAAAACGTTTTTACAAAGCAACTGAATTACTGTATTTTTATTTGTTGACATCTTCTTTATAATATTTATTTCCTCTTTGTACTTATTTTTATCGAGTATTGTCCCACCAGCCTGAAAAAGGCAAACTAATACAATAAAAGCATTGATGCAAAGCATCAAAGGCGACGCCATAAAAATGATAAAGTTTTGCACCTAAATACTTAACAAAAGATGTGTACTTTATAGCAGTACCATTACATGTGACCAGAAGGCTAGGCCTAGTTTAAGTTAAAACTTAAACTAAAATGAATAGACTATGTTTTACCAAGATGCAAAGACAATTTATAGTCAATTAACCAATCTTATAAGACTCATGCCATAAGAGAGAATTTCTTCAGATTTATTTTACCAGATACTAGGATACCTGAGTCATCAGCATATAATAAAAGCTTATTGCTTAGGGTTGCAGACATATCATTGACATATATCAGACATAAATGAGGACCTTAAATGAACCTCAGGGGTACACGGAGCAGTAGTAGAATGAGTACCAGCCACATCCGCCAGCTGCTGTCTATCAGAGATAAGACTTGAACCATGTAAGAATGTCATTATCTATGGCAGATGCTTGAAGTTCCATGAAGAAAAAAAAGAACTTCTTCATGTGCAGTATAGTGTGATCATCTGTATCAAATGCCTTTTGTAGATCTAAAAGTATCATGCACTACTGCCTTTATCCATTTCAAATTAAATACAATATGTTAAATGAATCAAAAATGTGTCACTTGAAAAACAACTTCCAAGCCCTGACTGAAACTGCCTGACCATGACTCGAACCCATGACTGTCAGAAGATCAACTGAGCTATCCGGCCGGCTTCACATTTTCTCTTTAATAATGAAAACCATAACATATTTCCCCACTGAATTGATTTGTGTCCTTGAATTTCTGATGTTTACAGAGCATAGTGAACTAACAGGATGAGAAAAACTTTCAGCTTTACGAGAACTCGAACCTGTGACCATAAGAATAATGTATCGCGGCTGTAGCGATTGAGCTATCTGGCCGCTTACACATTTTCTCCCCTAAATAGTGAACAGTTCTAAACCTTTACAGATACTTTTAGATTTTTTTAAATTAACAATTAAACAAGTAAGAAAAAAAACCTTACATACTCATAGTCTTAATCAAATTAACAATTTATATATTGTATAATTATTTTTACTAAAAAGGGCTTAGACAGTTATTGGTTGTGCCATTATTTATAACAGTGAACATAACATAACATACATGTACAATATCTTTTTTTGTACTGATATAAAACTGACATTTTTTCTATGATAAGAAATTTATGAAGGTTGATTTGTATTTTGCATCTGGGGCACCGGACGAAAACATGAAAATGCAACAAACGAACCACTTTGTGGTAGATTGTATTTTCATGTTTTCATCTGGCGCCCGGTTACTTTTTGTAATTTGTTGGTTTTCATGCGGCATAAATCACCCACTATAACATTTAGTGCAAGTAACAATCTACTGTATATAAAGTCCGTTGTCGGGTTGACTGTTGAGACCGGTGTCCCTCCATTACAAATAGATAAGACACAAACTGTCCTTATCAAACTATGCACATGTTTGAAAAAAGACTTATAATAACTATCCAGAATATGATCTTTTGAGACTTTATTAATTATATTGCTTGATCCAAGTTTACGGTCATTTTCAATCAATACATGTATTATCATTCATAACTTTAAATAAAAGTCTCATCCCTTTAATAATGATGTCATAACTGCAACTCTTTATATACAGAAATATTATTAGACTCATCATATCAATATACTAAGATATACATGTATGTACATAACATTAATAATTCTATTAAATGAATATGAAATCCTAACATTAACATTAAAATTTGTACTAATGGATGGAATTCAAAATCTAGTAGAAAGAAAACTATAATGTATAAACTCTATTATAGATACTATTATTAGCCATCAATTCTATAAACATCTATAACCTGTAGACTAATCGATACATGTATTATCATTTATAAATTTAAATGCAAGTCTCATCCATCATAGCTGTAAGTCTTTAAATACAGAAATACACATTATATCCATATACTAAGATATACATGTATGCACATTACATTAATAATTCCCAGTTTCCATTTAAAATAAATATAACATCCTATTAACATTGGTACTTGGACTTCATAATCTTGTAGAAAGAACACTATAATGTATAGTATCAAAGTAAAAAAATCTCAAATAGTCTATATCATATAATAAAGATTGAGTTGTGTGAGTACCGGTATCTAAAAATTAAATGCATATCTCTTACAGTAACAAATACTGTCCCTCTTTTAACCTTCCATTAGACTTTACTATATAACTAACTGCATATACATGTTATTAAGTGTTTAAAATTGATAACTTCAGGATGTTATCCTTTCTCTCTTTTAATATATGGACATGAGCACCTATACGCATATCTTTAATTTTCTACCTTTTATTTTTACCAAAGGTTATTTTATTAATAATTTATATACAAACACATAGAAAATAATAATTAGTTTCACATACTGATTAGAAATTTCCTGTAGAAGAATACCTGTAGGTATGTACTAACTGAACAATCTAGAAAAATCCAGTCTAAAGTGTATAAACGTGTAAAAAAATCTATCAATACTCACTCCTCAGGGCCTCTATGCTTTTGATGACCTTACAACTGGTAAATTGTATACAACGAAAATAGTAAGTAATACCTAAGATTGACAGAAAAGAACAAATAATTTAGTAAACATGAGTTACTTCCCCTTAAAATAGAGAAAGCCTGAAACCCAAAAGAACACCCTAAACAGCAAAATTATGAAATGTTGCAGGTTTAGTTTTATTAAGCCATGCAAAAAAGTAATAGTAAATTATTCATAAAGAGTTAGATGGCCATGTGACAGCAGTAATTGCAGAAAATCGGATAGCTTTCAACATCCGGATACTGGTACACTTTGTAAAAACAATCATTATGTGCCATAGATAAAGGTAATATGGATAAAATCAATAGGATAATCGTTGACAACAGTTTCATTACATATCCTTATACACATTTACAGGTGAACGTTCTTCTTGTAGGAACATTTTGAAAATATATAAATGAATGAAAACGAATACATCATCAATGTAGACCACAACAATATTCGAAATCCGGGTTTTATTATTGCCAATAAAGCTATGGGACAAGCTGTTAAACTGAGCCTGCAATTTCGTGAAAATAATACCACAATGCACATGCTTTTTACATAAAGTTGTTAAATACAAATATAACACAGTATTTGTTTACTTGTATTTAGCGAACCAAAATAACTAATTAACACAACATGACATTAACTGCTAATAATAACAGCTCCTTCCATTGGCCAAAATATAAAGCATTCCATAAAAGACGACGCCGCTTTTCGGCGTCGCAAAAAAACATATTTAGAACATATGCGTTAAAGTTGCAAAGTCCTCTAAAACAACAAAAAAGAAATAATTCAAAAAATTACTTACTTGCCATCAGCTGTGCGTATATGTGGATCCCCATGCGAATAGCAAGTCTTATTTTGATAATCAATGTTATCCTGGACAATAACCTGTAATTTGTAATGATTTAAAAAGTGATACAAACAATGTTCTAAATACAGTTGATAAGCATCAATCGGAGATATAAGTTATTGAAGAACCCATGAAACATAGGACCCTTATATCTCTCAATAACAGCAAGGGAGGAGTAAATGAATGAAAAGCATGTAATAAAATTTACTCGTTAATTTGTATCTAAAACAGTGCACATAGGCTATATATATTTTTCTGTAGCTCTCAATGCAACTGAGGTCACTGGGGCGATTATCTATATCAACAGTTATAAAAATTTAAAGACAAGACAAATTGCTTAAAAAGATTAAATTTCATTTGTTTTAGCAGTAACTCCATACACAAGAAAGTAGGCCACAAAGAGAAAATCTATTTAACTGATTAGAAAATTCAAATCTGCATCATAGTTTAATTTTCATGTCTAACTCTTAAATTTATAAACGTATATCTTTTTGGCCACTTCTAGGCCAACTGATTCAACTGCATGTTAAATTGTGTACAAAGTCGACAAAAATCTGAATATGTCACATCAGAAAGACAGAAAATATGTAGTTTTAGGGCGGAAAAATGTGACCTGTTACAATGGTAAGTCAAATGATGATATAGAGTTCATTTGTTCATCGGTTGCTGTGGAAAGAACTGGTTGCTGAGGGCAGCCAATAGTTACTATCGATGATCATTAAGGAAATCAATGTTTGCTGTGAAAATCACAGGTTGTTATGGAATATCAATGGTTACTATGAAAGTCAATGGTTTATATGTAAAGAAAATAATTATATGGAAGTCAGTGGTTGCTTCGGAAAGTCACTCGTGTCTATTAAAGTCATATGTTGCTGTTTAACATTAAAGTCACTATGGAAAATCATAGATTGTCTATAACAGATACTACAGTCGGTTCCACTTATAACGAAATCGGCTATAACGAATTATCGTAAAAAACAAACTAACTCTGAAAATTCCAGGCCGATTCCTTCCTTATTTTATATTAAATCACGTAGCTTAATGCGTACTCGCTTAAAACGAATTTTCGACTATAGCAAACCATTGTTTCAAGTCCCAAATGGCGAAGAACACGCAAATTTCCTCGGTTAAAAAAAACTGTTATAATTGAAATATCGGGATGCGCTCGAGTAAAGATCGGTACATAAATACTGCTATCCGATAATTATTCAAACGAATAGAAAACAATCCAAAATAACATATCTCTTTTTCGTAACTTTCATAGACAGTGCCTATATGATTGTGTTCATGTAGTTCAACATTTTGTTTGAACTGAATACATGTATAAATTATGCATATAGACCGTGAAACGTCGTCTTCAATAAATCAAATACATGTCCATAATATATTGTTCAATAAAATGCCCCGCATAGAATTACCGCTGCCGTAAAATATCGATTACACCGGTGACAGGTATGGCTATTTCACGGCAAATTTGGCCACCCAAACATATCAGCTAAAGTTGTTGCTATTTCGCTTTAAGCGAACTTCGGATATAAGGAACGATATTTAAATGCCCTATTGTCGTTATACACGGAGTCGGTAAGTTGCTAGATAGAGTTAATATTTGCTATAGAAGACACTGGTTGCTAAAGGAAGTCATTGATTGCTATGAAATATAGTTATTAGGGTAGTTCAATGGTTGTAGTTCAATGGTTGTTTTGGAAAGATAATGGTTGCTATTGAAGTCAGAGGATACTATGGAACTCACTGGTTGCTAAGGAGAGTGATTTTTTGCTGTGTTAGTCACTAATTGCATATGAAGATCAATGGTCTCTCCGGGAGTCATTGTAGGAAACACAATGCTTCCTTCAGAAGTCGATGGTTTGTCACCTTAGGATTCAGCGTTTTTTATTGCAGTGAAATATTAATGTCTTTTAAAAATCAATAACTACAAGAATAAAAATACTGACTCGAACATTAGGTAGTGCCTTATTCTTCCAAAACGTATGTGCCATATCACTGCTAAACTGTAGTTTCAGACCGAAGGTATTATTGTCCTCGTAATCCATGTCTGTCGTCACAATCTTAAAGTGAAACAGAGTATTTGGATCCCAGCGGGCGCCTTTGTAAAGCGTCTGAAATTTAAGTTCCTTAACAAATCATTATGAAAACAGAAGGTTTAACCTTTTTATTAAGAAGTAAAGATAATAAGGAACAATATTCATATTAACCAAGCAGATTTTTTATGTTTCTTTTTTGACTCCCCTACGGCACCGCACCTTTCAACTTTCTACGAAAACCAAACTACAGTAATATTTGTATGCATAGCAATATAGTTCGGTGACAATTAAAGTCAATCAAACATTTTTTGACTGTACATTTAAAATGGAAAAGAAAAACATTAACTAAGAAAGGGCGGAGCTTTAAAACAGTATATTAAGTAGAAGAGTTTTTGTCACAAAAACATATGTCTCAAAAAACTATGAATGCGGAACATGACAACAAAATACACTTTAGGGATGGTACTGATCAATCATGTGAAATTTCATTGATATCCTACCACAAGCCCGGACATGATTTTCTATTATAGCTATGACGGCCATTTTATGCAGTAAATCAGAATATGCCGTGATATGTAAAACTAACTCCTGTGAACTTTGGTGAAAATCCCGCCAGCAGTTTGACCTGTAAAATCCGGACAGCAAAGCAGAACATGCCTGTCATATGCACATCTAGGGATGATAATGATCACTCATGTGAAGTTTCATTGAAATCCCACCAGTAGCTTGACTTTTAAAAGACGGACAAGATTATTCTATTTATAGCTCTGGTGGCCATTTTGCAGCCATGCCTTGATATGTACAACTAGGGATATTACTGAACACTCTTGTGCATTTCTCATTGAGATGCCACCAGCAGCTTGGCTTATGTCAGCTGGACAATAATTTTCTATTTAAAGCTATGGCGGCCTTTTTGTGCAGCGAAGTGAAACTTGCCGGGTTTATGCACAACTAGAGTTGTTAAAATTCACTCCTGAGAATTTCATTGAAATCCAACCAGGAGTTCTATTTGTGAAGGCCGAACAAGATTCACTATTTTTAGACCTGGCGGTCTCTTTGTGCGGCGAAGTAGAACGTGTAAAGCTGTATAGTTTTGTTGAAATCCCACCAGTTGTTTAACCTGTAAAGGCCCGACAAGATTTTTCTAATCTAAGCTCTGACAGCCATTTTGATGTTCAGAACTAAGGATGGTACTTATCACTCCGCTATAAGTTTGGTTGATATCCCACTAATAGTTTGACCTGTGAAGGACGGACAATCTTAATGCAGATGGGAGGACGTACAGACAGACGGCGAAGGAAAAGCAATATGTGTCCCAAAACAAAAAATACATTAAGCAGACCAACATACCAGCAAACAGGCAAAGGACATAGCATCCTACCAATTAACAATAAGTCAAACGATTTGTTAGGAGACAAATAAACAAAAAAAGTCAGACATTAAACACGGGAAGCAGCAGAACAACCGGCTAACTACCAGTAAAACAAGATGGTAAACAGACCAAAAAACGCATCGTCAGCAACAAATCATCAGACAGACAAACACACAACAAGGTAATCAATCAAATATCAAGCAGATGATTTTCATGGGATGCAAACCAGCCAACCATCAGTCACACAAACATCTTATTAAGCAGGCATACAGAGAAAAATAGTCATGATGCGACGACCAACAAGAGGTACATGTACATCAAGAGAACAGTTAAAATGGTAAACAGAAGATTCAACCATTAGACATACAAACAATATGGAAAGCAGACCAATCTACCAACAAGCAGACAAACATTATGGTATGCAAACTAACCAACCATAAATCATACATTTAACGTTCTAAAAATACCACCTATCCATCAAACAAGTAAACATATATCAGAGCATTCAACTAACAAGCCGACAGTTAACATGGTAAACAGACCAATGACAAGCAGCATACTATGCGAACCAGCCAACAAATTAACAAACAGACAATATGCAAGTAATTGTAAGCAGAACAACCACTAACTAAATTACAACAAAACAAAACAAAAAATTCCTATTTGCATGGCTTCAAGACGGAAACGTTGACGAACTATTTGTATCAGTCCACGGCCATGATGAATGCATGCTACAGGACACATCTACTAACAACCTCTTTGGCGGAATAATAAAAATATACCTTTATTTCCTCCGTACATTTTGTTCTCGAATCGTCGTCGTCTTCAACAATATTAGCCAATGTTTCTTCTTGACATTTTTGTTTAAGCGCATTACTTATACGTAGTTCGTCCTTGCAATGTACATTAATATTGTCGGGATGTGTACATCCAATTGGAAGCGTCGATGAAATTGCTATTTGTATGTGACTACCTTTCTTTAAAAATACAGTTGAGTTGTAAATCTGGAAATAAAATAAAATGTTTAAATGTTAAAATGTTAATATGAAATTTAATTTTTTAACTTCAAATCAAGCAATATATTAGAGGATGCCTAATGACAAACACATCAGACGATTAACGTTTATTGCCATCACAGTTTTACAAAATTTATGGAAAAAATATAAGGTTTGAAATGATTTTCAGAACATATGCAAATTGTACACATGTATCTCGACAGGTTAAAAATAATCTAACAGTGCTAAAAATACCCGGTTAAAGAAAAGTTAATGTCGGGCGGCGGGCAGGCGGGCGGTCGTGGTAAAAAATCGTAACAGTTTTCTCACACAGCCTCTTGATATTTGGCACACAGCATTAACACGTAGTCCCATAACGTGGGATTCTAATACATGTCTGTCGCTCATCAACTTCCTGTTTACCGACTTTGTTACAGTTTCGACATAAATGGTCAATGGTAGGAAACAGTTTTCTTAGCAACTAATTATCACAGCTTTCAGATACTCGTTTTCAGTTATGTTGCTCAACCATTTCCTGTTTACCCACTAAGTTAATTTTTCGACATTAACGGTCAATTGGAGAAATGTATCGTTACATTTTTCTCAGCAACTACTTATCACACAGCCTCTTGATATTTGGTATACAGAATTAACTTGCAGTCCCATATCATGGGATTCGATTTAAAATCTGTCGCTCACCCACTTCCTGTTTACTGACTTAAGTTAAATGTTCAACATTAATGGTCAATGGTGGGAACTTTTCGCAACAGTTTTCACAGCAACTACTTGTTAAGTTTTGTAACATCATAGCTTCATGATATGATATTGGTATACTTATGCAACCACGCCTTTTCTGTCTTCATCTTCAAGAATTGACAATTTCAACTTCATGAGTGCACGAATCGAACTTCAATAATTTACTTCGTGAAGATAAAATTGGACTCTTGAATTCATCCAGTTAAAATCGTGAAGTTCAAAACACGAATTCATGATGCTGAAATCGTTATGTTCAAAACATGAATTCATGAAGTTGAGTTGTGAATTCGGGTAGTTGATATCGTGAATTCAAGCAATTGAAATTGTGAATTCAATATGTTGAAAACGTGAGTGCACGAAGTAAATATTTCGAAGGGACTTTTGATTATTTCATGTGTAACAGTAATCAAGCAAGCTTACGGAATCTCGGTAGTTCAGTTTTTTAGGTGCCTGTCCGTGCTTCTAATAATGCATGGAAGGGCACCTGATGTTTCCATACCAGTAAAGTCGGAAAGTCGCCAATATAACCTATACTGGATTGGTGCGACGTAAAACCTAACCTTAACCAAAACAAGAGTGATCAGTGATCACATGGGTTGCCTCATGATAGCCATTTGCATTTTGCAGCTACTTGGTAGCAAGTCTAGAGCAAATAAATCATTCACAGGGCATAACGCATTTTTTACTCAGGGCTATTACTCAGCTTAAATCATTCAACCGTTAAACCCTTGTGATATGCATGCATACTTGAGCTGCTGATCAATCATGTAAAGTTTCACTGAAATTGCATTAGTGGTATAAGATGAATAGCCCGTACAAATTTTAAAAAAATAAACGTTTTTAAAGGGTCATGATATGCGCAACTAGATTTGATAGAAAATGCACCAGTAGTTTCTGAAGAGTAGTTCAGTCAAGCTTTTGTGTAGCTGGCACCACAAAGAAACACCATTTTTATTTTAGGGCCATAACTCAGCTAATAATGATTTAAGTAAAGAAAACCCTATGTTATGTGCGCAAGTACTTCGGCTATCAATCAATCCTGTAAAGTTTGAAAATGCATGAGTGGTATAAGAGCAGTAGTCCGGACAAACTATATTAACACCTTTTTATGTAAGGGCCATAACTCAACCAAAGATAAATCAGCCGGAAAATCTGTGTAATATGCTCAAACATTCGAGCTACCAATTAATCCGGTAAAGTTTCATTGTATAAGTGGTATAAGAGAAGAAGTCCCGACAAACTTTAAAATTTAAAATCTTTAAATACCATAACTCTGACAAAAAACACTGAACCATAAAATGCCAATATCAAGCACAACTATACTTGGTACTGATCATTTCTGGAAAGATTGGGTGAAATTACACCAAAGGTTTATGAGCAGCAGTCCGGAAAAGCTTCTGTGTAGCTGGCAACACAAAAGTACATTTTTCTTCAGGATAAGGGCATGACTATAAATGCATTCTGATATAATTTCTTTCTTTTTACAGACATTGAAGTACGCACTATGGGTTGTCGAACCAAATGTTGATCATTACATGACATCTTATTAAGCGGCTTATTTATGCATTTTTATTCAAAAGTCCATCATTGAACTACAAAGGTGTGCTCATATCGGCAATCATGACGTTTGGAGTACAAGTGTAATCTTGACCTTTGAACTGAAGACCTTCCTTTGTGTGCGACATGTCATCATAATATCTAAGACATTAATGACAAAATTGTGTATGAGACATAACCATCAACGCATCTTGCGGGCGATACGTCGTTATAACGTGCAACACGTTTTCTGCCTAAATCGATGCAGTAATGACAGAATTGTGTCTCAACATGCACATTAGTGCATTTCTATGAATAATTTCGTTTGGAGTCCTTAAGTGTGACCTTAACCTTTGATTTACCGACCTAGATCTTGCTCGCAACATATCGTCTTACTGTGCTACACATTATACGACATTACTTCAAAATCAATCAATACAAAGTTAGGGACTAGACACACATTTGAACAGGAAAGGTAGAAAGACGGACTTAGAACGAGACAGTACTACTTTGTTCCTTTTTTCATCCCATTGTTTTGTTAGCCAATTCAAAGAAAACAAGCCGCACGTAAACTGACGGAATGAATGACATCACAATAACTGTTACCTATTGATCCTGTTGCCGCATAAGTATTCTCCAGTAAGATAAATATTACAGAGAAAATCACGTGTATTGTGCACCTATGAACTGCATATTGTTTTAAAGGACTGTCGACCTATGTAACAATTCAATGTCAGATTAGTATCCATTACGGTTGCAATAGTCTAAAACATATAAAATGTATTGTTATTACCTTGACACCGGCGTAATATTTATCACTGTACTTAGGTTCTGTTTGCTGTCCTCGCTTTACAGCTGACACAGCCACAGAGCATTGTACCTATAAAGAAATAAACACAGCAAAAATAAAAACATGAGTGAGCAAGCCTTTGGAACGCAGTAACTGGTAACGTGATCACCGGAAAAATTATAAACAGGATTAAATTCCGTTGTATGTAAAGTATGCTTCTTAAGGAGAAGCAAGTGTATAACTGCATACATTGTTGTTATAATGTTACAAAATTCAAAAAATTTAACAGAACATAATTTCAACATTTGAACGGTAACGTCATGATGTGGTGACGTCATGAAGAAGAACGCATGACGTTACGCGGCAAAACAAGTAAACATGACTTTAAATCATTAAAACGGCATTAAATAAACAGAATATGTGTTTGTTTTGCTTGTAAGATTGAAATGCACTTCACTCGTGAACACCAGATATCATATCCTCACTTCTGGTGTCCACACGGTGCAATATATTTCGATCTTACATGCAAAACAAATATCCTCTATTTATCATGCAATTTTATACGTGACACTTAATTAAATTTTCCTTGTGCAGTATTCATTTTTTGCTTATAACAGAATAAATTTGTAGTGAGTTTTTGAAGAGAACAATTTAATTTAAAAGAAAATCAGATTTTTTTTCAATAACCGTAGATATGGTCTCTGTCTTAATGACAAGATACATTTAGTTTTCCTGAAATTCAATGAACACCTGGACAAGGCAATGCATAATGGTTAATTTCTATCCATAATTTTTATTCATAATATTGTGGACGAAGAGAGGTAACATTTCATGTTTAAGAAATCAAGCCATACGTGGTTGTTTCTGATCTAGTTATATAGTGGGTAATGACATTGATCCTTCAAGTATACAGTCTTTTATCAGATGATTATACTTTTTAGAACCAATTATAAATAACATTACCATATTCTTTATTTCAGCAGATTTGTGCCGAAAGAAAATAATAAACATTGATACTATATATACGCTACTTTCATTTTCATATAAAACGTACATTTTAAAGTGATTCAAATACCTTCAATTACTGCAAAAAAGAAACATACAAAATGAATGATCACATGTATGAGAGTTTTGAAAATCTTTGATCTGTTTTACGAATAATTAAAAAAATCTTTCATGCAAACAAAAAACACGACAAACAAGACCAACAAGGAAAGGCGGTGCCCAATGAACGCAACCCCCACACGACCCAGCAACAAGAACCAACGGCAAGGAGCCCAGGCGGACCCCAAACATAAAAAGGACAGGGCAACGACACGTTAATCATTAAATGATAAATAATTTGTAGCTGATTAAGAATTCAAAGAAAATAATAATAGGCCCACAAAGGGGAAGGGGACAGGAGACCGGGGGAAGGGGGGGGGGGGTAATCAAAGATCAAAGAAATAAAAACTAGAGGCAATGGGGAAGACACTTACCGCAGACGAGAAAACAGCAAGGGACACAAGCAAAAGTGCCACCAAAACAGTATGAAACAACATAGACATACATCTGAGGAACACAGTGGGGCGCCGCCTTGGAACGGTCAGCAGCATAAAAATGACTGCTGGGGAGTTTAAACCGGTTAATGGTGCACCAAACCTCGCTCTTAGTCCCACCATGTTCCTATAAACGAGACAGTGTAAATGAAATGAATCCCCGCCAAGTGAAATTCTAACAGTTGTCATGGTTACAAAAGGTTAAATAAGTAAAACACTAAAATGATCATGTAGAAACATATAAAAGTAAACCCAATGACCATAACAAAAGTACTCAATGTCCTAAAGGAAGACAGAGCAACAAGAAAATCACCTACAAGGGCCCGACGAAGCAAGGCAGAAGACGAACATTAAGACAATTCAGTCCCAAAGGGCTTTACGAACTATCCATCATAGAGTCTCCCACTTGGTCCGTCAGATGCAATCAAAAGAGGAAAGCGTAGTGTCCAACTGTAAAAGGGTTGAACACTAAACATGCAGTATGTCTTAAAATAGTAGGGTCATAACCTCTTTTAATAAAACGTTTAATGATTCTACTAAAAACAGCAGAAAAATTACCATGACCCAAAATCTTACGAAGTTTGTAAACCACATCGCCATAAAAACCAGGCTGGCTAATCCCTTGTCGCAGAAGAGTTTTTAAATCACTATTGAATTTAGAAATTAAATCAAAGTTACGATTGTAAAATTTAGTAAAATATTTCCGTAATTTATGATAGCGGTAGCCCTGTTTTAGAAGCTTGCTGGTAATAAAAATATTCCGCTCGTTGAAATCCTTTACGTTGCTACAAGCTCTAGCGAATCTAATTAATTGAGAAACATAAACCCCGTAAGATGTTGCATGGGGTACGTCTCCATCCAAATGTGGATAATTAACTATACAAAAGTCAAAGTCATCTCTTTTATCATAAATTTTCGTGTGAATAGACTTGTTGTTGATAGTAATATGAAGATCCAAAAATGATGTACTAAAATTTCAAGAGTTCGTTTTACTAAGTTGTAGTTCATGCGGATAAATGTCAGACACCATTTGATCAAAATAAGGATTATCTAAATTAAAAATATCATCAAGGTAGCTGGAAGTATTATTAAATGCGTCTATAACATCTTGTTGTTTCTCTTCAGAGAGACTCAACATAAAGTCTCTTTCATAGCAGTATAAAAACAAATCGGCGACCAGGGGTGCACAATTAGTACCCATAGGAATTCCTATGATCTGTTTAAATAGGGTATTACCGAACCTGACATAAATGTTGTCTAAACGAAAAGAGAGTGCTCTACAAACTTCGTCACAGGTCCACATAGTATAATGTTTAACAATACCGTTAGTAAAAAAAGCTTTGTTAGAATTACATGCTAGAAAGGTAACTTTTTCCCGTGCAAAAGTTTTCTGAATTAGGGAAAGTAGTTTATCATTGATTAATTTATGTGGCAAAGTTGTATAAAGTGTAGAAAAATCGTATGTACTGACAGTTGAAGCTTGAAAGTTATTAATTTTGAATTTATCCAAAATTTCACCAGAATTTTTTATTGCCCAAAAGAGACAATGCCAACGATTCAGATTTTGATTTTACCTTTCTGTACTCTATTATCTCTGTTCAGGGTGAATGATAATTCAATATTCTATCTAATATGGTCAAAGATCAGTCTCTTATCTAAAGCAATACAATTTCAATGAATGTCGCATGCATAACTGTTTTACCATGTATCCTAGGGGATAATCTTTGAACGTATCTTCATGAAGGCTTAGGTCGTCCATGTTCTGAGAAGGCCCATATGAAGCTATTGATTTTCCCCTAATGCTCCTAGAAAACAAATTAAAAAAAATCAAGGTTGGTGATTAATGAAATATGCTTTGATTCTAATGCATTAATTTTGCATTATAGTAAGTACCTTTGAAATTTTGACTGATATGGTATATCATTATTCGTTGTGCCAGTTGAAAATAATAGCGCATAAACATTTTATTATAGTTTGCTGCGTCATTTCTCCAATTTTATATGACCTTACAACAATATGAGTGGTATAACGTTTTATTATATCTCGCGTTATTTCTATACTATATACCCTTATATGTTGTCAGATGTAAAATGCGTACTGACAAAGGGTAGTTTCTTTTTACGGCCTGCTGATAATAGCAAATGAGCTGCACACGAATACCTACAAGATCCGCATTGCTAAGAAGCATGAGGATCTTAGAAATGTATCACACCCCCTTAAGTGATCAAATTGAATATCTACCACCCTTGATATTATAATGACTGAACTACTTAATTGAAATTACTTGTGTCGGTTGAACATTTTGTTCTGTCACCCTTTGCATGGCAACTCTTTTTACTGCACAAGAATTAAGAAATTTTTGAGTCCTCTTTTTACATTAGTTAATTGAAATAATTGTATTCATAGCCTTTCATTTTCGCGAAACTTAGGATAATTGATATCACTTTCACAAGTCATAGTTTTATTGGAGTGACGGTTTCTTGAGTATGGTATAATTGTTCTGCATAAATCTGAACTGTGTAGTCTCTAATCTCATGTAAATGAAAGTTGATTATACTTAGTTTACCTAAATGATGAGATGTTAAACAATAATTTTGTTTCATTTATAAATTTATGTTCGCCAACGACAAAATTAAAAACGTGTGTAAGTCCTTTCTTTAATTTTTCATTTAACAACTTTAAAAGATCAGTTGTCTTGGCACTTTGCTTGCAAGATAAAATAAAGCAAACTATAAAGAAACATACCATTGTACATTGTAGAAGTAATCTGAAGAGTTAGAAAAAATACATCTAAATTGTATGAACGGGACATATTTGACCTTGAATCGACCATTCGTCACTGGAGTTTCACTGAAACGTATTTCGGGTGCGGTATAAATAGAGCCAAGGTTTACGTCACTAGGAGGTGGTACTGCAGTATCTAAAAAAATACATTTAAATATGAATTACTTCACTATATGTTCATATAATTAATACCTTCCAGTGCCTCACTCACTGAAAAGTGCTATTTAAAAACATTTTTCACATCGAATTATCACTGGACAAAGCAACCGTAACTGTAATTGAATCAGAGTGAGTATCATACATATATATGAAATAAAATGATAAATCTAGTGAAATCAACACCAACATTAAATAACGTCATAAAATGAAAAGAAGTATTTTTGTCCATTTTATGGTGGAATAGAATACAATATACACATCATTACATTTAAACATATTTTTGTTCATTCTATGTTGAAATACAATACAATTTACACATCATTACATTTAAACATCTTGGGAAAACATGAAAGGATGAATACATTGAACTTTTACACCTCACGCTGCCTCAATGAAATCTATGTTGAACTGTTGATCTTTTATAAACAGAAACGAACCAAAAGCTAGCATACAACCAATAAACAAACATTTCATCATGGCGCCTAACATGGTTAAATTGACAGTGTTAAAAGCTCACTCTGATTGAAATATATGCATTGACGACAATGGCTAATGGTTAGTTTAAACATAGTTTTCAATATTTCACATATTTTACATTTTATATGTATATATTTATTACATAGGGATTAGAACGAAAGAAAACTTATATAGTTCCTCTCCCTGGCTTATGGTCATTTATAGATCAAGCAACGTATTCTGAAACAGGAATATGAACACTTTGAAACATTTAAAAATGAAACAAATTGCAAAAGTTGCAGAAATTAAATAATTTATGTGTTACCATTTATAACTGCTCCTGCACCTGTTGATAGAAAAATGATTCAATAGCAGTTAAGTACAAAACTGATCAATGTTAAATCATATAATATCAGGTACTTTGATAGATGATTTTCTTACAATGGCAAACTTATCAAGATACACTTTAAGTGGTAACATTGTCAATAGTAATGTAAAGTTTTGAATTGCAAATTTCAAAAGTGAAAACGTTAAAAGCGGAAATCGGCAAGCACTGTTTCCAGCATTAAAAAGCAAACTTGAATTTATGTAAATTTTGCAAACTTCATTATAAATAAATAGTTATGCCAGACAAGTGCTACACTTGTTAAAAAGGACATAGACAATTGCCAAATTTCTACTGACTTACCAAAACAATATGCTGAATAAATTATGGTAGGCTTCAGGTAATACTGAATTTCCTTGTCGCACTTTCTGATCCTTACATTGACGGTTGTCCCACATGTTTCTTCAAGACTTACCATGCAAGCTTCACGCTCAATTCCAATATCGTTAAGATCGTCTAGAGAAGGGTGTTCATCTGAAAAAGCATGGTCAAACCGTGAAGCAAAGAAAGCACAAATATCAGCATTTAATTGACGTGTATTTAATTCATGGGACTAGTTATTTAAAGATCTATATCAGCATAGCTTAAAACACTGCCATGGGACAGGCCGCTGTTTCCTTGAGCAAGAAACTTTAGACTCATTGCTCGCTAGTGATTAATTCAAGGAACAATTTTGAGAGTGTGTCTTAAAGCTTATAGTCTCCCACTTAAACAAATCTACAAAAACTTAAGGTCAGGATTCGTTAAAAACACACCAAAAGCAATTTGAACACAAACAAATATTAACAAGAAATATCAAAATGACACATATGCCCCGCTATACATTTTATGGGCAGAATTAATAAGTAGTCATTAAAAGAATACAAGTATAACACACTGGAAAATTGTAGAATTGTGAAGAAGCACAGAGTAAGCAATGGTGGTTGAGAGCTGGGTACCCATGGGTCGTCGAGTTGTTGATTAAAGATCATTTTGGCATACAAAGTCAAAGCAAAACACACATATAAGTCCGCGGCCCATAATCAAAAGGGTCATTTACTGCCCAAGACCAATGCTCGTATAAAGTTAAAGGGCCAATGGCCCATTGGTTGTCGAATACAATGTAATTGGTCAGAAAGCTATATTGCATAAAAGGCCAATGTGACCTTGGCCTCGAGCCTTCGACACTAAAATAATAAAGAGTCCTATGATGCAAAATGATTCTATGAATTTAGAGCGCCAGAGGTGCATCGATTGTCAATTTCTTTGAAGTTTGTTGTGGGACCATGGATTGTTGATTTATGCGATAAAAGGGCAATGTGGCGTGACGTTTGAGCCATTGACCAAAAGGGAGACATCTAATGTATAAGACTAATGCCCTGATAAATTTTGAGTGCCAAGAGCTCTTAGATAGTGGGTTATTGGTCGTAAGACGTTTTGGCATACAAGGCAAATGTTACTTTGAGCCTCCGAAACAAACATCAAAGTTGTCATCTACGGTCTAAGATCAATTCTTCTATGCATGTGTTGGTCAAATAGCCAATTGGTTGTCAAATTATTGGTCAAGAGCTTTTTAAACATACAAGGTCAATGTGACCTTTAAACTTTAACAATGCGACCAAGATCAATATGGGTCATTTACTGGCCAGAAACGCTTTTGACATGATAAAACGTCAAAACGATGTTGACTTTTGGGACAGAATGACAGAAGGACCAACCGACACCATGATGTAAAACAATGTGCTCCTTCATCGGAGAGGTGGCACCAAAACAGGCATATGTGAAATAAACGCAAATAATAATAATAAAAACATGTATTTTTAAGCAAAAGAACACATTTAACAGGTATATGTGACGCGCAAAAGAACAAATAGCAAGCTTATGTGGAACTAAACAACAAACAACAGACATTAATTTACTACAACAACAGGATATATTTAACAGATAAATGTAAATCAAGACAACAAATAACAGGTTATTGTAAAACAAATCACAAATAATCTTAAAAGCAAAGGTAAATATGAAATATGATCAAAAAGTTCTCGGCCCGATTTACTTCTAGCCACTACACTGATATTTACACACGATACGTCGATACCGATATCTTATTGAGGATTTCTGACCGAGTTACACGCGGTTTTACAAAGAGTAAGTAACATAAAACACACTTTGATCAGTAGAGCGGTGTGTCATTTAGACCAAATGGATAAAGTTGAAATCAGACCCGTTATGAAGTACCTCTGTAAGAAAAAGATACCCAAAGGAAATCCATGAAGACTTCATGGATACACTTCCTTTAGCACTGTGAAAACAATTGGCTGCTGCATTTTAGAGGGGCGGGGAGAGCATTGGAGATTATGAGCGGTATGGGCGGCCAAAAGAGGTCACCAACGATGACTAACTGACGACCAGAAACGGACCAGGCTTGACATTTCAAGATATTTTTTGTCTCGCTTCGAGGATGATACTGATTTTATCTTGATAAAACATGGGTCCATCACTTTCATCCAGAATCCAAAAACAAAGCATGGAAGTATCCTGGCTCACCCCTTCCGAAGAAATTCAAAAGGGAAGATGATGGCTTCATTGTTTGGGGATAGACAGAGGATAATCATGATTGACCTTCTTGAGCAAGGTCGTACCATATACTGAACGAACTATGCAGAAGAATTATGACGTCCGCGTCAAGAAATCGCGCATAAAATGAGGGGCAAACTGACTCAAGTCGTTCTGCTACTGCACGACAATGCGCCAGCTTGCACATCCCAAGTTGCCATGGCTGCTGCAACTAACTGCGGCTTTGAAATTCTTCCCCATCCAACAAATTCTCCGGACTTGCCCCCAACCCCCCCCCCCATTCATCTGAATTATACCTGTTTCCGAAACTGAAAACCAAGCAAGCTTCGTGGTAGACGTTTTGGAAGCAATGAAGGTGTCAAGGGGGCGGTCCAATGAGTATTTTGATGACCAAAATAGAGTTCTAGACGGTTAAACAAGTTGTAGCACAAGTGGGCAAAGTGCATTGATGTAGAGGGCGATTATATTGAACAGTAAAACTATAAGTTGGGTTCTATGTCTACCGAAAGTACATCGGGCTGAGAACTTTTGACGAATCCTCGTACAAAATAAAATGTAAATTAGAAACACATACTCGATGCTAACCGAATAGTATGTAGTGTAAGTCTAAATCATCTTAGCAACAGTCTATGCACAATGTTCAAAACTATTTAAAGGTAAACGATCTTAGAGAGGCATATACGCCCTTTTTAAATTATAGCAAAAAGAACAAAACTTAGCTCACCTTTTAGGTAATATGGGTATAAAGTGTTACAGCTTGATAGCAATGGGACATTCTTTGAATCTGTCATAAGGTACTGACGGCCATTGAACACTGCACTGTACCATTTTGCATCGAGTTCACGGTCATTCAAAAGTATACCTTCACCGTCAGTCCTGCAACAATACCGACACATTTTAGTCACTGTTGCTTAATTATGCACATGATGAAATATAACAAAGAGGGAAATGTTCAACATTTAAATTGCCACTATGTATACAGACCCGTTTAACATATCCGCCGAGGCATGCAGGCGTTAGATAATCATTAACAATATTCCTAAATATAAGAATATACCGAAAATCAGATATATGACGGAACAACATTATTGATATTTTGTTTATTTTCTCTTCCCGACCACATTCATACGCTTGGAGCAGAATATTTAAAAAAATACATTTTTTTGTTTGTTTTGACAGCATCTCATTTATGTTACAGTTGGCTATATCAACTGAGTTCATGTGGAACTTCTTATATTCTTCAAGAATAAGCAATCAATAATAATTGATTATGTAGCCCTTTTGGAAGCATTTGAAGATAAGTTTAGGACTGAGATTTATAGGTTTATGATAATATAATTATCAATCATAATGATCTTATGATTATGATTTTTATTAGCATTATCATCAAAATAATCATCATCATCACCATTATCATCATCATCGTTGTCGTTGTAGTAGTTGTTCCTGTAAAATTTGGTATTAGCTATCGTCATTTTTTTATTGTTATAACGTTAAGGGTCCTGCTTGTTTCGGAGTCCCCCGTGTTCGTAAACAAAATCATCTTTAATGCGGTAAGGGAGGGGAATGAGGCATTTGCTTTCACATGCCAATCGGAGCATCTTTTCATAATAATCTCGGATTTAATATGGATTGAAAATAGTTCTACCACGTAGTACTAGGTGTAAACAAACCTTTGTATAGTGTATAATAAACGGGATCCCAAGGACAAAGTCTATGTCGGTAACATTATTATAGAAAAATATGTCTGACAATCATATTCATTTTAAAAACTCCTACTGATGTACAATCATAAAACACGAATTAATGTCGACAGGCAAACATTTTGTAATTTCGGTTTCTACAATCACAATAATAATTAGTAAGTATATAATGGACTGTTTACTTTTGATATTATAAATTTACTTAGATGGACATGATATATTGGAGAACTCCAGCACTTACTTACTGATTGTTTTCATGCTTAAGTTTTAGGATAGGTTAGCCCGCAATACCGTAATCATTCTATTTACTTTTGAACGTGTTAATACATTATTAATGAAAATGTATCAATTACTTTTGACTTCTTTTTATAAGAACAAAGTATGTTTTATGTTTCTGTCTAAAACATTTTGTAAATGATACGTTCGTACCTAGATGGCAATAAGGAGATTATGGCTATTTTCAAATTAAACACTCACCATAATTCTATGCTTAGATATTTTAATGAAATTAAGATTATTTTTAGTAATGTCAATGTTATACGATGTGGAGATATTCTTGTTTACGGAAATTATCATATAGAAAGGCTTCGATTACAAATAACACGGTATTATAGTCTAAACAGATGAATTTTTTAAACATTGTGACATTTAAATGAACGGACATATGCCACTTTAAACTACTTTCTCACATTTCCTTTCTTTCCACTGTATCAACTGTCCATGAAACCGATAGCATTTTGTATATAAAATACACACTAAAATGACGTAATGTGTGAGTGAAACACAATGTAACAGAAAAGGAGCACATCTGTACTTTGCCCATTGTCAACAGAAATCAAATTGGCTCAAGCTTTTAATAAAATATCGCATAAATACGTCCAAGTATTCTCATATACAAACAACATCCGATTAATGTAAAAAGCATTTTATGCACTAGAAACTGATGATTTTGTTTCATTTTTTTATTTTTTTTTTTTGGAAACGACACTGAGAATTATATAACGATTTAATACATTATTATATATTATTACATTGTATTACATTGCTCCCTTATGGCATGTTTCTCGATAAAATGTCATACTTCAAAATAAAAAAGTTAAAAGTGACACCGTTATGATGACCTTCTATTTGAATTTATTTTTATAGCGCATCACTCGCGAAGCCGTTAAACGGCTGGTGTGTGACAGCGCTTTTTAAAAGTACTGCGTTTTTAATGATCTTGTCATAAATATCAATTCGCATAATAATAAAAATTCGTCATTTAAATTACTGGCGGGATGTTCAGAGGAACATATATCTCGTATACAACTTGTATAACTAATAACATAATGGTTTTAGAGTATGCTCTATACTTGTCACATAAAGAAAATATTTGAAAATGTGAAATAATTAGTATTACAAACATATTTTGTGTAAATAGTAAAATGCTTTATTTTGCGTTTTTAATTATTTTATCTTTTTCAAGACAATGACATATCTACATAGCTATGATATGCCCTCAGATACCTTTACATCATTTGATGAAGTAATGAAGCAAAATATGAATTATCACATATACGATAGCCAAATCAAACAATTAAGTTATTTCATGTTTCAACACATGGATGGCAATAAGACGAATTAAATAAAACAAATTGTTTGATAAAATTGTATTTATGTTTAAGCAACATACCAATAATCTGAATAGTACGTTGGCTCCCTCACTGTTATGTCATTCAAGAGGGGTGGACTTCTTCCATCACATGCCGCATCCGCTAAAACAAACAAAAATACAGTTATCCGCATATAAATAAAACACGAAATAGTAACAGTTATCCGCTATAAAACAAAGCATTTATTCGCCTTAACATTTAGATTGACATTAATCAGCAAAAACAGAGCTACACATAAATTCGCTTAAACAAATCAATACTTTTTATCCGATTAACCACTGAAACAATAAGTAAAATGTGTGCTCGAGTAAATGTGTATATTAAATTAAACACAAAATCATGAACTAGTTACATTTTTGTATTTTACAAAAATACAACAAAACATTAAGATGAAAACCTGTGTGTCTAAAATTACATCATAGATAAAAAATAAATGCACTTTTATGATTGTCATAATACAGTTCCAGTTAACAAAAATTACTTACATCGGTTTGAACAAATGATACTCAAAAACAACAGAGTGCAAGTGAGAACACGTCTCTTCTTCCACATGATTCTTTTCGGTGTGATGCATGTGTGTCAAATCTATGAACCAGTTAATTTATAAGCAAAATGAATATGATTCATGAGGACATAAAGACACATCTGCAATGACACTGCACTTGATCTAAATTGTCTTACTTGATCCTCTCAAAATATGAAACAGCTTGAATGTTATAAATGTTCCTGGTTCCGAAACGCAATATTTCAAATGTGCAATAACCTGGCAAGACAATCAACAATAGACAAACGGCATTTAATGTCGAGCTTAACATTCGATATTGGTAAGTGTTCAATGTAATTTCAAAACAAATGTTGAGCTATACAAGAAAAAAATACCAGCTAGACATAAAAATTACCAATGTAGAGCTAGACAATAAAAAAATAAAATAGTTAAAAATGTTGAGCTAGACAATAAAATGTCCGCTAAACTTTAAAAATTACCAATGTTGAGCTTATAAGTAAAAATATACACTCAGTAGAATTAGAAAATTACCAATGTTTAGCTAGACAATAAAAATATCCGCTAGACTTCAATAATTACCAATTTTGAGCTAAACAATAAAAATATTCGCTAGACTTCAACAAGCTAGACAATTTACATTCACACAATCAATATTCATGCAAGTTTAAAATATAATTTCGAAATGTATAGCAAAGATATAGCAAGACAATCAATCATTCGCTAGCCATTCATGTGCCGAGCTAGACAATTGACAATTAGACGAGATTCGTAAGTTTTCAATGAAGTTTCAAAACGAATGTTGAGCTAGACAATAAACATCACCTAGACATTTCAAGTTACCAATTCGAGGAAGACATTCGACATTCAGTTTTACATTTTTGAATATTATATTTTAGTTTTCAATACAATTTAAAAACGAAGGATGAGCTAGATAATCAACAATAGGCTGATGTCGATTGTCTGGCTCGATATTGGTAACTTTGAATGTCTGGCCGATTGTTGATTGTCTACCTCAACATTCCTTTGGGAATTACATTGTTAAAACCGAATATCATATGTAGGAAATAAGGTCTTTTCTCTTGCTCAAAATTGGTAATTGATTCTCTAGTTTTACATTCGTTTTAAACTAGCAAATGTCAAATGTTTATATGTTCATTTATTACTGTTATTTTTCGGTGTTTTAACCGCTTTTTCAATTTAATCACTCACAACTGGCAAAGTAATTTCTATAATTTTTACTCAAACCAATCTGTATCAATATTTATATCAAGGGGGCATTTTCAATTTCTTTAAAGAAAAGCATGTAAGTCGTTCAAATTAGCATTATGTTTCCATTTGTCCTTCCGTTTAGAATTGATAAGTATTGTTTTGCATTTCTGTTATCTAAATTTCTGGATTTTGTTTTGCTATTTCTCTTTAATTTTGGAAATGTTTTATTCATCATTTTCTTATACTTTACTTTTAACACTCACGTCATTTTGGTTAATTTCAGTATCATTTTTTTTATTTTAAACATGTGTCGCTCAATGAAAATCACGTTGAGCTTTTAACACCGTAAACTTAACTAGTAGGTGTTCGATATTTCTTGTCTGAGGTATGACAAAAGTTCAATTATCTTAGCAATATTTCAACAATATCATTTAAACTCTCAGGGTACATACCATCGCTAGTTTCTAGTACAGTCAAGTCATTAATAACTTGGTTTACTTATAATATATCAATAATGTTGACAAATAAATCAAGTTTATCATTATCTTACAATTTAACAAAGTGATCACAGGCAGAATATTGTTCCTTTTTGTACTCCGTAGATGGTGTGACAGAGTTATTCACATCGGACGATAATGGACAATTATTAGATACAATCATACATTATACATACTTAAATATAAATTTGTTGTGTATTTGCATTTGAAATAAGCTTTAAATTGTATTTGCATTTCATAAAATAAATCGGCTAGATTTGTTTCATGTAGAGCTTCATAGTCCGGATAAATATAATCAGGTTATTGTTAAGTACGATCATTCCTGTCTCAAAATAACCATATCTTATCATAAATGTTTGAAAAATATCAATTAAAGACTGCAAGTCAGCAAAAAGATCATCGCAGAATGTATTGAATCTTCTTCTACAACACACAATATCTTGCCAGCTTTCGTTAAGCTTTAACTCTCTATCAAAGTAACAAATGACTCTTTATTACATTTGGTAGATAAGCATAATCCTCCTGGTTTATTTCTTTAAATAGTTTTCCCATGTTTAAAACATGTAGGATGTTGTTTTTGCTTGTTTATTTGTTTGATTGAATTGCTGTTGTTGTTGTGAACCTGAACGAATCCCCCGTGAGTAATAATAACGTTTATTTTTTTCTTCTTTTTTATTCTTCCTTTTCTTCTTCTTAAGATCACTTTAAAGAATTAATAGGGCAAGCTTTTGAAATTATCAAAGAGTTACAAACTTAAAGAGACAATTGACATATGATGAGAAATGTGACATTATTTTCCTTTTATCAATAAATTTATGTTATTGTTATATTATATTTTCCCTTTTCGGCGACGTTGAGGCTAGCATTACAGTCAGTCGATGAGGAAGTTATCTTTAAAGCTACTCATAGAAAAACATCTTCAATACACATCAATTAAAAATATCACAATTGTCGGATCATTATAAATCGTTAACAGTCATTCCTTAAGTGCTGAGTAAGCGAATTTTTTTCAATTACGCATTGTCTACTAAGAATGGATCAAATGTGATTCTATTAATATTTGCAAATACAGTTAAACCTCGATCGCTCGAACTCGGATTGGTCGAATACCTCCTTTCGCTCGAACTCACCATTCGGTCCGACAAAATATTATGCAACAGTAAGTTATAACTGTCTCCAGTGTAGTGCTTGTGAGACATATCGTTTACTGTCTCGTAAAGTTAAGATAAGATACACTGTTACCTTTGTAGAGTGGCTACCTGAAAAGCAACAACCTCTCTACTACAACAGTTTCATTATTTTAAAAAGTAAAGCCTTAAAACATATTAAAGTTCACCCTCTCAAAAGCAACACCTCTCACTCAACCTCAACAACCAATATTTTTCTCCCAAATGGTGTTTCCTGCAGAGGTTATATTATTAGTTATAAATATTTTTGACAGGTTATATAGCTCTATATAAACGGTTGTTTGTAAATATAACCCGAGCCGCCAGGCGAGGGTTATATTGCAAACAACCGTTTATATACGGCCAAATAACGAATTGATAATACAGCAAGCATCATATTTTTAGAGGAATAAAGCGAGATTTCTTTATAAATCGTCAGCAGCCGTGTATATAAAACTATATAAACGTCACTGTATCCAATGAGAAGCAACGTTACCAAAGTGCGGTTTTATAATGTTTTTTATTCACAACACATCATACAATTTATGGATCAGTTTAATATTTTTAACACGTATATGACCAATCAGTAAATGATCTGAGAGTGACTATAAATAAATAATTGATAAAACTATTATATCTTACTGATTGTATGTATGTATTAAGTATGAATTAAATTGGGAAAAGCTAATATGATATTTTATGCAAAGCGAAAGTTATAATTTATATACTTTAGAAAGATGTTACTATGTGTGTATCTTCCTTTTCTATATACAGATATGCAATCATGTGTGAAAATAGTTTAAACCCCATATATGTTATTATTTATATTTCTTTAAAGCTTTTTTTTTGTTGTAATGTTGCAGTTACCGTGCTAAATGGTCATATAACTAAATAAAATTTTTCCTTTCATTTCAATTATTCAAGTTTTAGTGGTTTAGGTTAGTATGGAAGACTAAAAATCACTTTGCTTACGTTTTGTTACTTTAAGGACAAATAAATAACATTCTTCGCGTTTCTCTCTATTTGTTCTACGCGTTTCTCTCTACTTGTAAACATCTAACATCCTGTGAACATTAAAAAGCATAGGTTTGCATTTTTCTTCGGAAACAGTCATATGTATTGTTTGTTTTTGTTGGTGGTGGTTGTGGTTTTTTTAATATTAATACTTTTATTGTGAAAACTTTAAAGATCCTGTAACACAATTTTTTATGGTTTTAAGTCATCAATAAGATGCTCAAATTAAGATTTATCAATATTGTAGGTTTCAAAAAGCACTATTTTTTAAAATTAACCGAATTTAACATTTCATGTAAATAAGGGGATGTAATAAAAAAATTTATTTTCTATAAAGTTTAAGTCAAATTTTACAATAAAAAATGAATGTATATATTTTAATGATTACATATAATATGCACAAATATTTGCAGTACATATTTTACATATTCTTCGATGTTTGAACATTGTTTTATTTGCATAATTATGTACATGTACATATATATAATTTCACTAAGTGTGGTTTACCACTTTGATCACAACATACAGGATCTTTAACAGACTTAAGAATATAGTACTAATTTAATAAATGTGTGAATTATATACTATTTCTTGAATTCGTAAACCTTAAAACTAGATTTACAGGATAGATCAACACAGGTAAAAATGCACCACATGTTTAACGTATGTTTGGTGCACCATTTTTTCATATGTACAACATGTGTTTGATACATTCTGAAAAACATGTATTTAACCAACAGTCGATAATAAAAAATATTTAGGTGAACATGTTTATCTGCCGTAAGTATAAAAAACTGTCCTACTCTTTATATCAATTGAACGTTACATGTAAATTTTGATCCATATTTATAGAAACTTCCTTTAGCCATATACGAGGATTGATTAAAAAGTTCTCGGCCCGATGTTCTTCCAGTAGTCAGAGAACCCAACTTATTGTCTTACTTTTCAATATAATCGTCATCTACATCAATGCACTTTGCCACCTGTGCTCAAACTCGTTAAACCCCTCAAAATAGAACTTTCTATGTTGGTCCACAAATAATTCATTGACCGCCTCTATGACACCTTCGTTGCTTCCAAAACGTCTACCACGAAGCTTGGTTTTCAGTTTCGGAAACAGGTTGAAGTCAGAGGGGCCATGTCCGGAGAAAATGAGGGATGGGGAAGAATTTTAAAGCCGCAATCAGTTGCAGCAGCCATCGCAACTTGGGATGTGTGCGCTGGTGCGTTGTCGTGCCTTGAGTCAGATTGCCTCTTCTTACGCGCATTTTTTTATGCAGACGTCTCAGTTCGTCTGCATCAGTACGTACCGTTTACGGTACGACTTGCTCAAGATAGTAAATCATGATATACCCTGACTATCCCAAAATGTTGAAGCCACCATCTTCCTTGCTGATGGAACCCTATTAAATTTCTTCGGAGGGGGTGATCCAGGGTGCTTCAACTGCATGCTCTGTATTTTTGGGGGTTTTTTTTATTCCTGATCGACGTGATGGACTCTAGTTTCATCCTGAGTTACGATCCGGTGGATAAAATCATGTTCATCCTCCTAACGAGACAAAATGACAAATGTCAAGCCTGGTCCGTTTCTGGTCGACAGTCAACTATATGGGGACCCACCTAGCAGAAACATTTTACATACCATATACATCAATCAGAATGAAATGAACCAAAGCTTATACTAACTTCCCTAGCAAAGCTTCGCATGTCTCGCCTTCTGTCGCACATGACCAGATCGTGCACAGCTTCGATAGTTTCATCGTAGTGGCCTCTTTTGGCCGCCCAGGCCGCTCATCATCTCCAATGCTCCCCTCCCCCTCTTAAATTCAGCAGCCCAATTTTTTCACAGCGCTTTAGGAAGGGGACTATTTCCAAAGTGTATCAATGAAGTCTTCATGGATTTCTTGGAGTACTTAATGACGGCTTTGATTTCAACTTTCTCCAGTTGGTCTAAATGACACACTTCTCTACTGATCAAAGTGTGATTTATGTTACTTAATCTGTGTAAAACCGCGCGTATGATCAAAAAGTGCTTTGCCGATATACTTGCCGCCACTAAACTCACATTTACATACGATACGTCGATATCGATATCTTATTGGAGATTACTGACCGAGATACATGCGGTTTTACACAGATTAAGTAACATAAAGCATACTTTGATCAGTAGATGATGTGTTATTTAGACCAAATAGAGAAAGTTGATATATATGTCTGTTTCAAAACAGGTCAAGTAGTGTTGAACAGGCTCAATCAAACCGAGCCTGCAACATTTTCAATTTTGCCGTGTTGGGCTTTCTTTAGGGATTCTGTATTTATCTATTTTATGATCACAACCGTGTTATTTGTGCCGTGTGGCGGCTGTAAAAAGTCTCCCCGTACATTTAATCAATGATGTTATATTTTCTATCCTTGAAGATCGTTCAGCACGACATTATTGTTGTGCTTGTGGTATTTTTAGTTTCAACTTTTCGGCATTTTCTAGTTGGGTGGTTCCAATATTCCTACTTGAGTAATGTTGAATCACCCTTAGGATATGTTGCCTGCTTTTTAAATTTGTCTTTTGACGTCTTATCTGTGATACGCAGGCTTCATAACCTCTGATCCCCTTTCAAAATTCCATTTTATTTAGTTCCGCCCATTGTTTTCTCGTTTAGGGCACACGCTTTTTATTACTTGGGGACCATACGCCGCTTTTCATGGAATGGCACGGAAGTGTCACATTGAAGGTTCCATGATAACCGCCGTATGAACACATCTGCGGATGTTTCTAAATTCAAAATTACTATTTCATGTTTAAATGTTGAATTCTGCTTAAGCCGGTGCTAGGGGGCGTGGACGGTAACTTGCACTTTCCAGTACCGTCCATGAACAGGCTCAATCAAACCGAGCCTGCAACATTTTCAATTTTGCCGTGTTGGACTTTCTTTAGGGATTCTGTATTTATATATTTTTTGGACTTTTAAAAGTCTTTTTCTTTTTAAAAAGTGCCAGTTTTCAAATGGCTATATATATTCATAATGTGATCAACTATATTGTGTAAGGTTAAAAACATTACATAACATTTATTTTGTATTTATTAAAAGACAGTGTAGCATTTATCAATATTTTCTTAAATCAGTTTTTAGCATATTATACATGTATCTTTAATATTTCATAATTGTTAATAGTACAGAGTGTAGAACCCTCCAATTTAGTAATTACCGCATACATAGAATGCAAAATAACGTGTTTGAACAATTAGATATTCGCGCTGTTTCACTCTTCACTTTACGATTTTTCATCTCCGGGAAATATTCTTTAAAGGGTTCCTTTATAAAACGAATGGGCTCTACACTTGATTGCATTATATCTGAAAATCAATGCGCAACCAAACTTAAAGCGACATTATACCCATCTATGGAAAACCAAAATAAGTTTACATATTGCCATAATTCTTTTCAATTTTATAATTAACTTCGTATGAACGATAAATATCTGACGTAGTCAAAGAAAATTTCTGAAAATATGAGTCGGATTGAGACCTGCACCACTTAACAAGAAGAGTTGAGGAAAGGAACAATTAACCGAAAATGGTAAGCTTATACTAGTAGTTGATGAAATTATCAGATTTTTATCAGATAATTTCAATATCTAAAGTTATAAAATCTTTCATGGACTTTCTTTCTGATGAATATCGGATGTTTATGTTTGTCTTAATTCATATGTAATTAACTCGGATATGTCATGTCGTTTTCATTTCTTCGAGATGTTTTTGTTGATTATTGAGTCTGTTAGTAGGTGCAGAAATGTTAATTGCTGTAATTTCTAAACTCATAATCGTTCTACTCCTGTAACTACTAGTAATTATATGCGTATACAAATATCGAGGTAAACAGAAATAACTCATAAGCCAACAGATTATATCATAATATATAGATTGTATATCCATAATTAATTTGAGTAACACCGTGACGTGCCCGAGTAGTCAGGATCATTGACTTCTTATCGGCTTCCCCTAAGACTGAGACTTTTCTATCCATTCAGAAATCTTGTGTATTTTTATGTACGGAAACTATCCAGCTAGTTTTACGGAAGGTCAATGGTGCTACTCAAATGACCGTTTGTGCCTGAAATAATGCATGAAGGTGTAGTTGAGGCCTTCGCTTGAAATTTGGCAACAGACTTTTATTGTGTCGTTGTGACATAAATTCCAATAACAAGAAATAAAGAAACGAACAAACAAAAACACGTTATGCAAAAACTTATCTTGAAATATCATGTTTATAGGAAACAAATGTGATTTCGAGGAAAAAATAGTCTGCTTATGAACATTTTAAGCTGCAAATACGATAAGCCAAAATTTTTCTGGAAAATCAAACATGAAAAAAGTATACTAAGATTGTAAGAAAAGTAAAAAGATCAAGTTATGATTTACAGGTAATGTGCGGTTAATTATGCATTACTATATTTCTATTGCGTACCTAACGCAGTAAGGTTCCTTTATTGTATAAATTGACTTTTTGGGTGGATTAAAAGTTTCGTTTGCAAGGGGTAAAGTACTTCCTTTGTTCAATTTACAATATTTTACTTTTTAATACATTTTCATAATTTTCATAAGAATGAGTATAAATCTGGCATTTTTCTATTTCAATGGTGACGGGACCATCTCGGCTATAAAACCCAAATAAATACCGCCAAAAAGTTAGAAATTAAACATGTCTGTACCCGTTCTTATGAGACACTCGAACAACTTTTCGCACCTTTCCAGTACTTTCAGTCCTTTGATTTTACCTTGTACTTGTCACGCACCATTGATAGACAACAGAAAGACACTTGTGCTGTAGAAAGCGTTCTCATTTACTCAAGCAAAATGCATGTGAAAATTTTAGTAAAAATAGTGGTATATATACGTAAATATATGTGTAGATGGAAAATTCTGAAGTGAAAAAAGTAGCATCCACAAAAATCACCTTGACAAAATTTGATGTTTTTAAATGAAAATTCTATTTTATCAATTCCATTTAACCTACTTGTAATGAAAATGCAACTATAATGTCCTATATACAAGTTATCATTTCAAACAGAATTTCAGTTACAAAACTAAAAGCAAAATTATAAAACCTTTTTAGTTTGTTTGAAAAGTCATATTAGAAAGCAAATTTGCGCGCTCTCATCCTTGCAAATTCTATAGTAATGCTCACTTAAAACAGATGCGAATGCGTATACAATAAAAACAATAAAATAAAACGCTGATTTCAAGATATATAATCATTGACAGAAAATGTTTATGGTTGTTGTGTAGTTGTTTGGTTGTTGCCTTTCTTTCGATCATTTCGGACACGTTTAACCAACTGCTTAAGTCGTTTAATTTGTTCTGTGAGCCTTTGTAATTTTTTCTTCCGTTTCTTGTTTCTGAAAGAAAGAGTCTCCTTTCGCTGTTTTAAGCGAAGCAACTCTTTTGCTTTACATCTCTTCTTTGATGACCCCATGCCGGATGTTGTAAGCATTGAATGTGTAGTAGGGGTGATTCCAGGATCAGTTTGATTTTCAACATCCTCTGTGGTTGTCGGTGTTGCAGTGGTGCTGGTATATGATGTTGTAGTCTTTGTGGATGTGGTCGTAGTCGTTGGAATGCATATTTCCACTGAAATTATGATACATTCCATTGAGATAAATTTTCGCCATTGTTTTGAATTCGAATAAGATGCTTTGGTCCTGGAACTTTGGAACAAGGCTACTGCTTGTTATAAATGCAACCTATTGTCAATACAAATGATTTTTCTTTTAAATTGCATTTAAATTTGGTTTACAATAGCAGTAGAATAGTTTTCATTAAAATGATAATCATCATCATCATCATGATTATAATCATCATCATCACCACCTCAATATTCATCATGATGACCATCCTCATCACCATTGTCTTGTATGGGAAAGGTCATACATCCAGTTATTTAATGTATTTTCGATATTGCATTGTCTGATATTTGAAAAAATTAGACAGTCATGTGGAACAATGAATTACTTAAAAGCAGTGCTTGGACGATAATAATATGTATATTTTTGAAGAAAAATACAGAGTGTGAGCATTGACAACTTACGGCTTGTTTCCGTCCAATCTGTCACAGACACAGAGGTATTGCAGGATAGACAAGTATCATTATTCGAAAGGAACGCGTATGTGTCCTTGATGCAAGCATGTTCGATGAAACAAAATCCATTCTAAAAATGAATATATATTATTTTTTGAATTATTAAAAACAGATGTTGAAACATTTTGGCCGATTTAATATACAAGTGAGCATATCATTCAGTATATCCGTTTCATTATATACTTTATTGATTTGAATTATTTTAAAAGAGTAGATTTGTAAACTGGTCGTTATTCAATCCGCCTTTTCAATTAACCAAGTCAATGTCCGGAATAATAAATAATGACATACTCACATTTTGTAATTAAAATGACAAATTAAGAACGCATATATAAATATCATATATCATGATATAACGATATGTTTACCCGCGACAAGCTTTGTCAACCGACTTGTTAGCCGAGGGTCAAGGATGAGTATTCCGTTATTCCACCCTCAGTAGGATGTGATATTAATCTTATCATACCAAACAATTAGCTTGTAATTTGAGGCTTAAGCGTGAAAAGGATAGTGGCAGATGAATTGGTAAGTAATACGGAACAGAATAACTAAATGACTTAAACGCGTCTTCCGGTTACCTGTGAGGGACATTTGGGGTTGTCAGCGGGCCGAAACGTGATGTTACCTTGAGGTCACGAAATTACGACTTTATAGTATTGCCGTCACGTGAAATATACTAACATAAATGACAATCAAATTTTACCTTTAAATTGAACGACGGTCTTCCTGTTGCCAATGAATCAAGTTTCTGACAACTTGAATCAAATATATACATGGTGTTGTTTTCACCATAGTGTACTCCATCGCTGCTAACTGATACATCATGTTCCCTCACAAACATATCTCTAGAGAACACGTTTTCTTCCGGGATACAACATACACCAGTGAAGATATCTTCGAAACCACCTGCCAATGTCTCTACGGTAACATTTATTTTCTCCCCGGAAATTGAGATCTTAAAAAATCCAAAAGTATTAGATGCATATAATCAATAATAAACTAAATACTTAGTTTCGATTTTTTCAACGACATGCCAGAATATTTTACATATATGAACATGGTTTTAAGTTAAAACACTGCATTGTATCCAATATAAAGAAATAATTAAATGTATTTATCTGTAGGTTTACATATTGTGCTTGTCCATTATACAATATGACTGAACATGAAGCAAAATATTACATTATTAAACGAGATATTTTTTTAATTATTTTAATATATAGCCACATTTATTACTGAATAAAATTATTTTTGGTGTTTTTTTATATGTGTATGTTGTTATAAAGCAATTTTATGTTTAAACAAACCAATTTTGTAGGTAGCCTTAATGCATTTTACGATATATTTAAGTTATTTTGGTTTATTTTTAAAAAGGCTATGCAAAAAATCGAAAAATTGTTGGTTCTTTAATTTTGTGTGTAAACAGTGTATGTATAAGGACCTACTTCCGAAGTTACAATCTTGCATTTCAAACTCTCAAGAAAGTTGTCACCGCGCACATAGAAACATCTACAATCTTCCCCTTCCCCGGTATCACATATGCATCCCCCTTCTATATCAGTAACAATGGGCGGAATCCTTTCGTCAATGTCACATATTGCACCGTGATAATATTGGTGACAAATGCATTCACCTATTTATATATAAGCCATGTCAATTATTTAAATAAATTATATTTATTTTAGTTATATTTATTATGTTTTATTTAAGTGACATTTGTATTTGGAAAAGACATTTGCTGTTACGAAATGTTCGAAAATGATATTTATATATCTTAAAGTACATTTTAGATAAGCCTATAAATGGCACTTTTAAAAAAATAGAAATGTATCATATGAATATTCTTAAAACATGATACTTAAATTGTTAATACAGGTCTACGCGATTTAAAGTGACATTTGTATCTGATAAACCATAAAGTTTGCTCTAGAACACCTTATTTTATCTGTGATATAAATATATGTAATATTAGAACATGTAACTAACACTTGTCAACAACTTAAACGTGAAATTACTTCGTACTTTGTTTGAAGGTCTAATTCTAGTACTAAGAGCTATCAACGTCACTTTTCATTGTAATACAAACCATCCATTATTTTAATTACTAATTCACTTTAAAATGATGCTGCAATCGCAATCACTTTGGTAGGATATAGTATATGTTCTTTTGTTTTATGGCCTTGATATAACAGCTAAACTACCCAAGGTAGAATAAGGTTAATATAATAAGCAGGCCGGGCTCGATGAACTGTAATATAACCTACGAAATGAATAACAAACTTTCAAAACAAAATATACCCCCAACCTTGGCACTGCAGCAAATGCCTTTTGCGTAAAACTTAACAAATTATGATATAAATTTTACTAAATAATAGGTGTAATCATCATCATCGTCATCGACGCCCTCCTTGTCATCATTGCCACCACAACCAGCAGCACCACCTCCATCTTCATCATTATCATATCATCATCATTATCATCATCATCATCGCATTGTGATATATGACTTTTAAGTTATCGTGAGTAGTGCTATAGTGCCTAAATTCGGAGTATTCTTTTTCAAATACGCGTTTTTTATTTCTTTACCAATAAAACTACCCGACTTTTGTCTATACAAAGAAAAATTGCTGAAACAGAGATCCTTTATCAATTCTTTAAACAATTATTATAAATGGTCTTACCATCATCGGAGCAGTTGCCTCTATCACTACAATCACGTGAGCAAGAGTTTTTAAGGAACACCTGTACCTCCTTCTTGTTAGTTTCAACATATGTCGGCACTTCATCCATCATTCCTTTAACAATTGTATTTACTGAATCCACATGAACATCTGCAAATGACTCGTCATTCGTGGCCTGAAAATATTGCGGAATGAAATTCCGTATATTTGTATGAGAGTTGTGTTTTGTTAAAGAAAAATTAAAGTGTGTATAATATTACCTTTCTTATATTGATAAAATTGAACTTTTGTAGCAAAGTCACATTTTTCTGGGAAAAAGGTGTCTACTGGAATTGTTAGTGATAGTAATCATTAAAATGAAGCATTTTTGTTTAGGTCGTGTAGATCTAAATGAAAGATTCAATAGAATTTGTGTTGTCTGACAGATGAAGTAGTTGGCAAACATGTATTTTGACAATATTCAGGCCTAAATGGATACAAAAAAATAATAAAAACATCAAAATTCATTATACCTATCTAGTCCTGTAATAATACAGAAAGGTATATGTTTTAGGGGAACGTAAATAGTTATGCAAAGCTTTCAGTATTAAACACAGGCATTTATTGCCCAAGTTATTAAGGAATTAATAATTTTGTTTGTTTGTTTGTTTCATTTTTCGCCCTGTCCCAACAGTACTTCAGTCATATAGGCGGGTAGTTTCCTAACTATCATTTCTGGAGAGTTACACCAGTACTAGACTACCTTCCTCCGCGCTAAACTACCAAAGCATCTCCCGGGGATCGAACCCACGCCAGAGAGGTAACTGGATTAGAAGTCATCGACTCTAACCCCTCGACCACGGAGGCGGTTAAGGAATTAATAACAAAATTGATCAGTAAAAATAAGTTCAAATTTGATTCATATGTATATACTTCATGTGATATATATACATATTATGATGTATAATTGTATAGTACAAATATGTACTTAAAGTAATTATAACCTTCTTTGATATACGTAATCCACATGATATATTTTGAAGATAATATATGCATTAATATGATATAATACATCATTTAACTATTATGGTTTACACATACATGTATTACACTATTTTCTAGGTTTTAAATGTAAAATATATTGCAACTGCACGCATTTAATAACATACCATAATATCAAAGATACATTGGCTGATCACAGCATTTGGATCTTCTGAAGCTGTCATATTAGTATATGATGTAAACGCAAGTGACCCTTTGATCTTGTTCGTACATCTTTCCTTTGCCTGAACCTCAGATATCACATTACCGTTTGTTTGACGCTAAAGAAAAAACAATAAGGTAAGATTTTATTAAAATTATTGCCAAAACATGATTTTGTTTTGAAATGGTGGAATCTGTTTGTGTATTAGGAATCTATGGCAACGAATCCGAAAAAATGTGATGAGGTTTTTTATCAAACACACGTCCTGCTTTTGCAAGGCCGTCAAACGGTATTGAACGGTTGTGCATTTTGACAATTGACATTTCCGTTCCACAAACATAGTATTAAGAAGCGATACATGACTTATTCCTTTGTCACAGTAATAACAGTTCTTATTTTGGGTATATGATAAATAGAATATTTTATTCGTGTTAATCTTAACACTAAATGTTTTGAACGAGTTAAATAAAACCATATATTATTTATACATGTACCTGTAAACGATGTTGTATATCTTATGCATTTATCACGTAACTATATACCATATGACTCGTATGTGACAGGAAATGACGTTGCTGGCGTTAAATGTAAATGTAAATTACTCTATAGTTGAATTTTTATTTTAAGGGTATGTTATAAAAAATGTTGTTGACAGAGTGTCTTTGATCATTTACTTGTATTAGAGTCTCACGGATTATGATCCAATTATACAATTTCAAGTCGGAAACCACCATAAGCACCCTTTTATGTAATGTAGATTCACTGATTTAGCTGCATCTGTTTATATAATCTCGTCACACACATAATTCTCAATTCTCAAAATTCCATACAACGAGGAAAGAGATGACATATTGTTTTCATTAATGTTGAAAAATACCGTGTTTATTGATTGTGTGTTTTTTCGGGACAACTAGTACCATAATTACTGTTGACCTAGTTTTCATGTTCATCAACCACGAGCATGCATTATAATACATTTGACGACGACCAAAATGTTTCTCAAAAAAGTGTATGGATTTTTAAAAGCAGATTAAAGCAATTGAATAGTTTTCTATAGTTCAACTCCTATATTAAAAAGGTTTGTGATAATTTTAAAATAGATTAACAAGATATACAGAAATAAATCATTCTTAAATTCATTTGCTTTATAAAGATATATAAAAATAAAATCCATTTTTCTTTCAAACATGATTACTAACCTTTCTAACATCGTGATTTTCCACTGGTTGCATAAGTGCAAAAAGACGGTCCATTTCTTTTTCATGAGCAGCTGGAGACCTCTTTTTACGAACACTGTATATGTTACATTTAGTTTTAGTGATAGATTTTTGCATTTCACAGTCAAGATACTGCGTACTGGAACACAAAGCCTCCGATGAAATCTCCTGTTTTCCTTTTTGGCAAACACAGAACAGTCCATTTAGATTTGCCCAACTTTCTAATGCACGTTTTTTACGTGAATATAGGTTTTCCCCCGGAACTCTGTAATTCAGAAACGTGTTTTATTCCGCACTTTTTAAAATAGTAACAAACATGCCTGACATGGAATTATACAGGTATAGTATAGGGGGGAAATACTTTGATGAGACTTTAGTAGATTTTAAAATATAAAAAGCGTTGATATTGAATGTGTATAATTGAATAATTTGGTCATTGTACATTATAAACTAAAGACTGTTTATTTTAATTGATTACTAAATATACTGACCTCCAGCTATTTGCAAACTCTTCATGGTGACGGCGATAGAAAACGGTTTCTGTTTTCAGTGCAGATATTTTCTGGTTACTATGAACGAGGTCGTTTGTTGCATCACCATCAAAATTTCCACATAGTCCACGTACATTGTACTTGTCCTTGGGAGCCATTTTAATGTCAATGTTCATATACCCATACATCCATAAGAAAATAGTTACTTTTGTTCCAATTGGTGTGTAAACCTTAATGATAAGAATATAATGTCATTCATTTACCAAACTCTTACGTTGTTTGAATGAATGATCTTAACTCTGGGTGCACATTAAACCGAAACATGTAGGAATTAAAATGTAAGGCAATGCCACTAAAGGCAAGATAGCCTGCACATGAGATATGTGCAGTATGTGTTCTTGGTAGCTCAGTATGTGTATTAAAAAAAATTTAAACCTCATAAATTTCTTATGGAATGTGAAGAATTTAAAGCGCGACAAATTCATTTATAAAATACATTAAGTCTGCAGATAAAAAAATGAACATAAAGATATTTTGGCCTCGACCTGTCAAAAAATAATAATCAAACTGTATCGCTTTTTAACCATTCCAAGCAGATTTGGGTTATGAAAGGCTAAAGAAACACCAAACAGTAACATCCACGAAAATCAATCGTACATATTCTACAAAAAAATAAAGATCCCTTAATCGAAAAAAAAAGGTTAACGATTGTAGACACGGTATTGTTAAATCTGTTCATGGGAGGTGTCCCAATAACTGACTCAGATTTGAACTCAGAGATGCATAGACTCCAGTAATTTGAACCAATAGTAATTTCGCGGTTGTTCTTCATACAGTAGTTGCTTCAATAAACGATCCATGTATTATTGGTGGAGGAGTGTGGGTCGAACAAGCAACACCTAGATTAACAGTCCAAAGCACCATTGGACTATCATTAGACTATAGATCCGGTCATAGGTACTAATATTTCGTTTGATACTTTACTTATAAAAAAAGTAATGAAACGTTACAAAATCGGTTTTCTATTTTCAACCAAATCGTTTTGTTTAGAACAGAACAGTTGTGTAAATTTAAAGAAAACATACTGTGTATTCTCGGTCGGTATTTCGTACGACTTGAAGAATTCCACCATCGTCACATTGCGAAAATCCCAGAAAATTTGTTTTCCCACATCTGTTGATTATGAAAACGTCTTTACCAGCGCGTACGGAAACCCCACATGCGCATGTAGCTCGTCCCCAGCACGATTTTGTTGTTTCCTGAACCTGTAAGGTAGACAATAATATACTTCACATTACAATAAAATCTATATTCTTCAAAAAATGATGTAAATAGAATAGAGCACATATGAATTTTGAGCCAAATGTAGTTGAATAATAATAATAACAATACAAATTTATTGTCCATAGAAATGGTTATGCATTTATAAATATCTAAGATGCAAGTACTAAAATTGATGCCGACACACACGACAAACTCATAATTCACATACCTAAACCGTAAGCAGAATTGTTCAATCGATAAATACATCAAAAGACAATATCTTTAAAACCTGTAATGTATTTTTAGTTTTTATGTTTGAATAAGATAATTATAACAATTACGTTTTATCTATTGCTTAACAAAATGCGTAAATCCTGTGTATACTTATAATCAAAGGAAGTCGCAATTTTCAATATGTGATGCATAGCACAGTGACCTTGCCGTTTTTGGACTTTCTGTGTTCCAACATAACACGGATAAGAATTAATTGCGCATTTCATGGCCTTGTCTTGGTTATCTTTATGTTTTGCATTCAACTAGTCACATATACCTACTTTTGAAGAACTTTAAAATATATAAACCTACATTTAATGTCAACGCAAGCCATTACAATTATATACATGGGAATTTATATACAGTCAAGTTAAAGTACTTACCTCTATGTTATATTGTTGATTGTAGTATAAAATAAAGTTTCCCTCTTGCTGCTGCTCATAATGACTGCAAAACAAAAAATGTATAATATCAGATAGGAGATTAAAACGGGAAGAAAAAGTAGCACCATAACAACCACCTCTCTTTTCACACATACCACTATGAGGATACAGAGGAACGGCACCCAGTGGGACAACAACAAGAAGCTTGAAATATATACAAGAGGCAGAATTTAAAGATAATGCCAAACACATAATATAATCAGAACAACCATCAAATTATAGCAAAAAGATAAATCAGTATATGTTTATGATAATTTGGAAAAAAATGTTCCTACTTGAATATATTTTACCGAACATGCAAAAGAACAGTCCAAATTGGATATTTTAAAGACCAGTTTGCTAGGAAAACTTTAAATGGCTTCGTGTCTTGGGACAGTTACATATAGTGGGCTATTGTGGTGAATGCAATCTGTCGTTCATTCCCCGTCTTAACAAGTACGCTATTGATTTGAAGCACAAATTGTTCATTATTTATACAATTAAAATAATTTTAGAAAATCGAATATTTTGAAACATTCGAAGGTTTGTTTTTTCTAAGCTAGATAAAGTCTTACTTAAACGATAAGACTTTTAAACTAAAATCAGAGATCAAAATATATCTTACTATCCATCAGCTGTCCTCATGTGTGGGTCTATGTGGGAATAACACACCTTGTCCTTGTAATCTTCATTTTCTATTACAACAACCTGTTATTTAAAATTGTTAGTTATTTTTTAAAAGTATTGAAAATTTTAAATACTAATCTATGATAAAATATATATATGAGCTACAATTTCACTTATATATTAACATTGATCAAATACACATCTTACCCACAGATACATTTCAAAACGTTATATTTTCTTAACTTTGCCATCGTTGAATGATTATCCGCCTATTTGGCCGTCACGAGGATTGCCTCGGGATACCTAGTGGGCGGATATTTTGATCTGAACAGTAAACGCATATATGAGGTATTGTTCTTGTATGATCAATTTTTGTTTGTTTGTTTGTTTGTTTGTTTTGGGTTTTACCTCACATCGACACAGTATAGGTCATATCGCGACAGTCCAGCTTTACTGGTGGAGGAAGATCTTAGGTGCCCCTCCGTACATTATTTCAGGTACGAACGGGCACCTGAGTAGAACCAGCGACGTTCCGTTAGCTAGCTGGATAGAATCCTCACATGAAAGAATCCAAAGTCCCTGTCGGGATTCGAACCCATAGCGGTGAGGGGCAAGTGGTTTGAAGTCACAATCGGTTCATCTATCACCCTCCCAATGCCATATAAGATTTTGACATGGATACAACTAATGGAAACACTGCTTTTATATGCAAGAATATCACTTTTAAACTACTAACTCGAACATCTGGTAAGATTTTATTCTTCCAAAACGTATGCTTCATATCACCACTAAACTTCAAGTTAAGATTGAACGTGCTTTTGTCCTCGTAGTCTATATCTGAAGTCACAATCTTAAAATGGTACAGCTTATCTGGATCCCAAGTGGCGCCTTTATATAGCGTCTGAAATTCAATTAAACTTACATAAGGAAACATAAGAGTCAATTACAATTCAGGGTCAATGTCATACTTCTGTTAAAAAATTCTAAATAATATATTCTGTCCAAATTATTGGTTGGTCAATGAATCAAATTTATTCGTTAAAAAACAAAGATTTTACAAATTTATCAAAAGGAAATCAAAGAATTTGATGTTGATAATAATTGAATTTGATGAAATGAAAGGTAATGTAAAACAGAAGTTGCTCCAATTTTATCATAGAAAGTGATTAGTAAATATATGAAATCTCTGTAATGATCTTGTCCTCTTGAAGGTCAAAGTATTTTTCGTGAGTAAAGATTAAATTCCCTACGATATGTTAAATTCGTACAGTTACATTGGTATAATGATTTGTACGAAAGTCAAAATACCGATTACTAAGAAGAAAAAAAATTCACCGACATTAACTGCCCATAATACATTATTCAACTAAAGCACTACCTTAATATACTCCGTACATTTGGTAGAGTCAGTTTCAACAATATTGGTCACCGTCTCTTGAAGACAACTTATGTCGGCAGCATCACTTATACGAAGTTCATCCTTACAAAACTTATGAACGTTGTCAAAATGACTGCATCCTATTGGAAGTGTCGATGATACTGATATCTGTGTGTGGCTGCCTTTCTTTAAAAACACCGTTGAGTTATAAACCTTGAAAAAATATTAACTGTCATCTAAATTATATTAAAAATCGTGATAGAATAGTATAGAGCAGAATAAAAAAGAATAAAGTTATTAACCAACCAATGGTCACACAGCATAGGAATCTGATTAACATATGTAAAGTTTTGATGAAATTGCACCAGTAGTTTCTGAAAAGTAGTCCATAAAGGTTTTGTGAAACAATTTAAAAATATTAATATAGATTAAATAAGGTTTAATTTGCATTAGAGGAACACAATAAATGAAATAAAAATAAAGTAATACCCTAAGTTATTCTGAGGACCGTAGGTCTGTTACAAAAAGTAGAGTACCTATATCGGCTCTTAATTGTTAATGCAAAATAATGCTAATAGAGGTGAAATGTATACATTGTCAAATTGGGCCTAATATGCTTGTATGTTTTCCGGCAAATGTTCTTAGCTTATCATCCGTTCATAATGGACTGAACACTTTTATTGATTTCTTTATACAAAAAAAACAACAATATTTTACCAGTAACAAGTGTAACACCACAAAAAACAGATTTCTTACCCTGGATTACCAGGATTAGTTAGGGAAAAATCGAAACATTCTTTATTTACGGAGTACCTTATTCTGTAGCGCCCCTTTTGTGACAAGAAATGTCACATAGGATGTACTTTTTGACGTAAAATATTACTAGGAAATAAAAACCAAAAGTATTTGTATTTCCTTTGATATTTAAGTTGATTACAATTCTATATGAATGGATGCACCTATGATACAGTTCAAAAATAGACCAATAATATTACATCAGAAACTAAACATATAGAAATAATATAAACAAAACAAATCTGCTTTCCCCATTCTCTTTATCTCGTATCTCGTTTTTTTTTAACATGTCGTTTGTGAGATATTGGAAATAATATACGATATGTTACAACACTTTAAATGTCTTGTTGTTACCTTGACCCCGGCGTAGAAATTATCACTATACTGTGTTTGTGTTTGCTGTCCTAACTTCGCTGCTGACACTGTAACTGAGCATTGCACCTATACAAAATATATGTGCGAAAGTAAACAAGGATGAAGAACGTACAAAAATATCCAAGCCGACTCCTCAACAATGGATGGACATACTTGTGGCGCAAAACAGGACAAGACAAAGTACAGAAGCAAAGTACTTGCAAAGTACCTGCCATAATTTTACAGTTACTATATTTTCCCTTCATTGTGACAACTTTATGTTTTGAACAGTATCGCACCAAATCAGAGCAGATTAAAAGTGCATTGTATATTATAACGACCAGGTCCCATCATTTTACGTCATTAATCAATTCAAGTACAAAAAATCACAGCTCAAGTTCGTGGCATCTAAACATACACTGTATGTAAATATTAATTCATTCTACGAGTATGGAGCATGGACTTAGTACTTTAAATAAGTTATTTTCTTTGCTCTTGCCGTTATATTAACAATAAGCCACATGCTGCTAATCCAACATGGCGGTCGGTACTGGCTTAATTTCTACCCCGCGACCCCCCGAGACGGTGACGATACTGCCAAATTAGGCTCCCTTCGCGAAGTTATCTTCCTAGATTTTAAATAGAACCTACCGAATCACTCATAGCATTTTACACAATTCATTCATTCAATAGATGAATCACCAGCCAATGAATCAATGGCCAAAAAATACTTTCTGCAAGAAATTGTTTTAAATAAAACCAGTTTATTACGATATTGTCTAATTTGGCACTGTAGCAAGAAAAAAGCCCCAAACCTATAAAGTGATCCTCAAAAACCAGGGTAGACTACTACTCCATTTTGTTTTTCATATTTTACATTTATAAGAGCCTTACAGCGGTTCTTGGTAACTTCTACAATAGAGTTTGTACCAAATAACAGGCAATGCGTGACAATGTTTTTGTCAAGCCTTTAATGTTCAATCCATACGCTAGTCTTTGTGTAAAAGAAAAACATATCTGACCTAAGACGAGGAGCCTTTACAATCCAAAGACCTAATACGAATCCCATCGTGAATTAAATAAAAAATAAATAATTGTGTTAATCTTAATCAGGTGTCCTTATCGCTATGTTCTTGTGTTAAACATTTACGTGTGTTTACGTGTGTTTGAGAAGACGCTCAAGGGTCAATTTTGCAGTACAGCAGACACCGTTTTTCTTTCAATGAATACGATTTTTTTATTTATCTTCAGAAACCATTAAGTTATATAAATAAAATGAAAGTAAATACTTCAGTAGTATACGAAGTGAATTTATTGCGTTTCATTCAAATGTACACGTATTAATGTAATGATATAAAAGATCCTGTATGTTGTAATTTAGGTTGTATACCACATTTAAGTGAATTTATATATATGTATATAATAATGCTTATAAACAATTTTCAAACATCGAAGAATATGTAAAATATGTACTGCAATGTGTGTACATATTATATGTAATCATAAAAATACATGCATTCATTTTTTACTAAAAAATTTGACTTTATAGAAAATAATTTTATTACCTCCCTTTATTTACATGAAATGTTAAATTCGGTAATATTTTTATAAAAAATGCTTTTTGGAACTTACAAAATTGATAAATCTTAACTTGTGCATCATATTTATAATATAAAACCATAAAAAATGTGTGTTACAGGATCTTTAACAGATCAAAGCAGTACGCCTCCATATCCATGTTCATATTCATGAAAATGTATTAAAAAGTAAAATATTTTTAACTGAACAAAGAAAATAATTTTATACTGTAAACAGCACTTACAAACCATTTAAATTGCCAAAACAAAGAGGTCAAAATATGCAAAAATAGTCCTTACTGCGTTAGTAACGCAGTAGAAATATGGTGAAAAAATATGGTGAAAAATACTGCAAAAACGGTCATAATCCTGACATAACTTGGAAATTAATGCTTTCGTCTTGAATCTTTTGACATTTATTAAAATCTCAGTTCATCTCCAATTTGACTTTTTGTTAATATTTTGATTCTTCTGGAGGCATGTAGCTTTAACATTTTGAAAAATACATTTAGATTAAAAAGATGAAATAATTCCTCGATCAAAGGCAAACAGGTCAATTAGACTTAAAAAATATATTCCTTATTCTCACATGTCAAGTACTGTACTTAAGATCAGTGAATTATTCTTCCTTGTTAATTATCGCCTTTTTTGTGTTGACCAGTCAGTTGACTTTTCCTTGTGTCGGTAAAATATTATTTAACCATTGAATGTTAAGGGTTTTTTTTCTTACAACACTTTGGAGGGATTTATTTTTTTAAGGGACTTCCTGAATTAATTTTGTTCTGTACAAACATCGAAAGAACAGTTGTGATATGCAGCAAGTTATCAGCTAGTAGTCGCGTTTTGTTTTATACACGTTTTCTTTCATTTTAATATGGCGACGACAAAACTTTTAAAAGCTATTTTCTTGTTGAATAGAGTAAACATTTTGCTATTTTCTTTCCTTTATTTTCACATTACAACGACGTGACTTGTTTTCGTTTTTGGTACATATTGGCCAAAATTAGCCTTTTTTTCCTTTTCATAAATAAATCATTGTCTGTGTTTATTAAAATTATAAGTAATAAGATTTTGTTTTTCAAATATTTTGAGTAACATGATTAGAAACAATATACGTACTTGATTATTTCATTAAAATCTGATTTTTTTCTCATTGTCAAGATACAATATAAACATGTACTTTTTTCAGGCACGGAAGGCTTAAATGCGTAAACTATACCAGCAATAAAAAAATCTTATGCATCTCTGACACATTTTTCATTCTGGTTTTCCTTCTGGTAAGGCTTAATTGCAGTCTTGATTGGTCTTGAAATAAAAAAGCAACCTCTTGCAAGTTTAAATCATTACAATTCAAATGAATTAACTTTTTACCGTGTATCCTAGGGGGATATCTCGAAAATTTTCTTCCCTTAAAGTAAGCTCATCTATGTCCTGTGAAGGTCCAAGTGTAGCTATTTCTCTGCCATCTATTATCCTAAAATATTTAAAACAAGTTTACTTTTTGTGTGAAATATATATTGTTGATGCTTCAGATGATGAAAGATAAGATGTTAATACTTTATCTATTTTTTGTCAATAATGTAAATCAATTTTTGTGGGACCATTTTGATATAATCATTTGTTTTATATTTGACATTTTTGAAATTTTATGTGTTTTATTTAGTCATTATAATAAGTTCATAGTGTTATGTTTCTTTTCTTATGTGATCAATAACAATGCCTACTCACTCTAATCTTTCATTTAATTCCGTGATATTATCCTTAATATTTAAGCAATTTCTCCTTTGATACGACCATTCAGTTAGTCAAACGATACAATTTAAAAAACATTAAGTACCACGATACAATTGAAAAAAGTCAATTTAGTCAATTGTCTCAATCAAGCGAAGTTTATATAGTATAACAATACAAATAAAAGAAATAAATTTAGTCCGACGATACAATAATGTGAAGTTTATATAGTATAACAATACAAATAAAAGAAATAAATTTAGTCCGACGATACAATAATGTGAAGTTTATATAGTCTAACGATACAAAATAAAAGAAATAAATTTAGTCCGACGATACAATTAAGTGAAGTTTATATAGTCTAACGATACAAATAAAAGAAATTAATTTAGTCCGACGATACAATAATGAGAAGTTTATATAGTCTAACGATACAAAATAAAAGAAATAAATTTAGTTCGACGATACAATTAAGTGAAGTATATTTAGTCAGACTGTACAATTAAATAGAAATGATATAGTTCGCAATATCTTTAAAATAAATTATTATTACAGTTCCCGTCATACCTAAATGAGAAATAGATCAGTTATTACGTCATGTTAAGATAAATGAGCAAAGTTCAATATAGCATACCAATGAACGGAGTAAAAGTATTTCGAAGAGTTAGAAAATACACATCTGAACTGGATATATGGTTGATATAGTATCTTAAACGGCCCCTTTGTCAGTGGAGTTTCTATGAATCTCAGTTCGGGAACGACACTTGGAGAATCCACTTCAATGTAAAGAAAATCCATCATTTTACACACTGTTATATTCTGTTAATATGTAAATATAATAATGTATAATTTCACATCAAAATTTCAAATTGCAATAAATTGTAGCCAAACCAAATTTTTTTTAACATATTTTCACATCGAAATTATCAAAACAATATTGAACTGTAGCCAGACAAATGAAATAAATTTGATTTTTTCTCAAAGAAATTATCAAAGCAAAACAAAACGATAGCCAGACTTTTAAAACACATTTCGGTAATTTCGCGTCTAAATAACCAATGATCAATAAAACTATAGTCAATCTACTTGTGTATGAAAATAATTAAAGGATATATAAAACTACAAAAGTAAACGATATTTCGAGAGAAAGGAAACCAAAAAAAATCATTATGATATTAAAAACATAATAAAAGTACATAAAAGTAAAATAAAAGTTCCTAATAGAACCCCAAAGGGACAAAAATGAAAATGTTGCAGGCTCAGTTTGATTGAACGTAGTGGTAAGTGTGTGGAAATATTTGCACATTTTTTGTTCAAATATTTATAAAGTCATCAAACGGTAAAGAAAACATCACGTCGTCACGATTCCGGATGTCGTAAAAAAGCGCGTTTCTGTGAACTTCCTATAAATATATCGACCGCGTCTCTGCGACACGCGCGACTTTGGTTCTCTAGACTTGGGGGAAAAATGCACGTCACCTTCCTTCCATGAAAATTAGTAGCATCTTTTTTTCTGAAATAAACAAACAAACAGACGAGCTAACAAACAATTAATAGCATTTTACATTTTTGTTTGAATTGCCATACACGAAGTTTCGTTGAGTTTGAACACCGATAAATGCATGCTGTGCACAGATCAGTTCCCACTCTCTAGCACTGGCGAAAAAGAAATTCAAGTTGAGATGAATGGAAAATTAAGAAGTCAATGAACAACATATGATTTACATATCCTGATACAAGAATATTATACATGAAATACAGTATTGGAGAAATCAGTAACATAAAATATTAAACAAAATGCCAAAGTTTCAAACATTAACTCTTCATATGTTACCATATATTACTTCCCCTGCGCAGGCCTATCAAATAGAGAGTAAAAATATTAGAGTGTTTGATTAAATACAATGATCAATAGACATCTTAATTCTTAACTTAGCAAAAGTAAATAAACATATACAATTAACTTTGTGAGAGCAATGATTTAAATTGTTTACTGGCATACAGTAAAAGCACTCACTTTTACATGATAAATTCATATAAAATGGTAAACTTATGAATGGTAAATGGTCAATGCAATTTAAGTGATAAACTGATACAGTTATGATAAACTCTAAAAAATAGTTAATTTATATATAGTAAATACTTTCAATAGTAAACTTAGTTATATAACACTTTAACTTAAATTAAGAAAACCGAATTAAGAAAACCGATGTCAAATTTGTATCAATATTAATGGTTTTATTCCCTGTTAACTTTGCTGTCAGCAATATAATTAAAACATAATTTGTTATGCTTGATAAGTGAAAAATATGGACAACACTTTGCATGACTTTATTCTTGAATAAATGAGAATATTTACTGTCTTTCTAAAGCAATATGCAAAATATATAAAGATCGGCTCAAGGAAAAAAGTACTTGGCTTTGTTCGCATCGTCGTATCATAACGTCTCTGTTTATGGCATGTTCAAGACATGCCTTGCGGCTTTCAGTGTGATTGGAGTTTCGCTAAGCTGGTCAAGTGAAGGATGTTGATCTGAAAATTAAAAACAACAAACAACATATATATGTTAAATAAATAAGGAAACAATGCGTATTATGTTAAATAAAAATACACACAACATACATATGTGAAACAAAAACACTAAGGATAAGAATATGTAAAACACAAACGAAATTCATATGCATTGCAATCTTGAAATTACTTTTCATAAAAAAATGTTTTATGTGTGGATTGTTCTCAAGCTAACTTAGGTGTTTTGGCAAACTGTCAGCAAATGTTGAAACTTAATGGGTGTCTTATGCTTATTTTTATTTCACTTCGGTTTTTGTTTTAGGCATTTTTTTTTCATTTTTTTTCCATAAGAATTTCGGGAGAAAAATAACTGATAGGTTCAGTGTTTTTTTCCACGAAATATTTCAAATATAGTCAATAAAGTAGACAACTAATAAATCTATATCATCATTAGCGACAAACATCAAAAAATCAAGAAAAGTTTCTAAAAGTGACATTATGCTCATTTTTATTTTCATTATGAAGTTTAACACAATAATGTGAATGCACAAATGTATTTCAACAATGGACTATAATAACGGTGATTGACGTACCACTTTTATTGAGTTCACGTTCATTCAAAATTACCCCTCGTCATCAGTCCCTTATCAATCTAAAAATATTCAAATTTTATATTTATTACTGTATTGATTGAATGCCAAATAACAAATATGTTTGTTTCAATTAAACATCTGATATCTTGTTCATATTGTTTTCATACCTTTTACTCTTCAAATTTAAATCTGTAGTAAAATACTGGTTTTACATTTGGACAAGGCATTGCATCAATACATATGATAATTCAGCAACGTCATGATTGTATTACAATGATTATTAAACCCCAAATGTGATTAAATAAAATGATACACTTTCTGTGTTTCTGATATAAACATGATGCTGCTGTTTTTATTATGAAGTCAAGCTAATATTGTTCTTCCTAAGACGTCCACTGAAGTAAAATGTTCCCGATCATTTAAAAAAAACCTTTCATATTTTGTATGGCATTGTTAAAAATTTCATCCTATATTTTTCAGCTCTTGAAAAGTAAATGAAAATATAACATCGCTCTATTTACCAGTATATTTAAAAGACAAAATATATTTACTCTCTTCCTTTTTAAAGTCATACAAATGGTTATTTATTAGTTACTTATAAAACCTATTATACATTGGATGGGAATGCAGATACAGAAATCAAAACACGTTTGCATTCGAGACGTAAAAAATCGTTTGGGTGCGTAAACGGAAAGAATAAAATAGACACATGATGTGCTGTACAAATAAATGATAGATTTCCTGATTGTATAAAGATATATTTTGACAACTTTATTTTTATGTTTGATTTATTAAAAGTAAAGTAAACGAATATAACTTACTTCGGTTTCAGAAAATAATATTCAGAAACAACATAATGCTGGAACAAATACATCTTTACACATGTTTTCCATCTGATGACAAACTATATAGACGACTTATTTCATACGGAAAATCTGAAAGTATGAGTCAAGAGGAAGAATGCGTTCGTTCACATCTGCACGATTTAAATGTTAAGAGAATGTATAACATCTTTGGAATAAGGAAAATTCTTAAATCGTAGTCCCTCTTAAAATTGTGATAATTTTAACCAATAATTTTTTAACAAGCTTTCATAGTCAATGGTTCTGTAACGCTATATTTAAAGCAATATTTCAAAAGATGATTATGATGATGACGATGTTTGTGATGCTGCTGATGATCATGTTGATGATGATCGTTATAATAATGATGATCGATGATTACCATATTGAAACTAACAAATTTTAAATGATAATGCTGGTGACGATGATAGGAATATTGATATTTTTTAAATTGATTATCATTATGATGATTATTATGATAATACCGATAATGATGATGAGGATTACATTTTCAACTAATTCTGATAAAAATGATGATTGTGCAAATATTGACACTAATAACAATAATGATGATGATAACAAAATTGAAACTAATATAATAATGATAATTACAATACTATAATAATCTTTATGTTGTATTTTTTGTTGTTTTATAGTATCCTTTATATGCTTTTCATGTGCTTCTTGTGTGTATATTTGTATAGTCATTTGTCAGTGTGTGTTAGTGTTTAAATGTGTGGCAGCTGCTGATCAGCTTTTCACATATCCCTTTAAGGGGACAATAGCTGTTTACAGTTTTTTGTTTTTTGTTTTTTTTTGTTTTACCTATTTATTTCTACTTCTAATTTAATTTGATTTTTGATTAATATATTAATCTAGACCATGACTTTGTCTAGGCCAGCTCAGATCAGCAACTGTTACAAAAACATTTCAAATTTTATTATGATGCTTGTATATGTTTTAGTTACACCCATATTTTCATGATTGAGTATATATATATCAGATGCTGCTACTGATATATGCTCAAGCACCATGCTGGACTTAAGATCAACCATATTAAAATAAAATAAGATTGAATCATTTATTTTAAATTTATTTTATTTAATTTATTTATATTTTAAATTTATTTTAAAAATTTTAAATTTTTAAAACAATTCTATTTCTGATTTTAGGGTTGTGTACATAAATAGAATCCTAATGTAATTTTATGTGATGTTTGATTGTAGTGTTATATTTGCTTTTACAAAGCATATCTTGATGTTCATTAGAGTGAATGAATGAGTGAATGAATGAATGCGCGTATGAATGAATAAATATATGAACGAACGAATGATGCAATATACGTACTCGTATATGTTTAAACAAATTGTTGAGTGTCTGTCGAAAGTATATGAGTTGTATTATTCTAAAAATTACATATTATACATTCATTTTTCTACCTATGCATATCCTGTTGTTGTTGTTGTTGTTGTTTTCTATTTCAGAAGGCCACATTGGAAATAAGATATATATGATTGTTATTGTATGTTCTTAATGTGTAACCTTCTTTAAATAAAGATATTATTATTATTATTATTATTATTATTATTATTATTATTATTATTATAATCAATTAATACTATCTTACCCATATTCACATGTGCTTATAGATCTTTAACAAAACCCGTGACATAACCCGTGACAGTAAATTATATTATCCGTGATGATGCCGTCACGGACGTCACGGGCGTCACGGGTTTTAGTATATCTGTCTTATTTGTTTTACAGAGTCATTCATAAATGTACATTGATCTTCTTAATACTTTTTATATATTTTCTTTTATACAGATTGTTTGTTTGTATTGTTTAAGGATAGTCAGTTATGTCGGAAAATAGCTTATATATAGCTAATGTTTATATGTTTTATGTAACCACGGATTTATATTACAGGGATCGGACACTCCCAGTTAACCCTATATAAATGTCGTGCAGCCGGTAAAGATACCTACTTTACAAAATACCATATAGCTTTTCCATTTATTATCCGATTTTGGAAATTTAAAGTTTATTTTGAAGAAAAATACTTGTTTAATTCAAATATCTAATTTATTTTTTAAAGGTACAGTTTATCTGTCCGCAACGACGATTAAAAACTTAACTTGACGAAATCCGCGGTAAATTTACATTTTTTATATAAAAAGCAGGTATTTGAAATTTATTATTATGGTAACATAATAAATTCAATTTCAAAATAAAAAAGAAGCCGATGTAAGTTATTCACAGATGATCAAAGATGCAATATTTATATCAATTTTTTTTTTGTAAATCTGTTGCAGTGAAGTATACAATCATCGTAACAGTTTTAAAAGTACTCTCGTGTGGCTGTCTCAATTCCGGCCTTTTTAATGTCACTCGTATATTTTAATTATTCTTTTTATTTGAATGCCCGAAGAAAGATATTTCTGATATTTTTTAATGTTAAGCTAGAAAAAAACAATAAAAATCTTTACAGTTTGAGTCAGTATTATGCGGAATAAAAGTAACTTTTGATTATTTTTACACATCGCTTAAATTTCTTTGAAGTTTAATTACTTTTGAAGGGGGTTAATTACCAGGTTACATGTGATAATTGCAACACTCAATCTTCAAAAACAAATAGAATTTGAATGTATATTTTGTATGTGCGCAGTCTTTAACTACAGTCCATGGTATGTGTGATAAGAAAATAAATGAAATATAAAATATACAACTAAATTTGTATAGCCCTTTCTTTGAAAAATAATGAAAATAAACATATGACAAATAAATCATTTGACGTGAATTGTAAAGAATAACTATGAAAAAAATTTGTTTCAAAATAAAAAAAAATATTATAAAACAGCTGTTCTGTAAGCCAATAAAAGTTTCTTCCTTGCCAATCTAATAAATTCATCTATATATGAACGCTTGTCTAGAATGACCTGAAAATATATTTAATACACTAATTAGTAGAATACTTACTATATTTACACTAATATATACAGGTGATAAAATAAAAAAATGTACAAATCATTTGGAAATAATTCACAGAAATAAAGACAAATTTCAAACATGAATTTCTTTAAAAGTTTTTAAGCAATCAAGAAACTTTTTTTTGCAATGCACCCATTAAACCATGTAAAAAAGAATTATCTTAATCTGAATCGCGGTAATAATTTGTGCTTGAAGTAAAAGGGCGTCAAAGTGTAGAGAGTATGCCTAAACAATAGGCGAATATTTTTTTAATTAGGTACTTATTATTTGTTTGGGTCGTCAGACCAAACAAATAATGGTAGCGAAATTTCAGAGTCTAATGTTGCTAATTGCAAATGCCGAAAGTAGTCCACTTTTTTGGAGCGGTTACTTCCCTTTTGTATGTACACTAAAGCCGAAAAATTCAGGGGAGATCACTGCGTAAAGATGGTCAAAGACAGGCGCATCAATTTTCAAGCAAAGTAATTCCCGAATGGTCAAAGATTTCTAATATTGTTTTATTGTATTTTCTGATCGAAAATAACTAAATACAAAGCGGACATTCAATCTCTGACACAGAAGTTTACTAACAAACCTAACAACAAGTAGTTCTCAAAACAGCTAAAAACTAGCGATTTAAAAGAAAGAAATATTTTATTTTGTTACAAGTATCCAACAAATTACAACGCATTTAAAGTTAAACAATAGCGTTGGCTTATAGAATTGTCAATAAATGCACAATCACAAATTACGCGGGATGAATATGATTTTTATCAATGAAAATACTATTTTTAGCCATGTTGATTACCGAATACTACACAAACCGAGTAGTGGAATATATAGATTCTACATGCCGGACCGTTTGGGCAAGAGGATTTTTGCTAAAAATATTTACTTCAACTATAAACAAACAGGTTTACCCTGAACAAAATACCACGAAATTAATAAGGATTACAAACCCGAACTGCAATGGAAGTTCTAAATTTAGAATGACTTGATATTATTCAGACACAATGTGTATAACTTCTCCGTGGTACAGTGGTAACGCGCTCGCCTCGTGAGTGAGAGGTCTCGAGATCGAATCCCAGTCAGAGGAAACTTTTTTTTTTTTTGTTAAATTCTTTTTTTTAAGTGTTTTTGTTAAGGAAGTAGCCATGATATACAAAGATAAAGTGTGGCTGTCGTAAAAAAAAGAACATAAATGATTTTTTGATGCAACTCTAGTTATGCAGAATTCTGTATGTATCAAACTCTGGTACCTTACTAAAAGGAATTATAATACATAAAAAATAAACTTATACAGGAAAATGCATACAGATATACAGTACGATTTAGATTGCAAAGATCAGAAAATACCACAGAACTTGCAGCCGTTTGATTCTTTATAAATATACATGATTATAGTAAGCTCCAGGATTATTTACATCTGTGTTAAACAACAGTTAAAGTCGATACAAGCCCTAATTTAGAATAAATATGGTTTTCTTCAGGCCGTTCACATATAAATTCACCGTGGCTGAAGGGTTTTCGGCTCGCTTAGGAAGCGAGAGGTCTGGAGTTCAAAATCCCAGTAAAGGTTACTCATTTTTTTAAATTGTTAAAGTCAAATAAACATTGGATTGAATATCAGTGTTGCAATTAGTCTAATAGCCAATTTACTACAATTAAAACGCTGGAAAGCATTGGTGGCACTAAACATATAATCTCACAACCTGCACCTTTCTTACATTCTGAGACCCAAACAAATTCAGCGCCTTCTGTGCTTTGATTTTACTAGGCGTTGCATCGTTCTATCGGCATATTTTCACATATTAATACTTCAGCTGCACAAAATAATACTGTATCAATACATTCATATGTGTATAATTTTTCACAAAGCTGCAATAACACCACATACTCTTGTGAAAATCTGTCATATTTCGCACTCCGCGCGTTCCGCCATCTCTCATTCTGTCCACGTTTATTAGACTTCAAAATAGCTTAATTAAAATTAAAATATTTATGTCTTACATATTGGTTCCGAGTTTATACTTAAGTTTTAAATTTCCGTGGCACTGGAAGATTCGTTTAGAAAAGGAAGTTCATGGGGTTTCCAGAATTTATAGTTATTTCCGTTAAATTTAAATGCAAATGAATAATTATTCTATTTTTAGATTGCCGTAGGAGTATACTATAGAGGCCTTATTCTGGCCAGTTTCTTTTTTCAATGATAATTTTTGTAGAATAACGAAAAAAAAATACCCGTCTGGTTTCAAAACCACCAAGCCCTGCTTTGGAATATGCTTCACAACATCCGGTTTACGAATGGTTCCTTGTTTACATATTACATTTTGAGATCAAGCAGAGTACTATTTGAATATTACTTCCGGTTACCTGCAGTTTCCAAAAAACTGAGATGCTGACGCTTCTTTCCTGCAAATACTTGTGAAAATGACGATGTTTGGATTATGGCGGAACATATCAGTCGAAACACCATCAGAGACCGCTCGCTTGACTCACAGACAAGTACTGAGAGCGGTTCTAGCAGTACCAGCGAGGAGGAACGTCTGAAGAAACTTTTTGAATCGTGCGATGATGACAAGGACGGCTATTTGAATAGGTTGTCTATTTGTGTCTTTATTATAACATCAATTGTATTCAATTATTTTATATGTCATGATTTGTAATGAGGTTGGTTTTTAAAGTTGAAGCCTTGATTGAACGTGGCACGTACTGTGCACACTAGAACTTCAACTGTTCAACTAACCCTACCCAACCCTGGGGGTAGCCCAACAAATTGTGCGCTTTAGACGATGGTCGCCCTTCGCAAAGACAGACATCTATGAAATGTCAGATTGTAAAATCGGTCTGTGGTGCTGTCGAAATATTGAGACTACCAGTTGCACAATTTACTACACACTAAGTTAAATCATTTTCAAGCAATTATTCTGTAAAGCTGTAACAATACGGTAAAAAGCATATATTGCAACATACTGCATAGTTCTGGCTTCTATAACTAATTTTACTTTATATGTCGCTTTTTGACGTTGTGCCATAGTTACAGGTCAAACAGCACTACAAAATTTGTTCGCTAAAGTATCTTTAGCTACATATTGCATATTGCAATAGTATGCTCTTTATGTACAGTACAGCTCAAGCAATTTTTCCAAAGTCCGCCGATCCCCGCGTTTTGTTTATGGGTGGACTGTCACCGCGATGTCCCTGCGATAGTTGTGACTTTCCGCTTGTCCACTCGATCGGGGGAAGTTTGTGCTGCGGGATATTGTCACCGTAGATCACTGTGAAATATTGCAGCGGTATTTTGCTCTCTCGGGTGACCATTAGTTTATTTATAACACGGGGACATTTATTACTATTACTGTATGTCTGTAAAATATAATGAACTCAAACACATTTTTTATAGAAGAAAATCTTTATGTTATGTATTTAAACGACGTAACACCTGTCGTATGCAAATAATTACAAAATTTAATGATTTGTGTGTGAAATTAAAACCCTAATATGTAGTAACTTTTAATATAATTAATTTCAACTGCTTTAAGCCATTTTAACCTTTTCTGATTTTACAGTGCTACAATCATATAAGAATTTTCAATTACATGTATTTCTTTGATCCATTTAAACGATTTTTTCCTGTTAAATTTACGTGTGTTAATTACCTTTCCTCCAAATATTGACGAGAACTAAAGATTAAGTGGGTCATAGCATATAATACACACAAATTTACTTTTGAACTAAACATTTCTCTATTTTAAATATTTAATGTCGCATTTACGGTTATGATCTGAAAAAAAGATGTAACAAATATGTTTATTTCATCATGGTCACAGATCTAAATTTTTAGATAGGGCATACCGTGGACTACTGTAGTTGTATAATAAGTAATGAGATAGATTCTAATTTATTTCTACGACACTCACCTCACCATTATGGAGAAGTAATTTCTCGCCTTCTTAATTGCATTTTCCCATCACAGTCGTATTTAACGACAAAAAAAAATGTGGCTTTTTGAATGACATCTTGCAAAGTTTACGTAAAAACATATGTTAAGGAAAGGTTTGTTAAACTATTATATATAATTACGTACATGAACTAGTCACGCTGCACTATTTAGGTGTATGTGCTAATTGCTTAATTTTTGTTAGGTGAAAATTGCTTAATTAAGTGGACTTGAGGCAAAGAATAAATAAATTAGTTCCTTGATTGGATTTAACACCTTCTTAAGATTGGCCGCTATTAAATGTACATGTATATTATATAAAAGTGGCGTTTATTGTTTCCAGTATGAATAGAATTCTAAAAAAAAAAAAATTTTTACATGTTCTAGCTCTCCTTTTCAACTTTTTACACAGAAATGTCACAGCATTTAGTTTTCTTGAAAGTGTTTGACCGATTTTGTTAATAATTTTTATTCCGTTTCTTGAAACTTTTTCATTGAACTGTTTTGTGATGTGATTTTCCCCGGTAAATGTACATTAATATCGCCAAGCTAATTAAATAAATTTTATTGAATGATTAAAATCATCAGTCACATTGTAAGTCTTTTTGATTTTTTAAAAGAAGACTACGTTGTACATTTATATGAACATTTACGTGTATATGCAAATTAATCACTGCAAATCTCTGTGATTTTCCACCGCAGATTGCAGGGTTTTTTTACTACCCGTCTGCAGTGATTTGTCACCGTGGCATACTATAGTATGCCCCCCGCGATTTTCTGTTCGCCGTTAAAAGTGTCCGCGGTGACTGAGTGGAAAGAGGAAAAATTGCTTGAGCTGTACTGTATTGCCATTAATATTTGTGACCGTCATCATATTTATTATAACCATCATCATCAACATGATCATCGACGGCTTTTTCTGTTGATCAATAATCGATACACATTTGAAAAAAATCGATCATTTTGATTAATTATTTAACAGTCTATAAATAATGAAAATTCAACCAAAACTTATACAATAGCAGGCGGCAATGTCTAACACTTAGCTGTTGTTACATTATGGACACTTTCATAGCAGAAATGACAAAAATGGTCAGAAAAAAAATCACTTAAGAGGTATGACAGCGTATTATATACAAGGAATAAGGGTTATTTATCAATATATCAGTGTATCGTTGATATTTGTCATCCAATATCAATTTTTGGTAGATATGCTTTGCATTTGATCAATGACAGCTCTACATGATATAGGCATTGTGGACTTACAGACATTTTTTCCTCTTACATTTCAGGGATAATTTTGCGTTTATGTGTAAACAGTTGTGTTTAGAAGAGTGGACTGGCGACATTTTAGAACAACTAGGAGTTAACTGCTCCTCGAGAATATCATTCCAGGATTTTCTAAAGTTCCGTGCACAGGTAGGAAAACTTTCTGTGTTTATATTTTTGACTGTTGGACATTTAGCTTGTCTATTCGAAGAAAAGGGAGAGCTATTGTAGTTATCCCTACTCTAACATGCTTTATGTTAGAACTCATATCGGTTCTTTTTGATCTTAGAAAATTTTATATTATCCAGGCTCTTGTTTTACGATCAAACACTGAGAATAGTTGAGCAAGCTGTCTTATCCACAACTCTTGTTTATACATAAAGTATTTTTAGTGTACATGTCTAGGACACATAAAACACACAGGGTCTTTAAACACAAACAACTTCAAGGATTTTCTTGGGTCTAAGTTAAGTTGTTTGTTTGCCAGTTCCAATTTGTGAGATGAAAAGTTTGCCAAGTTTTGTGTAAATATGAAATATATTTCACTCAGAAGTAAGAATTTTCGATTGTTTTCAGTGAAAGTGAAAATATTTTTTAAGAAAAATTCTAAATGAGATATTTTCCATATTCTCACATGTAAAATGTTAACTCAAACAAATACAATGTATCCTCTAGATGGATATTTAAGTGAACAAAACTTTGCATTTGTTGGTTATTATTGTTGATGTGCCTTTAACCATGTTTGCTTAAATAATTGTTAAAGGCTGTGTACACAAAAATGGGCTTATCAGATAATTGCTACTGGAAGGTAGATTATAGATCTTCATCTTAATTTGTATCATTCTTTCAAAACACATGCATAATTATGATATAATCATGCAGAACAGGTTGTTGGATGAACAGTGACACATGTTAATAAGTAACTAAACAGAATGATTTATTTAAAAATTTACAGTGTGATTTGTTGAAACTCCCCCCCCCCCCACCCCCACCCCCCAATTTTAACATTCTTATTGGGTTTCCAGTAACCATGATTTAGAAAAAATAGGCAGAGAATAAATTTTTTTCATAATTGAACTGAAAAATCGAAAATGCAATTCTTAGCCACGTTATTTTGCACAATAAAAAAATAATATTTGTGAAAGCATGGGTTTAGGGAATGATCTGCTAATTTCCACACATTTTTGGTTCAGATCTACATGAGTAAGTCAAATACCTACCCAATATCGAAAAATATTTCCAGTCACGCCATTTTTGAAACAACCTCATGAATTGGAATCTCTTTAAAAACATGGAAAAAATTTACTGTGGTATAAAACTGTTTACTACTTCAATTTTGGGAGTATTTGACTGTGTAGATTTTAAGTGGCTTGGTTGGTCCGTCAGTACAGTTGTGGGCCTAGGAGGATCAGAGGATCCTTCGCTTTTGAGCACAGTGTGAAATTTGAATAATGATAGTAATTAAAAAAAATATATAAACACTGTCTAATAGACATCTGTATCACTATAATTCACATACCAAGCTTAATTTATTGTTTCTACATGTTATTATATTTTTGCTACTAAAGGCCATAACCTTTTTCACATGTTTAACGCAACTTTCGTTATGATGTCACTTCCAGTCATTTTGTAATGTTTGGCACTGATAAAAGCATATAGCCGAAACATATGTGATATATAATAACTGAATGTTTGTGTTTGTGTGGCTTCTTTGTTAAAATTAGGATTATAATGATATAAGTATAGCTAATTTATTTTATTTTTTTCTTTCCAGGCATTGGATACGGACAACCATCAGTTATTGACAGAAGATACCGACACTGGCATAGATCTGAACATGAGTCGTCAACACACACAGGTCACCTCCTGGCCGACCATGAGTAGCGACAGTCTAGGTACGTTCATTTGTAAAATAAAAATACAAGTCACTATAATTTTTATGTGATATGAAATAATACTGATAAATCATTTGTTTTGTTTGCTGACATTTTTAGGTTGAGCCTATGTGGCCCTTAATTCTCAATAAAAGAATTCATGATACCAATAATTTATGCAAAAAGAAGTTAAGAAATGAAATAATACTATGCCCTAAAAAATCCTAACAATTTATTCAAGAAATATTTATTTACACCCTCGAAAATAATAATACTTAAAATTTTTGCCAACATAAAATAATATCGCATAAAAATGAAATAAAACTAATGATTTAAAAAAACAACTTATAATTTAAACAAAAAACTACTGATAATTAAAAAAAAAAAATTAAATTGATAAAACTTATTATTTATGCCCCCAAAATTAATGTTACTAATAATTTTCGCAAAAAAAAAAAATGCTAACAATTTATTTACTCATAAAAATGAAATGATACTAATAATTAAAAAAGAAGAAAAAGAAACACCCCAAATTGATAACAATTTACGTAGTTTATGTTTCTTTATTTCCATTAAAATTGCTAAGTTTGCTAACTACATTATCTAAGTTAGGGATGTACAGATAGTTTTAATAATTTATACAAATACGTACTGTAGGTAGAAATAAACACTCTTATCATATGTAGTTAAAAGAGGAAGTATAATTTTTTTTTTTAATTTTTCTTTTTTTGCAAAATGTTACCACAGCAACTTGCAATAAATGTGTATTCGGTATTCAAGGGAACTAACTCTGACAATACTAAATGACTGGTATGTTTGATTACTCTCCCTTTGATTAAACTGTAATAGAAACACAAAGTTCTTGCCTTATTTATCTCCCCTGAATGTTTGTTACACCAACTTCCTGTTATAAACAAAGAAGCAGACACTGAATTATTCTCACATTCTATTGTAAAAATGCAACACAATTTCAAACAGTTTGAGGGAATATAATGTTTCAATTCTAAAACCCTGACAATTACTAAAATGTTTTGAAAACTTGCTAGAAAGATGCAGATTTGAATGTGCAATGATTTTTTCATAAACATTGATTAGTTCCATTTTTAAAAATTTCATTAAAACAGAAATAGTTAATAAAAATGGGTTGATTCCTGTTATAATTTTGATGTCAAGAGAACTAAATTGTACATGTAACTGTTTGCAGCCTCCTTTTGGCAAAATGGAAAGTACAATTTTTGTTTGCCTTTTGGTCATTTGATCATCAACAGAAAATAAACAAACTGAAAGTAGCAGCTTTGTAAAATACATAATGTCAACTAAGGATGTCAGGTTTAAACATTCAAAACTTGTTAGATAACAACAACGATATTGCAAAGAAACCATGTGTAAGTTCATGACATGTTTACTCATTTATGAATGTAGAAGATAATATTAAACAAATTAACATGAATTGAATTTTAAAACATTGCACTTTTAGAAACAAATTAAATCTTTCCATCTCAATTACTCCTTAGCGTGGCAGTGTGGTTGAGTGGTTAATGCGTCAGACTATCTAAAAATTGCTGGCCGTGTGGGTCACACCATGTCAGGGGCCAGTCGTTGTTTCCTTGAGCAAGAAACTTTACATTCATTGCTTAGTACTTGTTGGTTCCAGGAACTTATTTGAGACCCTGTCAGCAGCAAGTCCTTGTTTCCTTGAGCAGGAAACTTTACGTTCATTGCTTAGTACTTGTTGGTTCCAGGAACTTATTTGAGACCCTGTCAGCAGCAAGTCGTTGTTTCCTTGAGCAGGAAACTTTACATTCATTGCTAAGTATTGATTGGTCCCAGGAATGGTTTGGAGAATGTTGCAATAAGTTTATAGCTTCCATTGCAATTTAACTAAAATAGATTTATATAAACTAAACTAATCCCACCTTCCTTTTTTCCAGGTGCTATTTCTGGTAGGCCAGACAGTCTGGATTATGACAGTGGGGCGCGTGATCTTCAGAGCCCGGAACCGTTGGTCAGCCTGCAGAAAATGCTGGAGTCACATGACCCTAATTTGTATCGAGCTATTGTACAGAGCTGTATAGAATCAAAACAGTTCTTGGATTTGGCTAACAGAGTAAGTGAAACTTTAGTAATTATTCATAGAAAAGAGGTCATAATATTAATTTTGCAGCATTAACCTTAGTATTATTTGTAGTCTCATAAAGGGACTTGTCCAGCTCTCTCATTTTTGGAACTGTCCATTATAAATTTTGATGTGATTTAGTTTTTTCAGGAAAGGGGGTACTCTTAGCACATGACAAAACTGTGCAAATTCTTTTGTATGGTTTTGCTCTGATAAAATACGCCACAGTAAATGTTACTATCGGATAACTGTTTCTTTCGTTTTGTTTTTGGCGATTTTATCGGATTTTGAAACAAATGAAAATGCAATTCAATTCATTTTTAGCTCGACTATTCGAAGAATATGAGAGCTATTGTAGTCGCGTCGGCGTCAGCGTCCGCGTCGGCGTCTGCCTTGGTTAAAGTTTTTTGTAAAGTCAAATATCTCAATCATTACTTGAGATATTCAATTGAAACTTACAATACTTATTTATAGTAACAAGGTACATCATATTGACAAGTTGGATAACTCTGTCTACAATATTGACAGAATTATGACCCTTTTTAACTTAGAAATGTTGGTTAAAGTTTTTTGTAAAGTCAAATATCTCAATAATTACTTGAGATATTCAATTGAAACTTACAATACTTATTTATAGTAACAAGGTACATCAGATTTGCAAGTTAGATAACTCTGCCTACAATATTGACAGAATTATGACCCTTTTTAACTTAGAAATTTTGGTTAAAGTTTTTTGTCAATTATTGCTTGAGATATTCAATTGAAACTTACAATACTTATTTATAGTAACAAGGTACATCAGATTGACAAGTTGGATAACTCTGCCTACAATATTAACAGAATTATGCCCCTTTGGAACTTAGAAATTTTGGTTAAAGTTTTTTTGTAAAGTCAAATATCTCAATTATTACTTGAGATATTCAAATGAAATTTAAAATACTTTTTTATAGTAACAATGTACATCAGTTTGCAAAATTGCATAACTCTGCCTGCAAAATTTGAAGAATTATTTGCCCCTTTGAAACTTAGAAATTTTGGTTAAAGGTCTTCAAAGATATTTACTTGAAACTTTACACATGCACTTAGGGTCATAATTGGAGGGGCATAATTGTATGTCACTGACCAAGTTCCATAACTCTATCTTGCATTAAGGCTGATTCATATCCCCTTTTCTACTTAGTCTCTTGGTTAATGTTTACATGCAAGTTTTACATATCTCAATAACTATTAAAGATATTTATTTAAAACTTCACATTTGCATTAAGGGTCATAATTGTAGGTCACTGACAAAGATCCATAATTCTATCTTGCATTTAGGCTGATTTTTCTCCCCTTTTTCAACTTAGAAATTCATGGTAAAGTTTTGCTTGTAAGCTGTTATCTCAATTACTACTGAAGGGTTTGTGCCCTTTTTTGGGACAATTTTATGCATTCATAATAATAAAGCAGTGATTTACTTGATAAAACATCTTAATTAGAAGCCTATGTACCTTTTCTGTCAAATTTATGTATTCATAGGTAATTAGTATTATTATACTCAATAAAACAACCTTGTGACATTACCTTCCGAATAGTCAAGCCAATATTGTATAATTAGACTCTCTCTAAGGCCTATTACATGAATTTATTAAAAAAAAATTAGACCTTTTGTGATCTTAAAAAATTTAACATTAGGCCATCCTTAAAAAAATGTTTGTTTGCAGTAACCCGACCCAGAATTTTCAAGGTGGGTAGGTAGGTCGATTTTTTTTTTTTTTTAATTGAACTGCACTCCCAAATAAACATGGAATTTCAAAATGCTGGACAATATATGCTTTGATAATCTGGTAACAATTAATAAATTGATAACTGAATTCTATTTTAATAAGACCTACATTTTATTTCTTCTATTAACCTTTAAAAGAACGAAAACAAAGCACAAGGCATAATTTTCTGATTAAAAAAAAAATTTTTTTATCCAGACCATGAAAAAAAATTTTGAGTAGGGGCAAATTTTGTGAGTCGGTCGCGTTACTGCAAACAAACATTTTTTTAAGGATGGCCTTATCAAGGCTCTTTTACTATCAAGCACTTAGAATAGTCGAGCGTGCTGTCCTACCGACAGCTCTTGTTAAAAGAAGATTATTTGTCATGGCTCTTTAATAGATACTTGAACACTGAATTTGTTTATTTGAGCCTACATATTGTGGCCGCTGGCCTCGATATAAAAACGTCATATAATGGAATTAACTTAAAATGTAAAAATAATCAAGCAGGATTTTATGCGGTTGTTTAATATAAAAGTTGCTTAATAAAGGTGGACGCAAGTAGTTGCTAAGTAAATGGTATAGAACATGACAACAGATTGGACAATTTTAGACTCTGCAAATTCAAAACTTAAACGAAACAAAATAACGAACCTGAACAATTAATTCTGTGACTTATTAGCTCACCTGTCACAAAGTGACAGGGTGAGCTTTTGTGATCGCTTTTCGTCCGGCGTCCGTCCGTCTGTCATCCGTCGTCCGTCCGTAAACTTTTGCTTTAAATGACATCTCCTCATAAACCACTGAGCCAATTTCATCCAAACTTCACAGGAATGTTCCTTTGGTGGTCACCTTTAAAAATTGTTCAAAGAATTTAATTCCATGCAGAACTCTGGTTGCCATGGCAACCGAAAGAAAAATCTTTAAATATCTTCTTTTAAAAAACCCTAAGAGCTAGAGCTTAGATATTTGGCATGAAACATATTCTAGTGAGTGTCTACCAAGTTTGTTCAAATAAAAGCCCTGGGGTCAAAATTGGCCCCGCCCCAGGGGGTCATTGATTTTCCCTATATGCATATAGTAAAAACTTAAAAAATCTTCTTTTAAAGAACCCAAAGAGCTAGAGCTAAGATATTTGGCATGAAACATCTTCTAGTGAGTGTCTACCAAGTTTGTTCAAATAAAAGCCCTGGGGTGAAAATTGGCCCCGCCCCGGGGGGTCATTGATTTTCCCTATATGCATATAGTAAAAACTTAAAAAATCTTATTTTAAAGAACCGTAAGAGCTAGAGCTTAGATATTAAGCATGAAACATCTTCTAGTGAATGTCTACCAAGTTTGTTCAAATAAAAGCCCTGGGGTCAAAATTGGCCCCGCCCCAGGGGGTCATTGATTTTCCCTATATGCATATAGTAAAAACTTAAAAAATCTTCTTTTAAAGAACCCAAAGAGCTAGAGTTAAGATATTAAGCATGAAACATCTTCTAGTGAGTGTCTACCAAGTTTGTTCAAATTAAAACCCTGGGGTCAAAATTGGCCCCGCCCCGGGGGGTCATTGATTTTCCCTATATGCATATAGTAAAAACTTAAAAAATCTTCTTTTAAAGAACCATAAGAGCTAGAGCTTAGATATTTGGCATGAAAGATCTTCTAGTGAATGTCTACCAAGTTTGTTCAAATAAAAGCCCTGGGGTCAAAATTGACCCCGCCCCAGGGGGTCATAGATTTTTCCTATATGCATATAGTAAAAACTTAAAAATCTTCTTTTAAAGAACCCAAAGAGCTAGAGCTAAGATATTTAGCATGAAACATCTTCTAATGAGTGTCTACCAAGTTTGTTCAAATAAAAGCCCTGGGGTCAAAATTGGCCCCGCCCCAGGGGGTCATTGATTTTCCCTATATGCATGTAGTAAAAACTTAAAAAATCTTCTTTTAAAGAACTCAATAAGCTAGAGCTAAGATATTTAGCATGAAACATGTTCTAATGGGTGTCTACCAAGTATGTTCAAATAAAAGCCCTGGGGTCAAAATTGGCCCCGCTGGGGGGGTCATTGATTTTCCTTATCTGTGTATAGCAAAAACTTAAAAATCTTCTTTGAAAAAACCCAAATAGCTAGAGTTTAGATATTAAGCATGAAACATCTTTAAGTAAATATCTACAAAGTTTGTTCAAATAAAGGCCCGGGGGTCAAAACTGGCCCTGCCCCAGGGGTGTCATTGTTTTTAACTATATGTGTATAGTAAAAACTTTAAAAATCTTCTTTTAAAAAACCCAATGAGCTAGAACTTAGATGTTTAGCATGAAACATCTTCTTATGGGTGTCTACCAAGTCTGTTCAAATAAACAAATAAAAGCCCTTGGGTAAAAATTGGCCCGGGGTGGGGGGGGGGCCTATATACAGGTGAGCGACCTCAGGGCCATCATGGCCCTCTTGTTTTTCATACTGATTTATCATACCTATAATCTTGATTAGATATATTATGATCAGTGTCACAAAGAAGGGTACAAAGGTGAAATTCTGAAATATATACTTTTTAAACAGTAAAGCCATGTTGTGCCCTTGTTACTATGGTAGATTATCCATATAATTGTGGCATAGAACTTTTCTGTATATTAACACACATGCAAACAATAAATTATTTGGGAACAAAATATTATTCTGCTATTTTATGAAGTGTTTTAGCCATTTGTCCTGCATGTGTCATTTGCTGTAAAAGAAAAATACAAACAGAGGTATTCTTGAAGTATTATTTTCCAAAACTGAAAAAAATGGCAGTAAAGATATATGATAATTCTAAATTTTATACACTTTAAAGGAACTCCACTGTGGTTTTTTGACATGACGGGACTGATTTTTTTGTTGTTGAGATTAATCTTCAATTCAAAGTAGGTCTAGACCTGAGTAACTTGTGTGCAAAGTTTCAAATCAATTACAATACGAGTATTTCTTATTCAATATTGAGTAGCTTTTAACTAAAAAAAACGAACAACATCACTTAGACTTGCCAATATCCATGTTAGGCCAACATAACAAAATTCAGTGATTATCCTGGATTTATTTTAATGTTATTTTATGCTTCTTTATTTTTCAAAAACTTTTTTGTACAATAATTATATATAATTATATAAAATCAGAGCTGGAAGAAACACTGAACTTATAAAATCAGTAAATTGATAAACTATGGTGGAAGAAACACTGATAACTTACAGAATCAGAAAAATCAGAAAGTTGATAAATTATGGTA